AGTAAACCTCTACGTTTTTTCATGCTTATTGTTGACTTAGTCTATGCTTGCTAATTAAAATCTCTAATATTTACCCCAGAAATCTAAGCCAAGTGCAAGTGATAAAGCTAACGGTTTCAGGGTGATTAACAGTCAAAAAAAGCGTATAATTTTCAAACTTTTTAGAGCGTCATAAATATTGAAGACGATTGCGGCTGAAGACTTTCGCAAAATTAGCTTTCGACTTTTCCGTTGGCGCAGAGATGTTACACAAGGCGGGTATAAAATTGCACATTACGCATACGCGCCGTATGCATATTACGCATACGCACTGGTTTGTTCGCTGTGTGCTTGTGTGTTTGCTGGGGTGCAGGTAGCGGAAAATTGATCGCACGGGCTGCTTGTAGGCGTCAGCAGGAAATCATAAAAATACAATTTTCATTGGACGGAACAAGTATATCTATCATTATACTTACATCTATGATATGTCTGTACATTTGAGACACGGCAACAGAAACACGGCGTACACAATTACCTGTTTCGTGGGCAGAGTGTGAATGGCTTAGAGGCTGGAACCTGTCTCTGCTTTTGGCACTCTGGCGTGCCCAAGCTGTAATTATGTAATTGCGAAATACGAGTGAAATGCTCGAAGGAACCATTTAGTTGTATAATAACTCATAAATCATATGTTTCTTGTCTTGTACAAATGTCAACTCGATTACAACAGATTAGCTCATTTGCTTAATTAAATAAAAGTAAAAAGCACACCCACCTTTTACGGTTAAGTCAAGTGAGGGTGCTGCTAATTGGCTGGGATCGTTACAATATTCTTCTGTCTATATAATTAACCGATTTGCGCATTTGTCTATAACTCAGCAGTTCTCATACGGAAGTCGAACAAAGATACAAAGATACAAAGATCAATTTGCGTGTGACTAATAACGGCTGCTAAACGAATGCCTGCCCCTATCCAAGTTCAGCTTCAAATTAACAAATCTGAAAAGAAATATATTAAAAGCGAATTATTTTCTGAGCCGAGCTGAAAGCATTCAGTCATACGAAATAAAGTATTCAAACCCAGCCCAGGTATTAAAAGACGGAAGCTAGCCTCAATTGTGGTTTCTTTCGTATGTAGATAGACTTATAATATTTATGGTTGGATATATTAATAGACCCATAGAGGCGTTGCTGTTCAATTGTGGCGGCAATCAAAAGCTTTTTTTATTTTCATAATTGAATTGTAGCAGCGCAAAAAATGGCTTGTGTTGAAAAATGGAGGCAAACATCAAAAATAGATTGAGATACACAAATCATGAGGTTAAAGATTACTGTTGAAAGGTAAGGCGAGATAAATAAGAAATAAATAATTAGAGGACGGCAAGAATCTGAGAAACTGATCTATGGGAGAAAGATAAGAACAAGGGAAACGTTTAATTGAAAAAAGGAAAAGGGGAACTTAAAAAAGGGGAATCGAATCCCAAGAATATATTAAGAATGTGGCTGTTAGTTATTTCTGCTATTTATTATCATAGAGGAATAATCATCAAACCTTAAATTCTTTTTATATATAAATTTTAATTGAAAAAACCTAATTTTATATATTTACTTAAGATCTAAAGGCTGTGCAATTCAACACTTTGCAGCTGACATGGTGGCTTTGCCAGTTTTGTAAAGAAATAAAACAGCCAATTTATTGTGGTGCCAACTTTTCTGTTCACACTTGCTGCCAATGTCTTGTGGAGCGTGCTGCTTCTGTTTTGGTGTCGCACAAATCAAATTCAAATTAGAACACACGAAAAACACGCGAATGCGAGCCAATTATGCAAATTTCCAGCTGTCCGTCAGTTTGTCCGGTAGTCTGCCTCTGAAATAACAAGAACAATTTGCATATCGGTCAATTGTTGCACGATTTTCGTGGTCTGCGCACGCGTTGCAAATACACAAATGTGTGAATTAAAATTCCAATTACCCGCTCAAATTATTTAAGACAAATATTTTTACTGTAACGCTCGTTCAATGCCAATTGAACACCCTCACAACTCAGCTGTCACTTTTTAGGCTCCCCTTTTTAATTTATTAATAAACATGGAACTATTGTTTTTCGCCAGCCCACTCAACGTTGGCTATTTTTAATAAAAATAGCGAGTGGGCGAGAGAGAAAAATGTAATGCAAAACCAAAAATGAGGGATTAACCTACATAGGGACACTTAACCCGCGGAGAAATAGCAAAATCAAATGAATGTCTGGCGAATTACGCATCAAATTGATATTGAAATAACTGAAACCCAATACAAAATCAACCGCAGAAACCTCAAGCAAAATGACTTTCGTTTTGGCGAAGTATTGTAACAAAAATAACCGTTGTGAACGGCCACAGTTGTAGGTATTTCCTTACTGCGGTTGGGTGACAGTCAAACTGTAAAAAATACAAAAGTAATAATTACACTGACCTTCATCGTCACTTCATTGTTGGTATTGAGCCTAAAGTCGCCAAGTTAACAACTCAAGTTGAAAATTGTATTTCTGTGGTTATTTTTTCCAATGGCTAGAACAAAACGACTTTTACATAAAAAAAATCAAAAAAAAAAACATAATAAAAAATCACCCTCCCTAGTAACTAGCTTATTATGGTTGTTAGTTTATCTTTTAGTTGATTTTCTACGTATTTTCCCAAGCAGTTCCTAACAAAAGACTTAGGCAACGAACTTGATCATCTCATTAGTCACATTCCTCGCAACTTTAATGCATTCAATTTGTTTTTTATGCGCAATCAGCATAACCTTTTGGCCAGTCGCCAAAAGTATAAATCAAGCGATAGGATAGCATAAATAAATTAGCCATGCTTACGCCCCAGTGGCCAGTTCCATGTCATTAAATTTATGCCATCGCTTAGTTACACTAAATTACGCCTAATTAAATTTTAATTAACACAATCAACTAGCGCACACACTGGGATGCATAAGCAAAAAGTCAACGAAGAAAACCGGCAAAACGTGTCCGAAATACAAATCCAATTTGTGAATGTGGAGTAAGTCTGCGTGCCGAAGAAATAAAATCGCGAAAAGGAGTGCGGCCACAATTTCGAGCAGCTTTTTGTTTTTTTATTTTCTAGCCAAAGTGCTAAGAGATTCAGCGACGCACTCGCCAAAATCAAAACCAAAACCAAAGCCGAAGCCAAAAACCAAAACCAAAAACCAAAACGAGTGCAAGTTCAACGGGGAAAACGGGTTTCCACCGCCTGCTCTTTAAGCATATGAGGAAGTTAATGCCTGAGCAGATCGACTAACCGAAGCTATAGCCAACGGAAAAGTGGAGCCGTCAAGCGAGGCTGTGGAAAACTTAGTAACAGTTACTATTTAGCGGTCGGCCAGAGCCGCATAAAATATTCAGAAAATCGCTTTTCTCTCCTCGTCTGTGGGTGTTTTTTATTTGCGGGGGAGGCGGGGTGTCCACCCAATTGCATCCGCTGGTCTGCTTTCGACTCCGGTCTTCGGGTCTTGGATTGTGCTAAATTTGGCCTTTTTCGTTTCATTTTCGCTTTATTTTCCAGAGCCAAAAGACACAAGTATTTCAGTGTTAATGCCGCCCGGCACTTATTTGGACAGCCGTAATGGGAGCAACAGTGGGCAAGGAATTAATATTTTCGGATAAAATATGTCATATATTAATTACCTTAAATAAATAGTAAAGCAAAATATAAGGCAACGATTTCAGCGAAAAACGGAAGACTGCATAATTTACTTGTATAATGCATTAATTTTATTGTTATCTTTTATTTTCTATAAAGCAGACACTGCATAAATTGAAGTCACTTATTTTAAAAGCTAATAACTCGAATTCGATCGATAAATTAAACTAGTTTTATAAACAATAGATAAAGCTAAATTAATTTCCATAACTTGTGACTCCTTTAGTGGAATTTTTTGGCATATGAAAACCATTTCGATCAAATTAATATACAAACCTTATTAATTGTATTTTAAACAAACGTAAAAAACAAATATTTGAAGAAGATAACCATTAATTTGACCGTTTCATCACCAAAACTTCATTAATTTGGTAATAATTCATAAATCTAGCAAACTTAAACCATTAGTTTAGCCTAATAACTTTTGGGAACCTTAACCTTAAATCAAAGAGCAACCACTGTGCCCCGAAAACAAATGAAGTTCTTGCATAACTTTGACAATTACAAATGATGTGTCCGACATATGACGACAGGCACCGAAAAAAAGCCACGCATTTCAGATGGCGGACTCTTCGGTCGACTACCTGAAATAATAACGAAACAGCAGATTAAATTAAATTAAAGAGCGGGACAAGTGGACACACATGTCCGCGACTTGTAAAAGGGGTCTCTGATGCGGAAATAGACTGTGACATCCGCTGACAGCGAGGGGGGAATGGAGAGGGATTGGGGATTGGGGAATCAAAAGAATCGGAGGCTCTGCCGCTGGAGGCTATCAGTCTCTCTCTGGCTGAAGACCCGTCTCATATCCGCTGGACGTTGGCCGCAAATTAAATTAGAAATCTGCACGACGTCTGCGAATCGGGAGGAACTTCAAAGCCAGTTCAAAGCACTTTTGCTTCCGCTATTTATCAGCAAACAGTGTACACATCTATATGTTTCCTATATCTCTTCACACTTTGCAACATAATTAACTAACGAAATTTCTATACCCTTCTGCTCTTGTCATTTCAGGCAGCAGCTCACATCACAGAAAAAGGCACACAGAGAAGTCTCAAATTAGACCGTGAAAGCCGCAAAGCAAATAACCAGCAAAGCGTGCAAAAAGAAAAAGCCAGGGAAATTACATTAGGAAGGGGGAGGGGTAGAGGAGGCAGCCACGTGCACACAGTAGCAGGCCTAGAATAGCTAGAAAATTATTATTATGATAATAAATTAAAGTTGCCATTAATTTAGCCAAAACGGAACGCGAACGAGGCCTGGGAAGCGTCCGATGAAGTTGGAGTAGAAGTAGACGGTAGCATAATAACAATAAATAATAATTTGAAATAGGCGAGCACCGGCAGCCAGCAGAAGACCAAAAAGAAGACCAAGAAGAAGAAGAAGACCAAGACCACAAGAGCAAGAAGAAGAAGAAGTGGCCAAGAGTGCAGCCTCCCGTTTCCAAGAGGAGCAGCGTGAAAAACCAAGGCAGCTCGAGCGCATCGAGCGTGCAAATTAAAAGCGCACCACAGTAGCCCCGGCCCCAACTTCTCTCGACATGGAAGTGGCCACAACAAACAATCACAGTCAGAGCCATCACCATCATCATCATCATCATCATCTGCAGCCCACTGGCGGCGGAGGAGGGAGTGGAGGGGGGAGTGCGGGGGGCTCGAGGTCCCCCTTCCAGCGGGAGGTGCGTGAATGGCAGCGCATCGATCCCAATACCGGAGCCCTCTTCAGCGGACGCCTGGAGGCTGACCGCTGGATAAACGGACCGCTGAACAGCTACGGCAAGGTGAGTGTCCACCGACTACTATCATAGACTACTAAAGGTGGTAGCGTGATCCGGAGCCACCCATCAGTAGGTAGCACTTCCGGAATAAAGGGGGAAATCGCAGATCTTTCGCAAATTGAACTTGCGAGTGTGGGAAACATGGTGCGTTGACTTTAGAAATTATTGGTATTAAAGCAGAAGAATACAAAAAGAAATCAATAAGCTCTAATAAATTTTTACCTACTAGGTACAAAAAACAAACACTTAAATACTTATAATAATAAATACTTATTTGTTATTGCCTTGCCTTATAAGGTTTGTAATTTAACTTCGACTGAGCTTTATTTATTTTCTCAAAGATAAATTGGGAAACCTACAACTCCGGTTTAGTTGGTTATAGTTCTGTATAACATTCTATATTAATTTTAAATTTTTGACGGCGTTCTTGAAGACACGATTTTCTAATATTTTCAGATATTTCCTTATTTAGTACCACTTTTTTTAATACATTATTTTGAACAAACACCAGTAGCAGTTCTTCCACTCACGAGCTAAGCCCTCATCCCTGAAATGTGGCCCCAACCACATTGCCATTACTTTTGGCTCTGATTGATGGAATCGGTGGCTCCAACCTGAGGTCTAGTCTACCTACCATGCTCCCCTCGGGTCTGGGCCTAATTGCTAGGCTCTCTGTTTGTCCATCGTATTTTAAATGAAATTGAAAGGTCCAGACTCTCTAAATGGGAAGGCGTTCACTAATTTAGTGGAGTCTGCGGCAATTGTGGCTTGATTGCTAGTTTCGGTTACCTTGCTGTTCGATTTTAATCAGTTAATAGTTTATTTAGTTGAATACCCCAAGCGCGGCTCTACGAGTGGGCAAAAGGAAACAGAAGTTAATCGATTAAAGTATACAAAATCAATGGAAATTTTTAAGAAGTGGTCTCATGTTCTTTAAGCAATTTTATTACAACGAAACTAAAATGTAATTATGGAAAGATTTTGAACAGTTGCACATAATTCGGATTTAATAAAATCCAACACAAATTCTCCAGATGAAAACCTCCATCTGGTTTTTAATAATTCGGCAAGAATGAAACGTTAACTACGCATAGCAAACTTAATCGTTTGAGAACCAGTCAGCTGGTTGATGGTGGTTACTGAATACCACAACTCGAATCGGCCAGTTGAGATCGTTTTGTGTGTCAGACGGCTTTTCCCCAAGTGGCTATCAAACCGCAGACATCGAAATGGACAAACGGTGACCGTTTTTACTCAACCATAATTAAGAGGTCACACGCACAGCTCTGATAAGCTGAATGCGAGTCCCAATTGCTAGCTGGAAAATAAAACAATATACAAGTATAATAAAAAGAAAGGAAATTAAAGAGCTTTAACGCAGTTGCACACGCTGTGCCACTTACGATTCGATTTCGCAGAGGAGAGAGATTTCAGTAATAGGCGAATCACTTCTGGTTGTTTTGGTACCGCCTTTTCTTCTCCTCGGCACACACACGATAATTAATTCGTGCTATTCTTCTGCAGATTTCACTTGTCTTTGGGCTACGCTTCAGCATTGATTGCTCTAGAATTTGTCGGTTAATTATAAATAAAAAAAAACCTTTGGGCTTTTAGATGCCACAGCAGCACTTGGGGGCCTATCGTTAATTTTATGCTGGTTCATCCACTGGCAGCCGTCATCAGTCCCATCATCATCATCATCATCATGATCGTCGTCGTGGTTCTGGCCAGGCCAACATGTGATGTTATATGATGGTGTGTGGCCAAGTCGAGTTTGCGCCTCAAGTGCTCGGAACAGAACCAAATCGAAATAAAATCTCGATGGTGGCTTAGTTCGTGGCACTTTTTTCGCGGAGCGGCCAACTGAAATAGCACCACATACTTAACGAGATCTGGACTTTAAGATACTCTAGCCAACTGTGAGCTTTTCGCTTTGGCCGGGCCGGGAACGTCCATCAAATGCAATGACATCATTGCCTTGGTATTGCCGCACTCAAACTGAAGAGATTGATCCAAATAATTAAGTGATTTTTTGCCATTGAATGCTGATCGGCTTACGAAACAATAGAATATCCTATTGCCCCACCGATGAGATCATAGTAAAATACCTAAAGAGTGTTGACCTTAGGATTGTTCAGCCATTCGAGGAATTTTATGACACTTTTGGCCAACAAGTTTTGAAAAACTAGGGTTACTTTTTTTTCATCGCAGATTACAGATTATTATAGCACACTAATTTCTCTGCGAACAATCAACTGCGGTTCAGTTCAAAGTTGACATTTGGAATGCACTCTTCCTGCAGCCAAATACGAGATCATTTAATGACCGCGCAGTCACTCAGTTTGGCAACTGTTACATTCACCCGATCAGTGTCGATATGCCCTTTTTCAGCCATACTTTTATGGCTGCAGGGTATTCGGCAGAGAGAAACACCGAAACCCGAAAGAAAAAATACCATTGAAAGTTGTTTCATTCCGCTGACTTTGTATCTTATCGCGATTGAACTTTGTTGCCACTGCGGCTGACGATGCTGGGAGCCTGGCCAAAAGATGAAAGGGTAATAGACGGAAGGGGGTCCAAGTTGGGAACCGATCAATACAATCAATTGGAAACGATCAGCCGAAAGAAGACACCAGGTCCTTTTCAGTGTTGGGAAGAGTTTTCCTTGTCTCTTTCAAACAGGTTTAACGAATTTTATTTAACTATCTTTCGATAATATAAATAAAATATTTTGTAATTTTTGTTTTATAATATTTTATCTACTACTAAACATAAATTATTGCTTTTATTTTAAAATAAGTCTCTAAGAACTATTAAAAATTGTACAAAGTTTTGTTTCATTGAAACACAATTGTTACCATAAAAAAATATTTTTTTAAATTTTATTAGTAAACCATTACTTGTGTATCGGCTGTAGTTTGTTGGCTCGAAATTTAGTTTTGTACCTTAAACTTCTAATCGCTCTTCTGCTAATACTTGACTAGTTACTTGCCATCTCTGTTCCTAGTCCGCATTAGTTTCAGTTTAAAGAGCCCGACTCGACCCGATTTGATGGCCAAGTCCGGGATTTATATCACCGATGTCCCGCTGTTCGTTTGAAGCACTCTTGCCGACAAAGACAAAGTCAAAGGCGGCAAATGCCGCCACGGATCGCAGGGAAATCAATTTGGCAATATCCAATATCGGATCGGTTGGGTTCAGAGCAGAGCAGATCACAGAGCGGATCAGATCTTTATGCAGACGCACCCAGACACCGTTAGGCAACCAGATAGACGGATAGATCCCTGACAACTTCTTCATTAGCATTATGGATTGCGGATTGCGGATTGCGAAGAACGAAAGGCAGGCAGAAATTTACATTTTGCAAGATTTTTTTCTTTATTTTTTTTTTGTGCCGCATGCAAGCGCAGCGTTTGAATTATTCGCCAGCAGTTGCAGTTGCAGTTGGATTGCAGTCGGGGTCTCTGTTTCTGGCCATGTTGTTGCCACAATGTTGTTGCCGCCTAACGGTATCGAGCCGCTGGCAATGCCGCCGCCTTTGTGGGTCACTGGGTTGCCACAAGTCTAACCAGAAAATGAAAAAAAAAAAAACGAGTCAAAACAAAACAAACCAGAGATGCTGCCCGCGTAGAAGATGCAGTCGAGTATCTCAAGAGAATTACCCATGGTCAGCGGCATTTTATTAGGCCTTTTTCCCGAGCCATTTTCTTGAAGCCATTTGGCCGACACACGTAAATTACTTGCAGCTAATTGAGGATGTCAACTGACGTGTCTTGCCGCAATTAAGCGCTTCCTCTGTCGCTAATGAACTCCACACTACGCCCCAAACGACTTGGAGCCTCAGCTTCCATGACGCAAACACATGATTTACTCGCTGCAGTTCGAAGCTCGAGCGTATTGAGCATATAGAGATATAAAGCCAACGAGATCGTGACAGAAATAATGCATACAAAATGTGTGTTATTATAGCCCAAAGCATAGATCACAAGAGGTTCACCAAATGGCCCCAACCAACTGAAGAACATATTTTAAGTGCACTGTGGTGCGGCAGTTTATTGGGGGATATTTAGAAACATTTAAGATTTTCGTAATCTAAAGAGACTGATATTATTACAGATTTATGGGTTTATGGGAATACCATTTAAATAAATATGCTGTACAAGGCTCAAGTCAAAGCTTAATGCCTTAATAAATTTTGTTCATTAAGTTAAATTTGTTGTTTAATCAAATTAGTTATTGCTTTATTAATAGTGTCGAAGACAGCTATACCAACAATGGGATTCAAATTGATCAAATAACTTCCAAAGAATTTAAACCTATAATAGTTTCCAAATATGTTCCTTTTTTAAAAAAGTAATTATATTTGTTGAATTTTGAACTTTAAAATGGGCTTAATAGATTGGACATTTATGGAAAATTCCTGGCTTTATTAGGTGTTTAGAGAACCCATCCCACTGTGCCGTGTTTTTAAGCTGCAGAGTACCAAAGTCAGTGCCAGCTAAAAATAAAAGAGTCAACGCTTTGGCATGTCTATGCAGGCGATCTGTGCGAGCTGCCAGCCAGAAGAGCCAGAAAAGCCAGAAAAGGCGAAAAAGGCGAAGAAGGCGACATGCATGCCACGAATTGAGGGACAGATGGACCGAGGGTCGGACCGAATGAATGCCGGATAGACCGACATGGACCGACATGGGGCATATGGCAGAAGTCGGAGCCGAAGTCGGGAGATAGACAGTCAATCTTATGGCCGCAGACAGACGAACACGACCGGGCAGACGACTGTGACTACGAGGACCGTGATGATGATGGTGCAGCATCATTAAATTCGTTTCAAGCGCGGCCCAGTCGCAGGCAACTAAATATTTTGGCATATTCATGTACTGCAAAAAAATAAAATGATCTTACATCACATTGATATAAAAAAGAGGTATTACATATCTTTCTTGTAACTATAAATGTATAATTTACTGTGTATTTTTTATATAGAAAGGGGAATATTTATTAAATTATATTTTACATTTTAAGCCAGGACTCTTTTTGTTATTTGTGCTTCAACATTTAATAAAAATTTGATACAAAAGTCACCAATGTTTTCTACTTCTGTTTTAATAAATCTATAGTATCTCCTATGAGATTTGATAAAATTCCTTTTCATCCATATTTTACATTTAAGGGTATTTTTGGATTTATTGTTATAATTTTTATTGTAATTGCTTTAGTATTAATTCGACCATTTTATTAGGAGACCCAAATAATTTTATTCCAGCTAATCCTTTAGTTACTCCAGCTCATATTCAACCTGAAGTCGGGAGAATTTTTTATCCATGAGTTGCATAGATTAAATAGTATCCTAGTTTTCTCAGTGTAGAGCCAAAAGCCAAGTCTTCCTCTACATCATCACGACTTTGGCTGGCATATAATATATGCGAGTGCTGGGCTCCGTGGAAGTCGTGGCAAGTCTCTGCATTTCATTGAACCTTCAACTTGACTTTGCGCTACGGTTCGGTTTCGGATTCAGCGTTTTCAATTTTGTGGTTTCCTTTTTTCAACTTTTTTTCCTTCTTTTTTTTTTTTTTTTTGGTTGGGTGTATGTTTTTATCGGCATCAGCTGCCCGGCGGAGGCTGTACAAGATCATGACACTGATCGCTGGCTGATTTTGGCCAGGTCGAAGTAATTCATTTACAGTTGCCGTTGCTTTCTTTCGCCAGCTGTGTTGCCGTGATTGAGCCACCCCCGCGGGCCATGCAGATTGCCAAAGCCAGCGGAGCACAGCTTAATTAGCCAGGCCAAGATCAAGTCCAACCAGCCAGCCAACATATGCTGGATCGAACTAAGTTAAATGGCGCAGCCAGCTGGAAAATCGGCAAACGGCGGAAAAGAGGTCATCGATAGACGGGCGGGCACACACATTGCAGCGGGCACTGTAAATTGCAATGCATTTTGGCCAAAACGGGCCAATGCATATCGGCCGGCGACTCCTTCTGACCATCGTGAGAAACTCCGGCAGAACGTGCATGCCCGCGGGTGCCAAGCTCGGCTGGTAATTTATGTCTGCCACGCTATTCTGCACTCTTTTTTAGTCACAGTCCCAAGGATGAGTGTGACTTTAGGGAGCCGCTGAAATTATTATGCATTGTCCATTTGCCCCCGGGTCAATGGGAAGCTCAACGAGTCGAAAGCCGAATGAAAACCAAAAAACCAGAAACCAACCCAACCAGACTCAGCTCTAACCGATCTGAAGTGAATAATTGAAACCGCCTGATTGAGAACGAGCTTTGAAAGGGCTAACCCTGAACTCAAAACAGTTTATAATAAATAAATAAATCTGTAAAAAGTATAATAATTCTCTTGTCAGTACACAGCTTTACTTTAATTTAGTTTTATTACTTACTTTGATTTTAGCTTTCCGTTTTCAATCCTTTGAATAGTAAATAATACTTTTTATAATTTAGTTTTCAGAAAATTATGATTGTTATCTTAAAATAAAGATCAAGAATTTTACCATCTATTATATTATTTTCTAAAATTTCTCTGAATTGCCCACAGATTCATATGCAACTATCTTTCATAGCTTTTTTTCCAAATCCCTTCAAAGTTATGTATATTCTTTGTTCAACAACCAGAAAGAATTCACATCTAATGAAGCTAATTACAGAGTTATAACCACAGACATTATTTACGCCATTCGCCAAGAGTTATGAGTTACAGCACAACAAAATCACCAGATCTCAAGTGAGAACCAAGAACTTTGAGGTGACTCAATCCACAACTTGCATACAATGTGAATTTTTTCTTTGTTTCGGCTGGGGGAACATTCAAATTTATATATTCTATATAAACAATGCTGCACTTTGACTCATAGTCAAATGTGCGGCTGCATTTTGGTCATTGCCACGAATTCGCAGCAAACTGGACACCGGCGGGTTAAAGTTTTCATTTGGAGCACATTATGCATTTTTAGCACTATAAATCATCAATGCAATCGATTGCCACAATCGATCTTTGGGGCAGTTCAAGTGTGTTTTTTATTTCTTTTGCAGTTCCTTGCCTTCGATGGTGTGTCATGGCACGATCCAATGAACGGATCTGCTAATTGTTCAAGTCTATGCACTCAAAAAAATGTTAAATATATCGAAATTGGAAGAAAATATACCCCAAAAATAGAAAATTAATGAAAAGCAAACAAGTGAAATTATATGTATCAACAAAATTCACCATATATTATATTTTACAATGATTTTGTAGCTTCTTAAAATATTTCATAAATGGATAGTAAAATTTTTTCAAATTCAAAAATGCCAAAAGAATACATTACATTACCTTAATCTTTTTTGTTTTTGGGCATTATTATTATTTATTTATTTATTTATTATTTTGAGTGCATGACCACAAAAGGGTGCAGTTGCTGTTTCATTTTGCCGTTGCAATTGCTGTTGCTCTCGAGAGTCTTTTGATTTGTGGCTGGCGTTTGGTCACGTGTGCCGAGCGGGCGAACTAAGCACGCCCAGCTGTCGAGATAAGAGGCATCTAACTATTTTGGTGGGGATCCAAGGGGAGGGGGTGGGAAGGGGGAAAGGGGAAAGGGGAAAGGGGAAAGGGAGGCTTGACGGTCAAGTGTTTCGTCTGGCAACTTTCATACGCCCCGTTGCCAACGGGCGAATGCCATGCGACAAAGCACTTTTGCAGCCCACATGGGACACACCCACAGAAACACTGAAATTTAGACAATCACATTGTGATCGCTTGTTTAATGGTTTATTTATCTGTTTTTTTAGGAGATTTGTATGTTACTTAAGGCTAGAAATCGATAAATCAAGCCATTTATTGGTAGTTGTTGAGGTGTTAATTGTACTACCATGCTAATTTAGGATATTTAGGCTTAAATAATAGTTTAATTATTTGCACGCGCAAGATAAGTTTAATGAAATGCAAGGGTATCCAAGACCCATTTCCACTTAATCTTCAAGAATTCGATAATTCAATCAATTTATCGGAAATTGTTGGGGCGTTAATTATATTACCATTTAGGATCTTTGGTTTTAAATATAAGTTTACATAACTGTATGAGCAAGATAAGTACAATGGAATTTGAGGACATCTAAGATCTATAATCACTTAACCTATCAGTCTTACTAAAATACCAACACTATCCATTACTTGATCGATCCCCGTAAATATCCCTACATTATCCTACCACCACTCAATCCCGAATCTCTCTCTCCGATCTCTTCCCAGATATCCGACTCCCAAAACATCTCACAGCCGAATGGCACACAGCACACGCAGCGCAAACAGCTGGAGGTGCTGAAGGCCCGCACCGCCAACGGGGCGATGCAGGTGATCCGCACCCAGACAGTGCAAAAGAGCTCGTCCTCGTGGTCCTCCTCCACCTCCACCACCACCACATCCACCACCCAACACCACCACCGCACGAGCAATGGCATTGGCAATGGCCACGATCCACCGTCAAAGCCAATCACAATCCTTCCCACAATTGATCAGGGTGTTGACATTTGCGAACTTAGCGACGATTGCAGTTTGAGCGGCAGTGATGCTGGCATCGTTCGCACCGCATCCGCAGATACATCCGCATCGAAATCCGCCTCCACCTCCGCCTCCGCCTTCGCATCCGCATCCGCACTGAGCCAGGAGCTCATCGACGATCATGTTGATTTCGTGGTGATTAATGGCGAGTCGAGCGATCAAGACGACGCCGCCGACGAGCATTTGCACAAAGTCGGACACAATTTGTTACCCGATACGGCGCCGAGTCTGAAATTGAGCAATCTAATGGTAAGTCGCCTGGGCCAGGCTCAAATGCGGTAGTCCACCAGTCAGGGTCTGGCTTTCAAAGCATTTGCTACACAGGAAAAAATGGGGATCCAGGGATCAATATAACTTCATCAATATGATTTCATCTCTACTAGAAATGATTCTGAAAATATTTGAAAAAATATATGTTGTACAAATGAAAATAAACATATATATTAAAACATTATGGATAACAATTATTATTAAATATTCCCTTACAAAGTAATTAACATTCAATTTTAAATAGCTAAAGTAAATTCCTTGAAAAAAAAAACTTAATTACGCAATGTATTACTGGATTTTCAACAGATAATATTTACCATCCACATTTGTTTGCCTTTACAAATATGTAAGTTTAAAACAAATTGTATCATTGGTTTCCTGACAACAAATCACTCCTATTTACCCAGTGTATCTCGCTTTGTTTAGTTAGCTCATTAGCATGAGCCAATGTTTGCTTTCCTCCATCTCTTTTTGCGTCTGGTTGTTTTTCGCGGAGTAATCTTTTGACCATGGCCATGGCAATGACCGAAAATGGGCAGTTGTTAACGGTCGCCAATTGTCGTGTTCGGGGAAAATATTTGGCTCTTGGCCGCTGGGAAAATCATGGAAATCATGTAATGAACAGGGGCCGAGAAATTACCAAGGAAAAGCCTGAAATAGCTGTTAGCTTCACAACTTTAAATTAAGACTTCAAGATTTTATCTAGGTGAAAAAAATATACAAAAATAATAATTTATTTTGAATTAAAAATCCTTAAAATTTAAATTTTATAAATTTATAGAAATACGAATGCTTTTTTACTCACATGATTAAGGACTCTTAGCCATAAAAATTGAGATACGACATTAATGGAAGTGTCATTAAAGAACATCAGACAGCTACCAAAAAAACGAATAGAAATCTGTGATTTTCTGCAATTGGCCAGAACTCATATATCAAACTGAAACTCAGTAGATAATCCACAAGCTGTCTGGCTCTGCGGAATCTTTGACTCATTAATCGAATCGAAATCGAATGGAAATATTTAATAATAGCCCAGCTCAGTTAGGCGTTGCTTAGCACTTCAGCTGGACATTTGGGTCATGACCACATTGGAAATTTCTACGCCAACTCTCTTTCGAAACGCAACTTGCTCATTAGGCCAAATAGTAAAAAGTGTCTAATTATTGGGCTGCCATAAAAGTGACTGGGAAAGTGTCTTGAGACAAGATCAACGCCCACAGTCACTTGGAGGTTCTGGTCATCAATCTTGCCACAAAAATTTCTTCGGGGAATTTCGTTTTGTTTCTCAAATTGCTAAGCTCAAAATCTTACGGAGAAAAAAGTTAACGTCTTTATTATTTGATGCCATAAATGGTTTAGCAAAATGAGTTCAATGATGTTTAATTTCAATCGGGAAAACCAATATTTATACTTTCTGAAACTGACTTTTAAACCCCTATGTTAATTTAAATAAACTCTTCATTTATTTTTGTATCAATTGATTTGCACTTAAAATATTGCACTTTATAAGGCAGGCTTATAAGACTTAAGCTCTGCACTTTGCCTTTCAATTAGGGGCCAATTTATTCTGTGATTTAATTTACTTAGGAGCAGAAAACTATGTACTTAATCTCCTTATGGACCACTTTATTACTCTATTAGTTTATAAGCTATTCTGGGACCTGATTCCCCGCGAGCCATTTGTCTTCGATGCGGAAATTCATTAGCAGTGGCTTCCAGCCGTCTTGTGCGTTTTATATGCGACTTAAGTGCTCAGCTTCCTTAAGCAGTTCCTGTCAATTCGTGCACCCACTCCTATATAGCACAACAATTTCAATAACAACGGCATCAATAACGATAACCAAACGAAAGACACCCGCACTCGAGATCGAGCCATAAAGCTTCGCGAGTATAATGCGCTCAGTCGGACTGAGCTCTTCTTTGTGCTGGTTTATTTTGATTTCGATGACTTTTATTTAATTCTGTTTTTTAATTTTGCGCCTTTCGCGCTGTCGCTTGTTGCCATTTACAGAAAAGCAGCTCGAGCATTTCCAGCCAGAGCAGCAACAACTCGAACCTAACAAATGCAGCACAGGCAACGGCGAGCAACACCCACAGAAGTGCGGGCAAAATAAGCCTACATGCAATTGTGGGACCAGAATCATCATCATCATCGTCGTCATTATTGTCATCGCCAGCGGTTTGGGCCAAGCAGTCGTCCGACTTATATGGCCAACACCCCGGTGGCGTGGGTGGTGCTGCTTCCACTAAGCCAGTGGTGCCAGTGGTGCTGCTGGTGGTGCTGACGTAGCTGCCACAACGCCAACGCAGCGTCGTGATTTGGAAAGTTTCCGGCATTATAACGATGACGACGACGACGACGATCTGCGGTAAGTGGCGCATACACAAATTTCTGTCCATTAACCGATCGGCCCTGAATCCAGTCACACATCTCCTCCGGTTCACATTTAAATACTCGGTTTTCTCTCCAGGCTCACTGCTCGTCACCAGAGGCGTCAGCAGGTGTCCCAGTCGGTCTACGCCCCGCCGTTGCCCTCGATCGGATCCACATTGCTCCAGCGCTCCCGCTCCATTTCCACGGATGATCTCAGCAACGATTGGGAGCGAGAGGATCCCGCCGAGCAGCCGGTGGGTGAGTGGCGACGGGTCAGCAAGCTGCGGCGCTCCTTCCAGTCGCAGGATCACTACAAGACTCCGGCATCCCTGACCCGACCAAAACCCCTCGATTTGCCGGTGAATTCGGTGAGCGTGGCTCGTTTGCGAGCGGAACTGGAGAACGGACGTCGTCTGCACACGGCCATGCGGAATAATCACGTGGACTTGGCGGCTTTGGATAATATACTGAACACCCCCGCGGGAGCCAAACCTTCGGTGGCCAAAAGAAACACCTTCTTAACAGCCGAATCCCTGCAGGAGATACGCGGCAAGCTGAAGAAGCTCTCCGACGAGAGTCTCTACAAGGAGGACTTCCTGGCCTACCACCAGAAGAAGCCAGTGGTTGTCAGGGAGATCAGTGTGGAGAAGGTGGACCCAACGCCACCGGTCAACTCAGCCTTTCGACCCGTTCACAATACCCACAGCTTGGAGTCCCGCCAGAGGCAGAAGGACACCAGTTCCAGTGAGTGGCACCTGCGGCGGAAGTCCTACGGTTTCGAGAAGATGTCGCCACCGGAGGATAAGAGCATTTTCCGGGTAGATGCCTCCACGGATAGTGGGTTGGGCAGATCCGGAGAGCAGCTGGGTAACTGGTCACCCACTGAGAAAGAAAGGGAGAGAAACGAAAGGAATGCAGCTCACCAGAGCAACGGAGGAGGTGGAACCATTGTGCACTTTGGCAGATCCCTGAAACCCATTCCATCATCGAGTCCCACGGAAGGAGAACTCAGCAAGCGGCATTCGATTGCGGTGGAGGAAACCTGGCGCGATATACGGAAAACCTCGCAGGTGCACGTGAATGGGGGAACCGCCATTTCCAGCATCTCGAACTCCACCACCAGCAGTCACCTGCACAAGGGTAGTGCCCAGAAGCGAGTGGAGTTCTGCAAGACGGAGGTGCACTTCGCGGCCGAATCGGGTCGCGTTAATATCGTGGAGACCGACGGCAAGCCGCCGCCCACGCAAAACTTTCGCCGCCGACGCCGCACCACCGCCAGCGGTCCGCTTCAGAGTCTGGTTAAGTCAGCCAGTGCCACCAGCAGCGGCACCACCAACAGTAGTAGCTCCAGCACCACTCAGAGCAGCGACGTGACCCACTTTGGCGATGATCCACAGCGCCGCAAGACGATCGCCACCAGCACGGTCGCCTACCGAGCCACGCTCATGGATCCGCCGGAGGTGGTCACCCAGCCGGTGAGTACTGTAGATAGGAATCTTAAAATAATAAGATTAAAAAAGACACAAATCCTATTATACTTAGTTCAAAAAAAGAAAAAAAGGACCTAATGTGTCAAATGATGTATAAATTAAATACCAAATATGTATCACTTTTAAAATACATTCATGCAAATTAATGCAATTTGCTTGCTAAAATAAAGTAATTCTGATAATTAGGTTGCAATTAAAATTTCTTTATTCATTTTTTGTTTATTTTTTTATTTTTAATTAAACATACTTTAATAATAATATAAAGATAGTTACTGTTTATAATATTACCTTCATCTAAGTACCTAAATCAGGGTGAAGTTATCTAATTTATATTTAATTATTTTTATAGATTTCCAGCAGCAGTAGCATCACCAGCAACAGCACTCAAGTAACAGTGACCACTGTACCCAAGCCCGTGAACGAACCACGGTACAGTCTGATGGAGTCCACTTCGCGGAACAGCTACACCTCCACCAGTGGTGTGGACACCACGGACAACGAAACGGATGAGCTATCCAACATTCGCGGGATTTTGAAAAACAAGCCTATTAAACCCAAACCATATCACCTGGGTGAAAATATTGAAAGTGCTGATGTTCTCTGGAGTGTTCCAGCCATGAAAATGGATCGCGAGAGCCCCTCTGCTAGGGATAGTGGTAATAAAATAATTTAAGGGAAATTGTAGAACCCTTTTTAATGATTTTTTGTATCCGTTAGGCACCACCAGTGACTCCCCCATTAGTCCCAAGTCGGTGGCAGAAAGAATTCGCATTGTGGAGCAAAGACAACAGCAGCAGCAACCTTCGCCATCCGGCAATGGTTACTCGACCAAGATCAATGTGAGCCTGGGCTCCGAGGAATGGATGGAACCAGGTGAGCAATTAGAACACTCTTAAGCATATTTAGTAGTAAAAACGATTAGTTAGTTTGGAATGCCTGTAGTTCGTAGTACCTCGTCTACTGAAATGCGTTGTATGATCTAGTCTATCTGGGTTTTAGCCACGGACTCCTCTACTTGACTCGAACTCTCTGTACTCTGATTCGTATTCCTAATGCATGTTGTGAACTCTGACTGCCGCTTCTCTAAACCACATCTAATAATGCTACATCTAACACCACTCGCTAAGCTCAGTTCGATAACCACGCTCTAAAAACCATAAAACCATAAAAACCACGAAAGAAACATGAAATGCCAAACCCACCAACGACACTTTCCGCACATTTCCCACACAGGCACTGCCATAAGTCATCTGCCCAGCTCGAAATACCGACCCAACCGACGTCCCAGTGCCCAGGAGCTGTTGCTGGAGGATCTGCGCCAGCATCAGCGCATTCTGGACGAGGGCTTGAAGTCCACATCCCTGATAATGAGAACGATGCGATCGGCGAGCGAATTCGATGAGGCCATGCGTCGCCTGAGCATAGCTTCGATTGAGTCCGCCTTGGTCCAGCCCACGATTGTGGTGCCCACGCCCATGTTGCGATCGCACAGCTACCAGGAGGAGGGATCCTACTCCTCCGCCAGGAGACCCTCCACCATCTCCACCACCTCCATCACGAGCAGCGATCTCTTCGGGAGTGCCCTGTACGATTCCCTCCCTCGAACTCCTTTGGCTCCACCGCGTCTTAAACTGCTGGGAAATACCCAAATCCCGGTGAGCCAGCAGTTGACCCAGTTGAGAAGGCTCTACGACGCCGCCGAACAGGATCAGGAGGACAGTGCCGACGAGGAGGTGAAGCGCTACTTCCGGGACAGCAACAGCGACAGTGGCGGAGGAACCCAGGGAAGCTCTTCTCCGGACCAACAGCCGGCGGAGTTGTTCAAGGGCAGCGAGTACTCCAGCAGCTGGAGTCGCCTCAAGGCGAAGAGAACCATCTGGAAAATAGAGACGCAAGATCAGACGCTTCAAGAAGCAGGTAACACCTGCCTCGAAACAGAGTTACAAAGAGGGTTGAGTTAGAGGAGTTCCTTTTTCAACATAATTGGATCAGGCAAATAATATTTCATAGGAAGTTACAGATAGGCTTGCAGGAATTTTCGTGAAGTAACTTAAATCACAAAATATTTTTACCATTTTTATTTATATAATTTTTTACACCATTTTCTATCCAGACCATCTATAGGTGTGTACCAAATTTAAATGATGAATTTATAGATATGAAAATGAATATTTTAATTTCTTATTACTTTCAAGCATTTCAAAATTTTCCAGTCTAAGTATTATGGAATTATACTTTCTGTATAAAAATGTTTTTTAGACAGAACATATTGATATAATTTTTTAAACTTTTTGTTTTTAGAATATATAATTTTTCAGAAAATGAATATTTTCAATCGTTTATTAAATTTATATTTTTTTAATAATTCTTTCAGATCTTCCCAAATCGAATGTGATGAACATAGCTCTCCACGCTCCCCGAATTGAGAAGCCGAAGCCAACTCCCCCTACCCTTCGAATTGGCCAACTTGTGCCTGTGGCCAAGCCGAGAACCCTGTTCATTCAACCACAAATCCAAACACAGACCACCACGGAAAACGCCGATGAGTCCGGCAGCGAATCCTTGAAGATTGTGAAGGAGGCACGCGGAGCTCGAAAGCTGAGGGAGCACGAGCTCTCCTACTTTGGAGTGCAGCAGAATCAGCAGCAGAAGACGAAAATATCAACGCCTAGCACTAATCCCCGAAGGACTCTGCCAAGTCGCAGCAAACTAATCCACAATGATGAGGTGAAGGCCAACACCACGACCACAACCAAGTGGCAACTGCTGAACGATCGACCCGATCTGCTGAGGCACAGTAGTCCCCAGCAAAACGACAATGACACGACCAACGACTACGACCAGGATGACGACCGAGATGAGGACGAGGAGCACTGCTACGAGAACATCGCCACGGAGCTGACCACCACCTTCCGGGTGAAGTCTCCTTCAGTTTCTCCAGAGAGATCCCGATCCCCGGGCAGTTACGAGCGGAAAGCCGATCTGCAGAGGGACGCTCAGATTTTGAGTGAAATGACCCGCAACGCTGATCAGACTTTGAAGGTAACTTAAAAAAAAATGGTCCAAGATAGTAATCAAAATTTTCGAGCAAAATGATTAAAGGCTAAAGGTGGTTAGAAGTAATGACGGAATACATAGCAATTTTCCATATTTAAAAGTCATGCCACTTAAAAATCTGAATTTAAATTTGAAAAAATTATGGACTTCGATTTAGTGAATGCGTGACTCAATTTTCGCTAGCCAATTTTCCGCAAATCTCAAAAGGGGTTTTATGATAAAACTGTAAAATTTAACAATCGGCAAAAAAAAAAAATTAACTAATGATTCAGTTGGTTAGAAAATTGAAATAAAAACTTTATGAGGTATGCCACTTCAAAATCGGATTAAAATAATAGAAGTTAAGGGCTTAGAATTTTTGAATTTTGGTAAATTTTTAGCATTAGAAATTTCAATTTCAATTCATTTTTTCAGGCTCTCTCCGACGAGGCAGCCATCAAGGATCAGCGGCGCAGATCTTGTTCCCTGCAGCGTCGCAGCGCCAAGCCTTTGGAGACCATCGACGAGAAGGTGAAGGTCTATCCCCAGCCGATGGGCGTGGCCCGTGGCACTTTTGCCTCGGAGGCGCGTCGCAACTCCCGGCAGTCGACTCCTTCGCCTTCGAGGGCCCGCAGCTCGTCGCAGTCCTCCATCGAGTGCTGTCCACGTGACAGATCCCGTTCCAGTTCGCGGGAGTCGATGACCCACGGCGGCGGATCCTCCGATGACCAGGTAGCCACCAAACAGCGAGCCGAACGACTGCGCATGCGCACCCCGAAAAGGGAGAAATCGCGCCATGAACCAATCGAGGTTCGAATCAACCGGCACAGCAGCAAATCGAGGAGCGGTTCAAGTGCCGCAGCTCCAGGATCATCTTCCCTGGAATCCAAACGAAGCTCACATCACAGTCGCCACAGCCGAGAGGTGGATCACTCCACGGAGACCAAGACCTCCTCCTCCAGTCGGTTGGTGCGGTCTTCCCGAGTCGGAGATGAAAGTCGCTCCAGACAAAATGGCCATCGGGATGGCCATCGGGAGAAGGAACGCGATCGAGAACGCTCCCGAGGATCCGAGAAACACCGCGAGGAACTCACACGTTCCAGGGGTAAGTAATATCCATATTATTATTTTACTTACCTCAACAGGAAATCCAAGTGGAAGGATAATATCCGGTTAATCTGATCGTGTCTCTTGCAGAACTTCTTGTTTTGGGCTTGCTCATTATGGGTGCCACTCAGCCACAAAGGCTGAACAAACGTTATAGGTTCGCCAAATGAGTTTCAGTTTCGATCAGATCGGTTAACACTTTAAATACACTCTTGAACACTAAACATTCAACACTCTGATCAGATGATCTTAAAAAAACATGTTCCATATATTCTGCCTCAACTAAATTTTGCAATAAAAATAGCAATTTTTTTAAGCACATTTTCACACGCACACGCTAAAACAGTAAATAAAAAAACAAATTTTAATTCCATTAAAATGACTGTAATAATAAAAAAGTAATTCAAACAAGTGTTATTGGAACTTAACAAATATCTTAAAACTTTGCAACAAAACAATTTTGATAAAACACACTGACACATAGTTCATTAAAGTCCGACTTTAAGGTCACAAAATAATAGAGAAATCAAAAATTAAAGTTTTATTCAGCAAGTTATTTTTTGGGTTATTTGTAAAAAATTGTAGCTTGTTAACTAAACTAAAAAAATTCGGTGAAAGCCTAAAAATAAAATAACAATTCTCCATTTTAAACCAATCTGAAGATTTCAATACTCCCCACTGCAGGTCACTCCAGTCGCTCTAGGCACAGTGAGCACCCGTCGTCGGGAACGCGGGAGAGCAGTCGGCCAAGTAAGACGAGATCGAGTCGCAGTAGCCACGACTCCTCGACGGCACAGCACAAAAAGTCGAGCACGACGACCACGAGCACCACAGCCAGTTCGAAGGCATCGAAAAGCACAGCGCATAAGCCATCCGCATCATCATCGAGCACCACAACAAACCGCACAACCCACTCACAACGAACTGACGTACGTATACGTAACGAATTTAGCCAATACACAAACCACCGACGATCCGCAAGGAGAACCGATAGAAAGAATCGAAGAACCGGCAAAGGAGGCGGATTACGCGAGTATCGAAGAGGTTGAGGAGGCGAAAATTCCTCAACCTCCGCCGCGCAGCAAACGAAAGAGATCTTTAATCCCCGTGCCAGTGAATCAGCCCGCCAGCTACGAGTATCGCACCAAGTTGCAGATGATACCGCCCAGCTACTCGAATCAGTCCACCCTAAAATGTCGCAGTTTGGCCCACAAGAAACCCTCCCTGAAGGCCACCCAATCGACCAGCTCGAGCTTTGCTTTCCTGCCCTATTTACCCGCCAAGCGGAACTCGAGTGTTAGCCATGTCTATGACAATTACCTGCTTTATGCCACCAGCGAAGATCCTAAAAAAGCGGACAAGCTGCGTCCCTACCAAAACGATCTGATCAATGAGCATGCGCAGCTCTTTGGCGCTCCTGCTGCAGGGGCGGTGGCCAGAGAGGGGCGTGGCCGACTGGGTGGCTGGCCGAAAAGGCTGAAGATGCGCCAAGTGCGAAGCAGTGTGTCCACCCACCAGCCCTTCGGCATCTGCACATGTTCATAGTCAGCGATGGACAGACAGAAAAAAATATATTTAAAAACAAAACACAAGAAACCAAAAATCAGAATAAATATATAGAGTACATGTTTTTTGGCTGCAAGGATCTCGTCACAAAATCACACACCCAAATAATCCCAAATGCACGAATACGTTTGATTCCACTGCCGACCAACAGCGAAATGCATTTTCCTAACCCCAAAAAGCAAATTGAAAACCACCCAACCACCAACCACTGTGTTCCCTACTAATACTAAACCCCAAAATTAATACCCAAGTGTGAGAGATTTTCGTTTGTTAATTCTTGATTATTATTTATTTCGGAGCGCACACAATCAAAAACTCGGCCAAAGCACACAAGCACAAAAGAAAAGGGCCTGTCTGGGTTCTGTTTTTACTTTTCACAGCGTAAGCGATTTTCCAAATTTCGTTTTCTTTCCTAACCCCCAGTATTGCATGTTGGGTTTTTTAGAGGGAAGTACGAGAAGTGGTGTGGCAATGGATTAAACTACTTTTATTTAATTTCTCTACTATCAAATGTTGACTTTTATTCAAATAATATACAAACTTCACTAATACTCTTGTATTTAAAATAACCCATTTAAGAAAATGTTCTTGCATGTCTGACTACTATTAAAAAACTTACCCCACGCAAATTTCTAACCTCATGCACACTCTGCTCTATCAGTAGAATCAACTCTAAAACTGACTATGAACATGTTGCTGGAAACCAGAACAAAAAAAACCAACAGAATCATCAATGAAATTGGAATTAAACAAAAACCGAATTACAACATCAAACAGCCTTGCTCTATTCTATTTTTCCTTAGCAACTGGAACTGCGTAGTTGAAGTAGTGATTTGGAAATACTATCCTAAGAACAAAATACAGTAGAACAACCATTAGAAATTTATTAACTTCGTACTAGGCTAACGTGGCTAATTTGGTATGTTTTCTGTTTCCGCAGACACGGTAAAAGCACACTGAATGGACACCACCATCATCATCAGCACCAGCACAGCAGCGGTGGCAAACATCAAGGATCTGGACATGGCAATCGGGAGCAGCAGCCACATCATGTCCACGGATTGACCACCTCGTCGATTACGGCCAGCCGACATCAGCGAGATCGCCACGGCAAGGATAGGAAATAAATACGGGAACTCCGGCGAGGAAGCAACGAACTACTAAAAATAAAAAAACATCTAATTTAAATGATATATATATATTTACATTTGTAATGCGCACTAACCCCTGAACGACCAACCCAATTCGATGAGACTTTGTTTTGGTAATTTGCGAAATTTTCTGGCTTGTGAAAAAATTTCAAACAAATTACTTCAGGTTGACGGGACCAAAACTAACCGATTGACTAATATTCGATACTGCTAAATGTGACTTTGAAAACGTTCAAGTTCCCAGTTCCTGACCGCATTTCCACACATTTTTCATACACACACACAAACAAGCTTTGGCATTGCACTCGAAATTCAAGTATTAAAATTATGCCAGCAATTCCCCAAAATGAAACTAAACACTAAACATATAAAATAACAAATGATACTCATATATATTCTTCGATAGCATTTAGTATACGACAAGCAAAAGTGAATGAAAATAAATAAAATACATATTTCAATTATAATTTTTGGTAATAAAACGACTTTTATTTCTTTGAAATGGGAAAAAATTGCTCATACGACTAGTGGACAATCTTAGCTAAATTAGCAATGGTTTTCGTTTCGCTGGACTTGTCATTAAAAGTAAGTAACCATTAATCATTAAAAGTAAGTAATTTGCACAAATAACTTGCTGTGAACCTGGTGTTATTATAATATAGAAAATATCGTTCATGAAGCTCGTAAAACAATATTCTCTTTTCGCAGACTTGTGCTAACTCTGCGAAAAGCTTTTTCGCAGCTTTTCAGCCAAGTATTTCATTATATATTTCACCTTTTATCACTAAACTCACACCGTGATAGGTAGTAAAGCTTATGGCTGCCCGCCACAATAATCCTCTGTGAGCGTTCCGGCAAATTGAAGCGGCTCTCAGTTGTTGTCCAACTGCCGTCACGTCAAACTAAATTTGTCCACCTTCTGTGCTGTGAGTAGAATGGAAAATGTGATAAAGTAAAAGTCAAGTACCACTGCATTATGTTTCAACGGGGCCACCGATAAGGAAAATGCTTATATAAATACAGCAATCAGCTGTAACATTTGAGGGATTCCAGACAATTATGTATTCGAGCGTGTGAGGTGGATTTCGAGATTGCAACACCTGGTTTGACACATAAATGAGTCATCGATCAGATAGATAGTGAAACCGTTAGCCTTTGGCCTCTGTCTGATAAATGATAATAATCTTCGATATCTAACCAATAAACCCAAAACAAATTAATACGTGTCTCCCATCAAGGGTAATTAAGATAACACCCGCGTTTAAGATTGCTTAGATTTCTTTTGGAATGACTCAGAATCATTTTTGGCAAAAGGATCGAATAATTAGTTTTTACAAAAGTATTTGCAATTTTACAATAACAAACACTTTCTACCAAAATGCTATATCTAAAATATATTAGAAATTGTTTGAGTTGAATTTGTAAATCTGTGGATACTAATTATTAATTAAAAACTAAAATATCAATATTTAGTTTGTTTTGTTTTCGCAATAAACTGAACTACAAACTTTTTCTATCTAGTTCTACCGTTGTTATCAGTCTTGAAAATGTTCGTTTATCTTGTCTGAAATGGCGGTCTAGGTACCAAAAAAATTCAGCAGGTAGTTGACCACATTTGGCTTAAACAAAAGCAAAGTGCCATATCATTTACTGATAAGTAAATATATATATATATATAGACTTCTGTTGATTAGAAGTGAAACCTCCCTTGGTGTCTTAGTTTGTACTGCTGCACACTTTATTTAACTTTCAGAATCGATTCGCGACGGTTGTTTTCCATTTTTTGTCCCTCCAAGAAGTTAGTCTACCTTTCCTTGTTCTTAATACCTAAATATTTTATAAGGTGGACTAATACCATTGATTTTACAGAGGCTAACCGCAAATAGACACGATGTCGATTCTAACGGGCAGCGCTAATGCGGTGAAATATACGCTCTTTGGATTTAACTTGATCTTCTTGGTAAGTAAATGTGGAAGAATTTTGTTTAGATGAGTCACCAGTCACAGTTTGCTGATAAAATGGGTTTCAGATTAGATAGACCAAGCGGTTGATGGTCATTGGTCAGTGGGGGAATCACCTTTTCGATCAATTTCACCAAAATAAATAGAAAAAATTGTTTATCGCAATATATCAGGTAGATAAAATAATATTTTATTTTTATTGACAAATTAAACTTTATCATTATAAATTTTGTTAAAAACGTAATAGACTAAAATAAACTTGTCGGGCTCATAAATGTCCTAAGAATTTTTAAAACCAATATCTTATCTGCATTGCAAACAACTGTCACCATGGAACACAAAATTAATTTGTTTATTTAAATGGATGAGTAATAAGAACGATTCCAAGAACTATTAAATTACATTAACTAAAGCACTGTGAAGATAAAATAAATAAAATAATAATAATTGATGGCTTGTTTAGGTTATTATGTATTTAATATCAATCATTTATATCCAACATCCAGATCACTGGAATTATTCTGATTGCCGTTGGAGCCGGCGTTGGTGCCGTTTACACGGGATATGAGCTCTTCCTGGCTGGAAAGTTCTTCTCGATCCCCACTTTTCTGATCGTGATCGGATCGTTCATCATCGTGATCTCGTTCTTCGGCTGCTGGGGAGCCCTGAAGGAGAACTACTGTCTGGTGCTCAGCTTCTCGATCATGCTGACCATCATCTTCATCCTGGAGTTGGCCGCCGGCATCAGTGGCTATGTCCTGCGCAACGACGCCTCCAACTTGATCAGCACATCCTTGACCAACTCGCTGAAGGAGTACAACAGCCTCAACCAGAACGCGACCACTCAACTCTGGGACGATGTCCAGCGGGAGTTCGACTGCTGTGGTGTGAAGAACTACCAAGACTGGCTGGTTACCTTCCCCAACGGTTCCCTGCCCATCTCCTGCTGCACCATCCCAGTGGGAGCTGCGGGCACCTTCGAATGCTCGAACAACACGGCCAGCCTTCCTAATCGCCACAAGGACGGCTGCCTCGACGGCTTCTCCAACTACATTGCCGCCCATGCGGTCAGTCTGGGGGCGGCGGGCGTGGTCATTGCCATTCTGCAGGTGAGTTTCAACAAATGCCAAGGCATTGAAATTTTTTTTATTTGAATTCCTAATCGACTAATGCGACTTTAAATTATCTTTATTCGAACTAGTTTTTACTGGTATTTTTATAATGTCCCGTAGGTGTAAAAAAAAAATTTTCTATTTCGTAGAATTTAGTCCTTATGCGCATTAAATCTTCTTTAACCTTTAATCGTTAAATATTTTCATAACCTTTAAATGTAATAAAAAAAAAAAAATTTTAATTTTAAATATTTTATATATATTATTATTGTATTTTATATATATAATTTTATTGTATTTTCTTTTCATTTCAGTTCTTTGGCGTCATATTTGCTTGCTACATTGCGCGTGAGATCAAAATCCGAAACGGCATTACTGGCTTCATTTAAGCCAAGCCTACATAGATTCTAGCCAAGAGCCGCAGTTTAACATTAAGTCATTGATAAATTCAATAGATGTTTCTAGTGCTATATTAACTTTTCTTTCTGCTGATACAAATAAACATATACCTATACTTCTAAACAACATTGTGTCTTTGTTTCTTTTAGATCTTATGCTTATCTGGCCTTTTCGTTGATATTGGTCTGAATTCAAAAATGCAATCTTATCGTCCAAATGTGAAATTGCCGTCAATAAAATATGAATTGCATTGTTTTGTAACTCTAAATCATTTATTACCATTTATTACAAAGTACCTTTATTACACAACAGAAGTAAATGCAATTCAAGGTAACCGTAAAAAGGGTTTGGACTGTTGTTTAAAAAAAACTTGATATTACCTATTACAATTAATTTTTAATATAAACTAAAAGACGTTCATTTTTATTCTGTTATTAATTTATCAAACTGTTTTCATTACCAAAAAAAAATAAAAATAGTGCTTTATTAAACCATTTTTTCAATCATTCGAAAACTTATTTTAAAGATTTATAAAAAGCTTCAAATATAAGAGTCGCTCACTTAACCATATTCTTATAACCCAGTCAAAACAAATAGAATTATTATTTTCCACCCACGTCAGACAAACAGATAATATACTTATAAGCAGGCACACACCTGTGTTTACCTCTGAATAATTTAAGCTTTTAGGAAGTGCAGTGCGATTAAAAAATCGATAAACCATTAAAGTTGACTCACTTAAAACTGAATTTAAATCGATAATATACTCGATTGAGGCGAACGGCATTGACATGTGAACTTGACCAGCAAAACTATATATAAAACTAGCGGGAGCGAAGTCATATAAGTAGGTACATGGTAATTCAGTAAATTGTAGTTGGATAAATACTGTCAAAAGGTCATTGGATGTCCCAAATCGAATCGCTCCAATATTCGATTACTTAGTTCCCGTTATATTGCGAAAACTCGACTAATGAAAACAAGGCAATCATTATCTTATCTGTTATTTGTCTAACTGGAAGAACAATAACTGCCTGATAAGCGTCGCTGGAAAAAATGCACTGAAAATAAGGTTTGGCAATATCCAAAGAACGGAGGGAAATAATATATTTATTCAAAATTTCTTGGAAACAAATTCTAAAATATCTTTTAAACAATAATTAAAAGAAAAACGCATTTCTAGTTAAATCGTTTGTTCTGTAAAACCACATTAAAATACAACAAAAACAGTTAGGGCTATTACGCTTTTAAGAAATATGTTTGGTAATTTATTCCCAGTGTAACTGCGAGTGGGAGTGAGAGGGCGGCAAGGCCGGACGGCACCTGGCAGAGCGTGGGAGAGGGAGAGAACGACCCGCAACAGAGCTCGTCGATTGCGTTTACCGTTTTGCCACTCAGTTCACGTGTGACTAGCAAAAGTTAAAGTACGTTCACTGTCGAGTCGGTGGAGCGACATACTATATAATATATTATACATCGGTATCGGACTGTTATTAACACTTTTACAAATTGCAGCTGACATACGAGAGAGAATTCGCACAGCATAATGGCGAATCGGGAATTACAACTAAATTCGGGCATGAAGTGCGCCAAATACATGCTCATCATCGTGAGCTTTATGTTTGCGGTGAGTCGATCCTTGGGTTTAAGCCTCCATTATTGCAGTTTGTGAATCACATTCCGCCATCTTGATATTTTTCCATTTTTCTGCGCGTTCTTTTCTTTTATCATATAGAGCACTTTTCCTTATCAACCTTTAAGTTAATTGTGTGGGTGGGAGTAGTTTTTTTGTGATTCATTTTGCGCCTACGTAAGTCGCCGATAGAAAAACAAATGAGAGCAAGTAGGAAAATTGGAGTAAGAGAGAAACAGGTCAAGAACAAGCTGACTTTTTCTCTTGCCGATGTTTTTTGTTCTATTTGGAAAGTAAATATCAGCAAGATCAAACATTTTTGATGGAGTTTTATCACAGTTATTGACAATGCGGGGACTAAAAAGAGTAATTTGTATTTATAACAGTCAAATTTATGATTTGAATAATCTATTTATTTAATTCTTACAAAAAACTGTTCAAATTGATAATCTAAAGAAAATTATTTAATAAGAATAAAGGTACTTTCTGAATCTATTGTAACTCAAAACCAATATTTCACCATTCTTACAATAACTCAATTGCCCTAAAACTGTATAACAATTACTCATTTTGATAAGATAACCACAGCAAAATACATTCAACTGAGATTGTTAAACAATATACGAATGCATATGTATTTCCGGGACCTGTATATAAATGGTTTTGTTAACTTGCACACATGTAATTTTAACGTTGTTGATCAACATTTTTCAAATATTTACAAACTTGTTTTTGAGCAAACATTTGCACATTGGAGAACAATTGAGGTGAACATGCTTATGAAAAATAACAAACCAAATTGAAAGCGGAACTTTGTTCTATATTTTTTTTTATTACAAAATAAAGTTTAAATAATATTATTTAATAATTCATAATATATAAGTAGAGTTTAAGCCTTATAGCAGAACTTAAAAAATCATTGCTGTTTCGCAATGTTAGGTCATCCGGAATGGATTGTTAGCTGATCGATAAAAAATAGGTGAAATACTCAGTTGCAGGCACCACCCACCTCCCCTTTGTCATAAAACCCCTTCGTTTCATGTGCTCACAAAGTCACACTGAAAATCTCGCTCTAAATGAGATTTGACATGCGAATCGTTACGATTTCTTACTGTGATTTCCCTCCCTCCCCAGCTGACCGCCATCCTCCTGATAATGGTGGGAACCACCATCCAGGCGATCTTCGGCGACTTCAGCGTCTTCATCGATGGACACTTCTCGTCGCCCCCGGCGCTCCTCATCGCCATCGGATTCATTCTGATCGCAGTGGCCATGCTGGGAGCCTATGGAGCCGTCAAGGAGAGTGTGATGCTCATTAACCTGGTAAGTAAAAGATTATATTCAAATTAAATGTTATATATAATAGGAGAATAGAATTTTTAGCTGAAAATCTCATTCTACTAAACTTTGATTCCCCAATAGTGTTAGGAGTAATTTATATCGGTTGCCACACAATTTCTTAATTAACACGAAATTATTGTTGTAGGAAAAAACATGCGTTTCAAATCAATCTAATTCTTGGTAACACTTCTTGATTTTTAACTTTTGTTTGCAACTTAGTTTTTGTTAATATTTTCTTGGTAATATCACTCTATAATCTTTATCCTTTCTTGCAGTACGGAGTGTGCCTGTTTTTGGTCTTCATCCTGGAGGTCTCTGCTGCCATCGCCGCCTTCGTGATGCAATCGCAGGTCAGGGGAATGTTGATGCGCACGATGCACGAGGCCCTCGCCCAATACGACCACGATCCCTATGTTAAAGCTGGTGTCGACCTCATGCAATCCGGGGTAAGTTTAAAAATCATAAATTGGAATTAAATAAAATGTATAAATCATAATTTAAAATCTGAATGTTATGAAAGTCAGCCGTGTACAAATTTTCAAAATAAATCAATTCACTGCCCGTATATAAAATGACTAATAACATATAATTAAATAATATTGATTAACAATTTAACTTTTCACAACCTTGTTATTTGCTTTGAAATTTCTGTTTCTTAAAAAATTTTAAATTTATATTTGGTTCAAGTTTGGTAATGTCTTTCATAACATTATAAATCCAAAGGCACAAACAATAATAAAAAGTATAAAAACTTTAGAGTTAACTCAACGATTCTAAATTATTTTTACCATGATTTTTTCATTTGCTCACCTTCAGCTCGAGTGCTGCGGAGTGACGGAGCCGGAGGACTGGAAGGACAACTACGCCCCCAACAAGAACCTGACCCTCGGATCCGACGACGTGGTGGTGCCGAACTCCTGCTGCGGCAGCACGGTTCCCGATCTGAACGACGACTTGATGGGCACCTGTGTGGAGACCTTCGACTACGGCTGCTTCCGCAAGATGAACTTCATCGTGTCGCAGAGCGCCATGCTGATAGCCACCGGAGCCACCACGGTGGCCTTCGTCCAGCTGCTGGGCGTCCTCTGCGCCTTCATGTTGGCCAAGACCCTCCGCAGGAACAAGTCGATCCGCGAGGCCCGTCGCTGGCAGCTGCAGCAGAGCCTTGGCGTTCTCATCTCCGGCGGAAAGATGGCTCCGCCCCAGAACTCCGCGGTCACCGGCTACCAGCAGCTGGACAACGGCGAGCAGGGCTCCCACGAACCCTACACCTACACGCCCCAGAGCCCCAGTGTTAACTAGGCTTCTAGCCACAGGCGTCCTCTGAAGCCATATATTTATACCGTATAGCACACCCAAAGAGATCCGTTTGTAAATGTAACTTTTTATCTTGTTAACGAAAAACTTAGTAAAACGAAATAAACGCAGTGGTTCTAGGACTACTTGCTGAAGTTATTGGTGTTCTAAATGGAAAGTCACTTCGTTTAGGAAAATTGAATGAATAGAAGGTATCTTTAAATCTATAAAGGGATAACAAGTTTTAATTGGAAAATAAGCTACTATATGCTGAATTAAGTCCAAAAGCGAGAATCGTCCACCTTGAAACATTAAATAATTCCGACAAAAAGTATAAGTATTAAATGCAAAAGGAACTTTTTATTTGTTAACCAAGTTAGGACTGTTTGCGCAAATCTTTTGCGAACTTCTTCAGCAGTCGAAGCTGTTCCACGACGCTGCTACTGGCAGTTCCACCGATCGCATTGTACTGCTGCACATTATTGGAGTAATCCGCCACGGCGACAATATCCGATCCGAAAACAGGGCTAAACTTTTGCAGATTACCCAGTGGCAAGTCGGTTATTTCAACGTCAAGTTTCTCGGCCTCCGCAACAACACGGCCAATTATGTGGTGGGCCTGTCGGAAGGGAATCCCCTTTTTTACCAGATAGTAGGCCTGAAACCAAAGCGAAAGTATAAGTTAATATATTAATTGATATATTCTAATTCCCAGTTTCATTATCGTTTAAAGTTTGTGAACATCAATAAATATTTTCAAACATTTTTTGACCACATATTTAGAGAAAAGTTAACCTTATTTCTATTTAAATGAATAAATGAGAAACAAACAACTTACCCAGTCAGTGGCCAACATTTCGGTGCTCAGAGCCGCCTCCATGGAGTCCTGCTTTACCTGCATTGTCTGCAGGACACCATCGGCCACTTCCAGCACCTGAGAGAGTTTGTCGAAGGACTGGAAGCAGTACTCCTTGTCAAACTGCAGATCCTTGTTGTAGGTGGATGGAGTGCCCTTGATGGTCATCATGATGCCCGTCAGATTGGCGGTGATCACTCCGGCCATTCCGCGAATTAGCTCCAAGCTGTCCGGGTTCCGTTTCTGGGGCATCAGACTGCTGCCACTGGAGAAGCCATCGGCCAGCCGAATGAAGTTGAACTCCTTGGTGCTGTAGATGATCAGGTCCTCGGCCAATCGAGAAAGATGCAGGCTCACCATAGAGCAGCAGTAGATGAAGTCAACTAAAAGAACAAACTAAGCCTTTAAGATTGGACTTCTAAAACCTAAAAATATTAAAACAATCTTCCTATGCAAGAACAATTTTATAAAAACTTAGAGCTTAACTAGAACTAGAATACATAGATAAGGTTTGAAATATTCCGAAAAATATTAAGAGCCACAAAACTTTCCACTAGAATGGGTTCTACAGTTTAAAAAACAGCAATTAAAACTAATTGTATTGATAGTAATCTTTCCTTGGAACCAACTAAAAATAAAAGATTTATACAGAAAGGTTCTGTGGGAAATAAGCCTCGTAAAAGCGTAATATTCGACCACATTTCTATTATTAAGCAGGTGGCCAAGCCCTTCTTATCAGCCTCTCCCGAAATAATCGAATGTAGAGCAGAGCGTTGATAAGAAATCAATGGAAACCGAATTGCAGTATGAACGACTTTGAAATGACTTCACTGAGAACGCAGACTCACCCACAAAATCGCGATCTCCCACGGCGTGCATGCTGTTTGGGGTGACGCCCGAGAATCCCAATCTCTCGGCGAGCCACAACCGATCGATGCCGAGGGGATTCCCCGCCAAGGCGCCACTGCCCAAGGGCAGGACATTCGCCCGATCCCGGAGCTCCACCAACCGCTGAGCATCCTCCTTCAGGGCGAAGGCGTGGGACAGAAGCCAGTGGGAGAACTGGACGGTCTGTGCCCTCTGCAGATGAGTGTATCCCGGCATCAGGACACCTAGATGCTGTTCCGCCTGCCGGGTGGCAGACTCGATAACACGACTCAAGCGACCCAAGGTCTCGCGGATGGCTTTCCTCAGCCAGAGCTTCATGTCGGTGGCCACCTGGTCATTTCTGCTCCTTCCCGTATGAAGTCGCTGACCAAGTTCACCGGTTAGCTCCACCAGCAGGCGTTCGTTAACCGTGTGCACATCCTCATCGCCGGGCAGAAGCTTCACGGTTCCCTCGATCCATTCGAATCGCACCAGCTCCAGATTCTTCACCAGCTTGTCCGTCTCGGCGGCGTTCAGGTGACCGGCTCTTTGGAGCGCCTCCGCGTACGCCTTGCTGGCATCCAGATCATCCGCATATAGACGGGAATCGGTTGGCAAACTATTGTTCAGCGATTGGAGAGCTTCGTGAGGAGTCTCGCTGAAGCGACCGCCCCACAGTTTATATGTGTTCTTGGGGATCTGGGACATGATGGCTCCGCTCAACGTAACACTTGGATGAGTACTGCGGATCGCAGCTCACGAATACAGTACTCTAGTTTATTGTATAACCGTGTTATCTTTCAAAATAATATGTTGCTCGGTTTTTTATATGAGCTGTATATGATTGGGGCTAGTCAAAAGTGATGTTCTCTCTCGAGCAACAGTGGTTTAATCGATTAAAACGCCTACTGTTTTTAATAAACTGTATTTTTCTGGTTTTTAGGTTTTAACAGGTACTTATCAAAACCAAAATTATAAGTGCTTAAAGAATTTAATGCATTACAATGCAAGTCACAACAATTCAACATAATCAGTAGATTAATAAAAGTAAAATTCACTTTGGAACCTAAGTAGTTTTGGGTTAAGTTCTCATCTTATAGACCACGGTGCCTCGTTCTCTCGTTAACAATTTAATTTCTGCTCGCAGTTACTTGATTTTTATTTTTAATTGACTTGGGCTAAAAAAAAAAAAAAAAAAAAAACAAACAAGCCCTCAGCGTCGGAGAGATATAGCCGCTTATCAACCAAGATTAAAATCACCAGAGCGTTGTAGCCTCTGACGCTTGTTGCCGCATTAACTCCAGATAGTTTGGTCTTGATGGGCGCAACGTTGACACCTAGTTTACGAGGAGAGATCCTCCAGAAAAAGTTTATTTAATTCACAGCAAAGGCGGTGCAGCGGTAGTCCCATCACACTGTAAAAATCCCCATCGATTCGATGGATCAGAGCGCCACCAGGTCCTTGAACGCCATAAGCTCCAGCTTTATCTCTGCATTAATATCAAAATAATTGATTAACTTATTAACATATTAATATATAAAGCTTACAGGGGATCGCCTGAGTCCACATAACTTTGAATTTGCTCTGGCAGCAGTTCACCAAAATACACGTCTGCCGTATCCGTAAATTTGCGAATTCCGTTGGCGTGTTTCAGGATAACGCCGCTAAAAACGCGGTTTGAGGTTCCAGACAAGCTAAAAATAAAAATATATACATACTTATTAAGGGAATCTTATATTAAATGGTTTCTGGTTGGGCTTTAGAGACCAGTTTAAACGTCGAAAACGAGGCTTGCATTTTTCAAAACCGGCAAGAGGTCTGCCCAATAAAGTATAATATTATTACTTGGTCAACACGCGAACTGCATCGGCAGCATCCTTGGGTTTTCCATAGATCTCCTTTCCCAAGGTGACCATAGTGTCCGCAGCGATGACAATAAGGTTCTTTGAGTCCCCAGAGGAACTCAATCTCGAGAACACTTCTTCCGCTTTTCCCAGAGCAGTGGCCTCAATGTAGTCTGAGAACTCCTTGAAGTCTTCGAGGTTTAGGTTCTCCTCAAATGTTGAGGGACACAATTCTGCATTGAGACCCTAAAACATAAATTCAAATATTGGTTGCTGTTCAAAAATATTGTTCTGCTCCCAACTTACCAACATTTTTACCAGTTCCTGCCTTCTCGGAGAGCCGCTTGCCAAAACAATTCGGTAGTTACCTAATAAATGCTTAATTGGCGCCAACATAATTACTTATTTGGTTCCTATAAAGTTATTTTGTTTAACGTTATGATTATTTACAAAACAAAACTGCCGAACATGTGTTAAGTTTTTTATGGTATTTAAAACAAAAACCTGTCGGGATTGTGAGTATTTCATGTTACTTTTTCGTTGGTCACTCTACATGCCCAAGAAAAATGGCCTTTAACTTTTTCACTTACCTTTCAACATTGGTTGGAAACTCGGATTCTTATGATAAAAGCATATCGAATATTCAATTTTGGCGGTTGAATAACGAATTTTTAAATCAAATTATTGAAAAGCTATGAAACATTTTTCCATAATACATTTGCATTTTATTAAATACATGCTTTTACGCATTTAAAAGATTAATAACTATAATACGTAATAATCTCAATCACAAAAGAGATTTAATATATAGGCTACATACATACACATATATAGGATTTACTTAGGCAAATGGCTAACTCAGTGACGGAAAACCAGAGTAGTGATGGATTTATAGTAGTACAACCTAGGCTTAATTACGAACTAAATTAACAACTCTAAATTATATCTACGTTTGGTATTTGTACAAAAGGAACGAGTTCTGCGACAGAACCCAAACGAAACCTTTCGGGAAATGGGGAAATCAAACTAATTCAAAGGACCGACGACATAAGAGAGTTATGGAAACGGTAATGGCAATGCTAGTATAGCTTATCGTAAATCATTATGTGAGAATACACAATTATCTATAAATATATACAAAAGCTATTTATATACATTAGGAGTACGACCAACTGTTTCTATTATTGCTCCTTGTCGGTGGATCTCTTTGAGACTCCATCACTAGAACTTTCCGTTGGCGGATCCTTGGGTTCCGGCATCAGTTCGCCCACAGCCAATTTATTTGGCAGCGCTTCCGGCGTGCTGATAATGCCGTATGGCCTCAGATGGTAGATCAGATAGTCCAGCACGTACATTTGATTCGGGGAGACGTAATGGAAGGATATGGCATTGTCCGAGCAGCAGTCAAGCCCCTGAAATAAAAGATATATATTAGTTTTCTGATTATAATTATGATTTGGAAATGCAAATGCTCATGAAGTTAAAATTTAAAATTAAAATTAATTAACAATTATATTCTCTAACTTCTTTTATGGCATTTATATGTATTTTTGAATATAAATGAATTGTTAATAAAAGCTTAAACAAATTCATTCAGGCAAATAGCACAAATTTATAGAAATAATTAAAAAAACATTAAGAAATAAATAATATGCACTTTTTTTTTGGGAGATTTCTGATTACGTATAATCAAAATCTGAGTTAATCAATTAAAATAGAATATAGTTTTCCAATTATTGAAGTGTAGACTCACCTCGTCGGTCTTGTAGAATATGTACTGCCAGTACCAGAACTTCTTGTCCGTGTGCGCCGGAATAAGATGATGTTCCGGAACGAAGGGAAAGAAGCGACCGCGTCCGTTGGAGTCCCGGGAGTCGCCAGCCAGGACCTTAACGTTCTGCAGGCACTTGCCAATCTCGACGTCCTCGGCGCCCGTGTTCTCCGCCTTGCAGAGCTTCGGATCGGGAATGGCCTCGACCACGAAGCGACGCACTGCCTCCCGGCTGAGGACGTAGCCGGCACCGCCGGACATGTAGCCCTGCTTCACGTACGGCTTGAACTTGCAGCCGAAGTAGACCGGCGTTTCCGGACTGTACGGATAGAGCATGTAGCGCATGTTCTCCACTATCGTGTAGGTGTCGTCGTCGGCCTTGAGGAACCAGTCGGCGTCGTTGATGTGGTGCTCGTAGATATACTTGTAGGCCTCCTTCGTCTTGCCCCACAGGTTGTTGCGACCCTCGCCCACCGGCAGCGCCACTGCGTCCAGTTCGTCGTCCTTCGCCGAGCTCATGAAGATCAGCTTGTTGCACCTCTTGCCCCAGGTACGCTTCACGTGGCGCGCCTTCTTCTGGTGGTTGCTCGGATTGGTCATGATCCAGCACAGGATCCGCACCTCGCCGTACAGCTTCTCGGCGATCGTGGAGTTCTCGTGGACGTGCTCGTGGCCACCGACATCCTGCTCCGGGCCAGACATCTCCATCATGTCGTGGCTGTGATGGGCATCGTTGACGTCCCCGTGCCGATGGCCATCGTATGGCATGAACTCGCTCCTTTCGGGCGTCGAGTAAACAAAGAGCTCCGCCAGGCAGAAGCCCACGATCAGACCCACAATCAGGGAGACAAACGATCGCTTATTCGAGCGTCCTGTGGATTATACCAATAAATAATTAGTAAAGTGTATAAATTGTAGGAATAGGTATCTAAAAGGCTCACTCGTTTAGGCTGAAAAAACACACAATTTAATTTTTTCATCTTCTTATTTAATATATTATTGTAGTATAAAGCAATCATATAATTATTGTGATTTAGTTCTAACAATTTAAAAAAGAGTAGTATTTCTAAGTAGATACTACAGAATAATGATATGTTATGGCAGTACATATAGAGAATTATATACCTTTCAAAGCTGTATTACATTTCTCGACCTTAAACTGATATATTATGACTTAACTATTTACAGCAAAAGAGCTTCAAAAGATCTACCAACATCCATGATAAGATAAGATATATTTTGGATGCCCCAATTGATATATGTATTAATAGCACTGCCGCTCATGTTTTCGCTAACATAGACACCATTTATGTTATTTACTTATAACCGTAGTCTTGATAAGATATATAAATACAGCGAAACTCACCTTCGTTGAGCAGGGACCTTCCCAGCAAACTGTTGGCAGTCATTTGGCTTTAATTTGTGTTAAACTGGTGCGAGGATGGAAGGAACTTTGTGGCTGAGAGTCGGCAAAGAGCCGCGTTTGTGGGGACTGGCAGCTTCTTTGGTTGCGTTTCTTCAGCTGGGGAATCCACCTCGGTGTCGCCTTACATTTTCTGCAAAGAACAATGGACAGTTTTCAGTTTTAGCCACGTGTTAACTCGGAGTAAGTCAGCGCTGGGCTTTCCGGCTGGCATCTGCACTCGGTCATTAGTGTCAACTATCTGAGCATTGAGTTGCTTCTGCTCGGATTGGCTCGCCTCCGCTCTTTTTGGTCGAACTGTGTTAATCTTATGCAAAACGTGACAATTGGCTCGCTTCTGAGTTCTGAGTTGCATTCTGCAGCTACCGCGCTGCTGATAAATATTTATTTCAGAAAGCATTTTAAGTTTTTATTTTTATTTGCTCTTCTTCGATTTTTCATTTTTTGCACGTGTCTGCGAGTGTTCCTCGGCGAACGAGTGCTTCCCTCCGGAGATAGCCAGCAAAACGTTGGCTTTTTGGCATACGCAAACATGGCCGAGAGTCTTGCTGTTTTCTAGTTTGTGTCGTAAAAGTAGCAGACAACATAAAGTATTTGCAATCCCGAGAATCAGCGTGTTTTGTTGCGAACTCAAAATAGGAAAGCAATTACACTTCTGACACTGTAATAAAGATAATTTTAACCGTCATGGTTCGCTTTGGTTCATACTTTTGTCTGAGATTAACGAGTGCTAAACCAATATACTAGATTAGTGGAGGTCGTTGAACTGAGCACTTACTTAGAAATAGATGCATAATTAATGTTAATTAATAAACTATGTTTATTCAATAATGATGTAATTAACGTACTGTGGGTGTTTATAAAGCACTTAAAATTTATAAAGCTTATAGTTTTACTCAATGAAAGACTCCACTTGATGACTTATGCTAATTTATTTTACTACTACTGATCTTTGTCTGCCCAACGTCACATTTGTTAGAACAATTAAATCTTTGATATGAGCGTGAAAATCTCTTTGTTTTGCTTAGCCGCAGTCATTGTTTAGCAAATCTTTTGTTTAGCACTTACTTAATAATTTGTTTGCACAAATAAAACAATATTATTGGCAGGGGGATGCAAAGCAGCTGCGACAACCGATTGCGGTTTGAACAAATCAAACTTGACTGCAGCGATGAACCCGAACGCGTCGACACTTCGTCAATAAATGCAGTCAGACAACCAAAAAGCAGAGGTTTTTTAAGCAATTTGCAGTTGCATTTTCCGACTGTTCTCGGTTCTGGGTTCTCGGTTCTGGGTTCTCGGTTCTCGGCATTTGTTCTCTTTTGTTTTCCCCGGTAGTTCCAACTTATTTACTGATAAAAGAAAACACTAAAAGCAGCCTTGAAAATGCATGTACGCATACAATATAGACATTTTGGTAATTGATTTTCCATGAATCAGTTGGGTTTGTCCAGTAGGTTGGTCGTTTCCTATCTTTCATCCACTACTTAATGTTATCAGAAAGCAATAATTACTTCTTATCACTACTAGCGTCAAAGCTTCGATAGCGTTTGCTGTTTAATAACATTTGTGGGTCAAGTTTCCTTAGAATGATATGGATTCGTACCGACCACTAATAATCTATTAAATAAATTGATTTCGAGGAATTGCCCTTATCAATTAAAAATCACTTAAAGTTGCTTATGCTACTAAAAAACCACCTTTTTTTGGGCTTTTAAAAGTGTTTTTCTTCCATTGGGTATTATGTGTCAATATAAATTAAAAAGCATTTCAATTGTTTAAAGACGACATAATGATAAATTCATGAATGCAGGTAAGCTAAAGAATTGGCAATCAATTTTATTTCCGTGTTTTATTCACTTTAAAGAAATGCCATTGTGGTTTCCCTTTATACCAAGAGCCCACTGTATCTTTGAATATCTTAAACATTGTAGACGTAACTTTTGTTTGATCAACTGGTTGCGTTTTAGATCTCAATATTCCAATTCGACTTTATTCCTCAGTTCCGATTCAGTCATCAAAGTGTGAAGTGTGATAAAAAATGATATCAACCAAAATTCGGCTGCCCTGGTCCTCCAATAATGGTCTGAAAAGTTAATATACCATGTACGCATAATAAATACAACATTCTGTGCATTTCAGTGCCACTAAGTCAATTGATATTGACAGTTCTCCTCTGTCTAATTGTGTTTTTCGGCCTGGCTAAGCTCGTATCAATTCCACTGCGCATCGATGACTTCGATAGCTTCCGACTGAACCCTGCTCAGGATGCCCAATTAGCAGGTCAAGGATTTGGCAAATCCGAGATGAGCCCCTGAACCCAGCAATCATCAATTGCGAACTGCTGTTTGTGGAGGAGAACCCATTTCACATGTGGGTGGGCGGGACAAACCTCAATGTTTGCCCGACTTGCCAAGCGGAATTGCAATTGTAATTGCAAATTAATTAAATTTAGGCACAAACAAGTTGTCGGGCCTCCAGCGCAGTTCCAATTCAATGTACAATTGCAATTAAACGCAATTTAACAGCATATTTGCTTATCATCGTGGCCGACTGGGAAAATAAAACTGCAGTTTTCCATGCATTCTGGCCGCCCGATTTACGTGGCGGGAATACAAACAAGAATTCGCTGTCAAAAGCAAATATTTTATCTAAAAATATTCTAATTTTAGACCCACTGCCAATGTAAACCCATTTTAAAGCAGCGCAGTGCCAATTGAAAAATTAGTAGGTGAACAAAAAAGAAAATGATATAATAACATGTTGTTCGGTAACACGAATGCGAACGTGACTATAATTCATCCTGTCTAGCTTTATATTTTACTGTACTATTTGCTATCTATTTTGATTAGGTTTATTCATACAATTACGCTATCGTGTTGTTATCATTGAAAATTTGGGCTGGTTGGGTAGTCGTATAGAGCTATAGATAATAACACTTTATAACGCCAGCTTATGTCGGAAGGAAATCAAGCGAATTGCCATGAAAAGATTTTAGTAAAAATAAATATTTAATAAAAATAAAATCAAATGTTGCCTATAATTCATCTTGTAAATCTGTATATACACTTCCAATAAGTTTTTAATGACAATTTTTATAACGCAATAGACAATAAAACTTCATGACACTTTATGAAGAAATCAAAATTACTGCTATAAAAAGGTAAAGCAGGTTATTAACAGATTGTAAAATATAATAAAGTTATCTCAAAACATTACAAAAACCATAGTTAAGAAATCTAGGCCGTGACATAGAATGTTTTATCTACCATAGAAAATAACTTAGATATGAATTTATACTATCCTTAGTTTGCTTACTTCCAAAGCAACAATAGAGAAAATGCATATTTTCTTCAACTGTTTGCAAATTGTTTAAAGTTTATGACTGTTTAAGAGCTTTTTAAATTAAGCACCGACGTAAGAATAATAATTAATCACAAACGTATTTAAGCTAACCCATTGATTGTTTTAGATGGAGAACTATTTTGTAGTCAGTAATTGGTAATGGAGCAGATGTTACGTGAAATGCTGTTAAAATTAATTCATTATTATGTCATTCAGTTAATAGAGTATAATTTATTGCTGCCCTACACTCGCATAAGCGTGACTGCCCATTCATCGTACTTTGGAAAAAAGCGGAGCCCAAACCAAAACCAGAAACCAGAAACCAAACCAATTGTTAAATTGTTTTGTTAGAGCCGCTGTTCATCTGCGGTCAATAAAATCAGCCACGCTCTACGATCCCGCGAATGTTTCAATCCAGTCACTGTTTTTATTTTTTTAGAGCCAGTAGACAATGTACTCCGCCACTGAATGAGTTTGTTGGATGGTTCTCATTTTATTTAATTCACTTTCTGCGACTTCCCTTTCGATAAACAATACAGTGACCACTCGTACAATGGTCTCTTGCTGCTTATCAACGTGGAACTCGACGGCCGGGAATTGTTATCAAGTACAACAAAGAAATATGGCTTGGTTGGCATCCGTTTTTAAAAGTCAGTGGCTTTGTTCATTCATTCAGTAGCCACATATTTGTGAAAACATTTTTTTTTTTTTATATCCAGAACTCATGTTGATGACTAATCAATGAACAATTCCTTTAGAATAAAGAAGAATACTGCAAACTAAAAGTCTGATCTATTTTTTGAAATCCATTAATTCATTTGTAATAGTAAAAGAAATAGTACATAATATATATATAATATGTATATGCCTTTAATAAATGAAAAGAACAACATTTCTGCAGGATTTATTAAATAACCAATACCTCTGTTATCTATATTATATATATGTACATATATATAGACGATTATAAACACGCTTCCATATAATAAAGAAAAGTCGGAGTAGGTTACTGGGTTCCTATTGAAATATTTATTGAAAATCTTTGCTGATAGATAATCGATTGCTGATTGATGAAAGTGATTAAGCTCTATTCTTATTCTTACAAAAAATAAGAGAACGATTGAAGAGTATTCTATGGATTAGCCCTTTGGGCATAACAGCCAAAATGCAAATTTTGGTTGTTTATAAAAGAAAACCAACCTTAAACTTCAAAAGTTAACACACGTTTTAGGAACAATATTACAATATTTTCGACATCAAATTGACACATTGTGAACTATAGTTATGCACTTTCGGGAAATAAACATTTAATAATGTATTCCGAATATCACGTCATGGGGTCAAGTGGGTTGAAAATATAACAACTCGTTGATTATAATACATGGGGAGCATTTAGAATTTTATTGCCCAGATCAGTGGGAAAAATTCTTATGAAAAATTTTTCTCTGGAAATGTTAATGAAAAATGTAAATACAAATTAACTAAATTGTTTCGATTTAAAATAATTCAATGTTAATTGACAAGGAAGTTTAGCATGCTAAAGCAAAAGTTATTCAATTATTTATACTTCTCCTTGGCAATAAGCTTGAAATCTTCTATTGTAATAACATATTGTAATATTGTAATATTAACTCTAAGTCAATTTTGAAATTATTTAAAATCAATTCTATAACTTAAAGTTTTATTGTTTCAAATAAGCCATATACGAATACAAACACCCTTCTCGAAGTTCAGAAGTCTGCTGCGTAAACACCCGATTTCGTTATCAGTTGCAGTTGAATGGAAATGGAAAACACGGGGTGCAATCTGCATACGAATTATAACAACAATAACAACAATGAGGAGGCTAATCAGAGAGACGACATGTGCTGACTCTCACTAAATAACGAGGCAGAAAGAGACGCCCACATGGAATTGGAACCACAAACAAATTAAAGTAAATGCATTTTGGCTGCAGGCAAATCACCCCCTAGGTGCCAAAGGGGACCGCGGGATGAGCGGGGGTGGGCTGAACACATGACGGAAATGACAACTGCAAAGAGCACAAAAGAGAGGGAAAGGGCAGCTGTTCGGAGACGGGGAATTGTCATCGCTTTAAAAATAACAACAACCACAGGGATTAAGACACTTCGAATCGGAAAGACACTCTATGGATTATGCTTAGCAACCACTAAAATAGTACTCATTTTAAGGGCAATTTTTTTTATTAACTTCATTGGTTTTGTTGAAGAGGGTCGGTCACTATAACTGATTGAGTGATGACGAATAAATTAAGTTTTAAAATTAATACTTCAATCTATTCACAAATGCCGAAACTTCAATATTTTAAAAACCATTCCCATCACTTTTCGCCTGGGCGCATTAATTCATGATACCCTACAGGGGCTCCCAAAGTGACTGTGGCCGAACTGGAAGAAGGGCACTCGTCCTTTTCAGCTTAGTTGCCATCTTTGTTCATTCTTTTAGCTTTGTTTTTATTCCTGCTCTTCCACCTTCCTTCGGCTTTGTCGTTTTTGCACTTTTTTCGTTTTGACACAAAATTTAATTTTGCTGACCGATTAGGTTCGCGTTTCAGGTAAAATTCACTGGCTTTTCAGTTAAGTTTATTTCGTCTGTTGGCGCGTCCGTCCATTTACTTACGAATTGATTTTTTGCACAATTCCTCACAGGACGCTTCCAAGCGTTTTATTGCTGTTTCCGCGATCGACAATCACGTTTTGCTCGTTCACTTAATTGCTGCGTTAGTCGAGGCACTCGAAATGTTTAATTAAACTTATTTTCCGCCCCCCGTTTTTCCTTTTCACCAGCACAGAAAGCGAAACAAGCGAACGCGTCGACGAAAAAAAAAAAACTGAATTCTAAAACTGGGGAGGCTCCCTCGGAATGGGAAAAGAGCGCCAAAACTGTCTCTCTCGCGCAACTGAATGTTTTGTGAGAGTGTGTTGGTAAGGGGGGAGAAGGGGTGGCACAAAATTGCCGGCATTCGCTCTTAAGAACCGGCTGCAGCTTTTGCCAGAGAGAAAGCCTCGGCCAAGAGAACTCTGATAATGTGTGAGATAAGAAATCAACTTTAACAAGTTTAGATAGTAAGTAAACAATAATTAAGTTTATAAAAACACTAACTATTTAAGAAGTTTTTTGATTTCTTTATCTATAATTGTCTCTGCAATATTTTTCTCTTTGCTACCCTTAGTCTCAAAATCAGCTGTTGATAACCATTGCCTAGGTTCAGGGTTAGTTTTTGGGGGTGAAATTAGCGAGGTGGGCATCTCTTCGCGGCTCTCTGAGATTCGTAAGATCGAAAAATACAGTTTATAAATATTTCAAGTCGGTTATTTTTAATTAATGACTGTGACTAAAATGAGGTTCAAAACACAATGTTCATTTGACAAAATTTGAAAAAAAAAACCGTTACTAAAGTAATCGCAAAAACATGTTTTTCGGCAATGTATTAAATAACAGTTATTATAGTAACCGCAAGTACAGAAAGATAAAGGCAATACAGTTGATATTCCATAACTAAAACTAAAATGGTTTTTTTGTTTAGTTATCATATTTTAAGAATTTTAATTGTGGTATAATAATCTTTTCTTTTCTTTATGATAAATTTTAAGAACAAAATAACTAAAAAATGGTTCAAACTTATCAAAATCAACAAACTATAATTAAAAAAAACATGTTTTATACTACTCCTCAAAAGAATTCCACATTTTTATACAGTTTATATTGTATTCGGTTTTTTACCAACCATTTGAAACATACGAGGCTTATCTTAGCAAGACTATATAGAACGGAACTGTTAACAAGTCTACGCGGTTAACTAATTTGTTCCTATTTTCCTGATCCAGATAACTTACCTAACATTGGGCTCATAAAATGATAAGGCTTACAGTAGTTTGACTGTACTTTCTTATGAGTAAGGATTGACCTTTCGAAGTAAAAATTAATTGTTCTGATTGGACTGTAACAAAACGAGTTATAAGCGCCAAATCATTAAGAAATGTTTTCTGTTTGATTCGTTATCTAAATGAACAACCGGCTTCACTGACGTACCCGTCGCATAATCATTTAATAATTTCTTTTAAACCTGACTAGTTCTAAATAATGATCGCTTGCAAATTGAGATTCTTTTGTTGATGTCGAGTGTCATGATAATAAGTTCTAATTTTTAAACATCGGTATACCCGATACTTCGTCAGTTTTCTAATCAAAGGCAGGCAGCCGCAAATTTTTTAGATTCTTGTTTCAGTTAACAGTTTGCTATCATTCAATTAAGATAAGATATAAACTGTGTATACGTCTACTCCGCCAGTTTTGCTTCAATATCTAAAAAAAAAATACTCTGAAATTTTCCCAAACGCTTTTCAACTTCGTTTAAAAGCAGAAAAATTTTCAGTAGAAATTTCTTTTTTAAAAACAGGAAGTAGACAGGAAAGAGACCTTTGTTTATTAATATTTACTGAACACATTGCATAAAAATAATGAAATTTAAAAAAAGAGATTTAATTTTAAGATGGATCTCAATTTACCCATACACTTTTTACATACATCTTACATGACTTTTACCCTAGTCTACACGGTGTAGATCAGTCGGCGCAGCAACCTTAGTTCTGTAGACGTTAGCTTCTGGCTGTCAACCCGAGTAACGATCTTGCAATTAAAAAATGTTTTCATTTTTATTTTTAGAAACTTACATATTTTATTATTTGTTTTTTATTTCTACATTAATATTTGCTTACCCTAATGAAACTATTTTAGTCGGATACTCAAAGGCACTTGGTGTACTAACAATTCAGCGCAATAAACCAAAAGAGTACAAAGTAGATTAATTCGTTTTTGATGACAATGTTATTTTCCATTCATTTATTATGCCAACTGCAGGCATACATTTTGTGTAAATATTAGCACTACTCCCGTGGCCAAATTAGGAAATAAAGTAACAAGTCACACAGAAACGAGCGGCGAATAAGCTTTGACTTGTGTGTGAATTAATCTAAAATAACTAGAATCAACAAAATTGCTTTCTGTCCTGAAATTAGAGGAATGGAATTTGAATTCTGGCCATGATTGCGCCACCCGCAGAATGTGTCCATTGAAAGCAACCAAAAATGAGTTCACTTTATGCGTTACATTCTTTAGTTTCCTGTTTATTTCAATAAAAACAGAAAATAGTAGTTAAAACAAAAAATTAGCAATACCAATTCAAAGGGAATAGCAATTTAGCTATTGCAAATTTGAAAACGAAACTTAAAACTAAAATAAACAATACCAATTTAAAGAAAAGTGATTTTACTTATTGCAAATTTGTCAGTGAAATGTTTTTGTATCCTTACTAAATTTAAACAATTTAAAGTCAACACAAAATGAGAATTATTGATATTAAAGTTAAGTACTAAAGATCTCTCCTAAAGTTACATTTATCTAAAATTATTTGTACAGAATATACAATTGATATACGCTTTATGTTGCTAAAATAATCCAGTATTTGTAGACTTTGAAATGCTTGCGTCTTAGGCTACATTTACTATATGTTACGAACTACGAATATTGATAACGAATTGTTCAGACTGTTCATTCCGTGTGTATAATCGATATTGGATATTGAAAAGCTCTCTTTTTTTGGGACCTGCCTTCACCATCTCACCAGTTATGAATGTATATCATATATCACCCGGTAGTTAACCTCACTATAAATATCACAAGAGTCCGCCGGAAAAGCAGTGGATTTTCAAGAGGACTACAGGAAGGAGCAGCAGAGGATCAGAACGAGCACGGTTATCGGAAATATCGCATAAATCTCACTTCGCGGATGGCAAGTGGAGATCAGATTGGTTATATCGTCCTCCTCGTGTTCGATTCCATCTCGAGTGGGCACCTCCACCACAACTATTTCATCGGACAGAAAACTAATGTTAAACGTGCAATTTGTGGTGTTCAAACAACTCTGCGATTCACTCATATTCGAGTACTGATAAGTCGGCTTATAGATATCGAAAATCGCATGGATTTCGTTCTGCACGTGATCGTTGTCGCTGTAGAAGATATAGTAGTAGTATCCATCCTCGATCACATTGTGCACCACCATGGAACTCTTGTTGGGAGATGTATCCATTATGTGGGGATTGGAGCACTCGTTTTTGGGTTTGAAGAACTCCTGCAGCAGAATCATTCCATTGAAGCACTGAAACAATCCTGTTTCGAAGCTGGAAACCGAATTCGATTCATCGGTTTCCGTGAAGTTGATGGCGTTGCCTCCGTGGATGTACTTTCTGTCGTAGACATTCTCCCGCTTCGTTCTTCTGTAGAGCTTCTCGTAGAGGTCCTGTCTCTTCTGGTTTCTCCGGGTTCCTCCTCCATTGTGTCTCTTCAAACGCTGGCGATGGGGAGCATTATTCGAAGCATTATCATGGATTTCACTTGAATTGTGTTCTGGGTGCTCTTCATTTGGAATTTCCTTGGGGTTCTGACTACTCGACTCCTCGTTTGTTCTGTTCGAATGGTTGGAATGATTGTGGTGATGGGTTGCTGCATTCGAGCTGTGGTTGTGATGGTTCAGGATGTGCTCTGTGTGATGGGATCCCTGCAGATCGGTCACTGCATTCAAGTCGTGATCACTGTGGTGAAGTGTTCCCTTTTTCAGCTTCTTCCTGAGCAACTTGGGTTGCGGCGAACTACTTGGCTTGGGAGTTACATTCAATGGAGGTTGTGCAGGATCCTCGCTCAGATCTTCACCTCCATGGTTCTCGTGCTCCATCAGGATATCCTGGTTGCCCTTCTCCTCGGTGATCTCCACGTTATCCTCGAAAAACACCTGCACCTGTTCGTGTCCTTTGGCGTAATTCGCACCCATTTTGTTCTTGTTGTGATCGGTTAGCCCGCAGAGATTCAGCTCCCGGTGACCGTGGATGATCAGGATGCGGGAGCCATCGTACCGGGAGCAGAACTTCACCCGCACCTTGGCTCCCTTGAGCAGGAAGAAGCCCCAGTACTCCAGAGTGTCGTCCGGCAGGGTCATCGACTTCTTCAGCCTGATGTGCTTCCTGTTTGTGGCGATCTCGGGCTTGTTCCTCAGCTGAAAGGCATTGAAGTTGGAGCTCATTCGCAGGGTGTGCTTCGAGCAGAAGATCGACGAGATTCCCGCTCGGATCTCGATGATATCGGACTCCGCCATCGGATAGATGACATCCGCAAAGACCGTTTTTCGCAGATGCAGAGGCATTATGATGAGGATCGCCGGCAGTATAACAATCATCAGGCAGAAGATCAGCACCCGCTTCACTCCGTGCATTTTGCGGGTTTCTGAAAGTAAACACAAACAAGATAAAGATTACTATCTCCTAATTACACTTCTACTTATTTTTTATATATATTATATATTATATATTTTATATGGCCTGACGAGGCACCTTCAAAGTGATATTCCGTTAAGGGCTGCATCTTTTCGGGTTCAGAATCTCCACAACCAAAGGAATAGTACGTCTGATTGCCAGCCAGGTTTGTTGTACACTGCCTGATTGTGCGATTATCAAATTGGTCTGGCCGTCTCGGTCTCAGTTTGTTTTCACGCCCACCGCCCACCGCCTCCCCCTCCCCCTTCTTATGATTTTCCATTCGCTTAGTCGTGTAGAAGCGTATTTGTGAGAGGCGAGATTGTATCAACAAGCCGACACGATTATTGATATTGGCGGAGTGTGTAACCAAGCTATTCACAAGATCCAATTGGCAGGCTCAGATCGATGGCCAGCCAAGTGACAGCCTCTGTTTGATCGATGTTTAGCGACCCGAGACTGCGGATCAATAACTCTTTTTGCGGGCTGCGGATTTACGGAAAAAGATTCGCTTATCACTATTGAGAGTGCAAAAAAATAAGAACAGGAGCGGAATTTTTAGGTGGGGTGGGTAGTCTTTAATTTAATACAATTTACTGGTGGTAAAAACTATATTTAAATACCTCAGATTGCAATGTAGAAAACTTTAATATGAAATGTATGTATTTTATAGTTTATTTTTATCTTTTTTGCTTGGATTATATATGTCTGAAACTATATTTAGCGAGAAATATTACCCTTCAATCTCACATGATGTTACGCACAGTGCTTATCAGAAAACCGAGCTAATTACCTCCTTTTGATGTTCAGCCTGATAAGACCTACTATTTCTCCATGGAAATAAGGTTGATATTAGTCAGGTCTTATCGACGTCAGCGAGCGAGTTGTGATCGAAAGTATATATAGCAATCATTTCATATATGAAAAACATGTATAGTATTTATGGCCCACACGAGTAATTTTTTATTTGTCACGTTTTTGTCGAGTGCTTTTCGAACTCGACTGATATGTGCGTTGAGCTAAGAACAATATCATAAACCAATTTCCCTGCTTATCAACAAAACATTTTGCTGCTTTGAGCACAGACTGTAGGAGAATGTGGAAAATAAAACTCTATTAAGAATGATAAACGAATCTTGAGTTGAAATACTCAAGATAAACCAACGATTAATACAAAAGTGGTAGTCATTTTTTTGTTAAGTACATAGTTATTTTTTAACCTTTAAAGCTTTATTGTACAAAATTTAAACACTTGGCAACTAATCTTTATAAATTAATTAAAGCTGTCTAATATTTAATGTCAGCGATAAGAGTTTAATAAACGAATTTAGTAGAGTGATTTTGCTTTGATTTGGGAGACCTTTCTCACTTGCTGAACTATAAATAAAGCAAAGTGGATTTGGGTCTAGGTTTTTAGCAAAGTTGGTAGCAAAATGATATGTGCTCTAGATTCGTTATCAAATTTACTATCTAGAGCATTGACTTAAAAACAGTTTATAGGTTTTCAACTTGAAATTGGTGCATTTATGTACTTTGTGGAATTTTCATTCTTTTCTTTCTTTCTTCTTTTCTTTTCTCTTTATTTATTTGCCGGTCTTAAATTTTCTTTGTCAGGTTTTCCCGGGTATTTCCCATGACAAAGAAACACAACTGTGGCCTCAAAAAATGGCATAGGTCGCGTATTATTGGCATTTTGTTTTTGTTTATTTTTTTTTTGCAATTTCGACGATGTTCTTTTTTATTTCCGCTGCTAAGGTGTCAAAAAAACCTGTTGTGAGCACACAGAAAAAATGTTATCTAATAGATTTTTTTTTAGCATATCAATAAAAATAACCAATTTTAATAAATCTTACATGTGGATGTGGGATTGTGTTAAAATCAATAAAATATTTACTTTAAAACGTATTAAATGGAAACTTAATTTAAGTCGCATATCTTAAAAACATTTTTGATTGCAACTCAAAATAAAACTTTGGTGTTTTTCATGTAAAGTTATTGCTTTTAAAGTAATGTGGAAATCCTTGAAATATCTTAGCCGGTTTCTGGTTTGTAAAACTATTTGAAATTCAGAACCAGATGTGAGCACCTGTGGAAATCAGTTTCTTATTTTGTTTACTTAACCGGGGAATCGATCAAATTTACATACGTTTGAAAACTACGTGTCGTTTTTCCGGTTGCAGCACTTACATGGTTCACTTTTCAGTATCTTTCCTATAGTCGCACTATATCTTCGGGATTAGCGCTGCATTTGACGGCGAAAGGTGGTGACAAGTGCGATTTTTTGAGTATTTCACATGCAGTTGTCGATTCTGCTGTCTTTTCTTTTGTTTGGCTTTCTATTTTTTGTTTAACAACTAAGTGGCTTAGGTGAGCATATATCCAAAATTAGATTAGGGGGTGAATATAATGCACTGGGGACCCGAACACACGTGCTGCTTCCCATGATTTATTATTATCAAAAACAACTGTTTTTTCTAACGCTGTTGTTGTTTTATTTTGACACACATTTTAATCAACAACTGTTGTTGCACTGCCTCTCTCTCGCTCTCTCGCTTATCGCGACACTCTCTCTCTCTCTGTCTCTCTTTTAGTTAACACTTTGTTTTTAGCTCTGCTTCCGCATATCTTTATTTGTTTTTAGACACGTAGTGGAATATTTATTAATTAATCGACAGCTTTAGTAGTCGTCTTTATGGCACTTAGCATTTAGTTCCATTTTTCCAATTTTTTAAATATTTATCAGTCATTATTATTACGAAATTTCAATCGACTCGCCAGAGGAAAAACAAAGTGCCTCCTCACAGCACAAGAAACGAAAATGTAATGGAAATTTTAACCCCAAAGAAAAACATAGCGCAATGCGATGCGCTCTCCGAGCTCTTTGTTTTAAGAGTACACTGAAAAAAATCATGTTAACTATAAAATATTGTTTACAAATCATGCAAATTTTGTTTTCAACATTTTTAAGGATTCCCAACTAACAATAAAAGTTTTGTTTAAACGTTTTTTTTTTTGCTTCTAAAAAATAATTCCCTAAAGTAAAGAAAATAATTTTTCTGAGTGTCCTCTCTCAGTTTTCAGGGTGTGCGTGCGTGTAAAAACAAAAGAGAGAAATACCGCTCGGAAAAATCTTGTTATCTCCAGAATATTTTAAGAGAGCCAAATTTTGTTTTGGAGCGAAGTTAGCTGCGCTTGTAACGGGGTGGAAAACTGTGCTAAATACGAGTCTCGTTAATTTGACCGTTAACAAAGTTTAGGAAGGTGACGAATTCGACATAAGATTTTCACAAAGTTGAGGTCTTTTAATATTGATGTTTTATCTAGTTATTCCTTGGGCCCATTAATTACAATTAAATAAAAACAAATTAATATCTCACATCAAAAGTGTTTTGATTTTCGCATAAACATTATAGCAAACAAAGTTAATCTAATCTGAAAAATATGAGATAGGAATGTTTTACTCATCAAAAGAAAATTAAATATCTCATACACAAAAGAAAAATTTAATATTTCTACAATGTTTTAAGGAATATAAAATTTAAACTTAGTAATTGGTAAATATTTCTCAAAATATTATATATAAAATAGCAATTTAAAATAAATATTTGGCAGAACATGTTTGTCTTGATTCACAGTTTTAGTTTTAATAGTGTATAATTTTCCATAGCTTATATTCAGGAGCCTGCATTATAATTTTTAACATGTTTTTTACAGGTGAAACAATAAGAATAAAAAATATTCCCTATTACTTACTGTGCAAATCCGGCATGGAGTAGTAGAAATCCGTGTGGTAGTAATGCAGTTGTCCTGGACTGATTGAGGTAGTCCTGTTGAACATCTTCTTGTTCCCCATATTGGCAGCTAATTGTGATTTATCCGCAGGATTCGGGGTACCAGACCCGCAGCAGAACCGAAGCTTGCGAATTTTCGCAGCCAACTAACCGAGTGAATTTAATCCGGATCGTGCGACAGTCAACTTATTATTGTGTTGGCGGTGTTTGGGATAACGATGACGCTTAATCCAAACAGTCGTCGGGGGTGGCTGTCCTCATCTGAACTGATACTGAAAATGATACTGATAGTCGTTGTTGTCCTATTATCATAATGAATTAGCAAACAGTGTTAATAAGTGGACAGAACATAAAGCCATTCGCAGCCTTTCAATTGATAAGCGGCTAATTGTGATTGTTGGTTGGACAAGAAGCCCTGGTTTTTGATAGGCACGTGTAATAATTTATCTGCTGGTTCGATATACCCCTGGAAACAATGGTATCTTGGCTAGAACAGCAAAAAAGAATCACGTGATGTATTGGTAATGTAATATCGCACCAGACACGTTTCCTGCCGAAGAAAATGAGTAATTGCTTGATTTCCGGCTTGCAATGTAAGAAGGGAGGAGTTCAAAAACCAATAACCATTAGAAAAGTGAGGAAATAAAGGCAACAGACAAGGTGAGATATTTATTTTTACATTATTGTTGCTATGTTAAAATTCTTGGATTGTAATAATTATTTCGAAATGTTGCTGTAATTATGAAGTTTGTTTTATAAAGACTGTGTAAACTGTGATTGGCCTTCCACTGAAAAATAATTAACCTAAATCAAAGCATCCCATCAGTATAAAAGCTTCCCCTTTTCTTTAGAATTTTTTTTATGTTCGTTTCTTGCTATCTTTCAGATACTCAAACAGTTGGGTGACACCTGTTGGCGTCATCTGCAAACAAAGATTAAACTCTTTACTGCCGCAGCCCCCTTAAGTTTCCCCAGACAAGAGTTCTAGACAACAAATAAATTAAGGATTTATGATACCCAGTAGATAAGATAATCTACTGAATATTATTTTATTAACTGGACGGAAAGTTTTGCATTAAAAATGCATGCTTAATTCAGTATTAGAGTGGGACTCTGAACTCTCAGGGTTTTCCTTGGTTTCAGTTTTTGAAAGTGTTCTTTCAACTTTATTTTCCGTTGATTTGGCCATCATGTCCTTCAATTTAATGATGTCCTTTTTGATTGACTGTGTCTGCAACATGCAATTTTTTTCCAGATCCTCCACTTTTTTTATTAGCTTTTCCATAATTTCTTTTAAGTCATTATTTTCATCAGGCTTCACAGATTGTTTTTTGGTTTTGCACAGGCAAATCTTTCTAAACTTCTTTTCTGTTTGGCAATCCGATTCGTTTTTATCCCTATAAAATCGACGGAAAGTTCTAACAGATGCTTTTTCAATTTTTTGGTTAGCCGGATTATATATAACAGAGGCAAAGAAGATTACAGATTTGGGTTGAGCCATAACTTGAACTCGATATTTCGGTATTACTTCGGTTGTTATCTGATTAACAGATTCTACTTTCTGTAATGTAAATTCTTCACAGTGCTCCAGTAGTTGAGTGCTTTGAAGATGCATGTTAATATGCTTAATTACCAAGGTGCCAAGCTCTGAATTTAAAGTTTCGTTTAGGGATGGCTTTGTGGAGCTATCACAATCGCAGTTTACTTTACTACGTCCTGCGTCTTGACATCTGCGATTTATTGGTAACTCCTCAAAGAGTGATTGACAATTTGGACATTCCAAGAGTTTAGTATGATTCTTATTTTCCAATTCAGTGATATCTTGAAGAGTAAGATAAAGATCATAAGGTGAAGTCAACTGGTTGGTGTTTTTATCCAAGTTAGTAACAATGCTTGGGTGCTCCTCACGAAACTTATTTGGCAGCCAGATAGAAAGGCTTGATTTACACAGATGATCGCTGATAAAAATCACAATCGTTTCTTCAAGCAATCCGAACTTCTTAAACCGCTTTAAGTATTCCACAAAAGGGTGTTTGGTGTTTTCTTTTTCGGAATTGGTAGACCAGAATAATCCGAATATTGGCTGGGAACTTTTAAGATAGCGCTTGAGGAATTGCTCTCCATAATCATAAACATAGTTTGCGCTTTTAAGGTTACTTGTTTGACTGTCAAGGTGCACACTACCTGCAATTGTATTTAGCAAGGGTCTCAGGTAAAAGTCAGCAGAAAGTTCCTCAAATTCAAAGGGATACTTTCTTATAAACGATAAATCCTCGGCAAAGGCAGTGGCATAACCCTGATTTTTAAAATGCTGGAAAATGTAACTCGAACGTAAGTCAGCTCTATTTTGATTGCCTCCCGCTAAAAGGGCATAAAGATTCAGATAATCGTCTTCTTCGACTCTGCCATACTTCGGCATTTCATGTAAAGTATTTTCATTATCAGGTCCTCGAATTTCATTAAGAATTGATTGATAAGATTCCTCTGTTATTCCATTGAATCCAAATATCACAACCTTTGGTTTTTTGCTTTGTGTTCTTCTAAATCTTGCCATAGTTTTAATCGGCACAACTATGAGTGGATTTATCTGGAGAACCTCATTCTCTACAGTTCTGCAGGTTGTGATTAAAGCTTCTACATTGTGGGGCACTAGATCTCCGTCTTTAATGGGAATTTCCACGCTCTGGCTGTTAAGTAAATGAATATTAAAATATTTTTAAATAATTTCTTTCTATATATTAAGTAACTTACTTGTTTGAACTTCTATAACCACAGTTGAAACTAAAATCACTTGCCTTTTTATTAAGCTTAAGCAAACGATTTTTAGCTGACAATTTGTTTAAATTCAGCACATATTGTTGGTTTTTCTCGTCAAACTTGTAGCTAACTATATCGTCCTTTCCTTTTTGATCCTTATTTGTTTCATTAGTAATTGTCCTCTTATTTATTATATTTTTTTTATTGACCTTTGCATTGGCCTTCAAGGCTTGCAATTCCGTCAGAATAAAAATAAAGAAAAATATTAGCAAACCTCTGCTGAACAACTTCATTTTAAAGAAAACACAAAACACTATTAAACTGGGGAGTTTTAAACTTTATTTCAGGCGTTACACATTTAAACCGAGATAATCTCAATTTGTTGGTCGATTTCTGGCTTCATGTCTGGATATTCAAACAAACTTAAATCAATCTTTTCAAATGGTTCTGGTTTAGGTTTTTTCGGCTCTGAGTTTTTGTGGGTTTCCAGTTGATTACTTTTTGTTATTTGAGTTGGCTTTTCAGTTTTGGTTGCCTTTTCCAATTCTTGATTTTGGTTCGCTTCATTTTTCTGTTCTTCTGTCTCATTTTGAGCCTTGCAAATGCAGAACTTCCTGCCTGGCAATCTTCGCATGCATTCCGAATAATTTCCATAGGAATCAAGTCGATTTATGGCACCCACATTTATGTATTCCAAAGTTTTGTTCTTGTGATTGTAGCGAGTTGTTGCGGAGAATCTTGAATTTGGTGTGGCAGAGAATTCCACTCTATAAGTGCTGCCACTCGAAATCGTTTTATCCCTCCGTTGTTGCACCACTTTCACGGATTTCAGAGTGAGATTCTCACAGGTTTCCTGCAGATTGTAATCATACAGGAATTGGTTGATGCTCTGAACGAGCAGTTTTCCCAAAGACATTTGCTTTATCTGCTTGGTGTTCAGTAACTTGTAGCTATCACAAGGGCAGATTGATTCTCCGATTCCAGCATCCGAACAAGTTCGATTCTCGGGAACTGGAGCAAAAAGTGTCTGACAAGTGGGACAATCCACCAATCTATCCACAGCTTGGGGCCATTTTTCTCCCAATTCCAAAATGTGTTGCAATGTGAGATGAAGATCGTATGGAGAAGTCAGCCGTTCACTGTTGATCCTTAAACCTTGAACTAATTCTGGGTGCTGAGTTTTAAACCAAACAGGCAGCCAAATAAACAACAAGGGAAGACTTTCCCTCAGGGAATCTTTATCTTTACCCTGATCGCTGAATAGGATCACAATGGATTGGGAAAGTACACCCATTTTCTGGAATTTCATTAACTTTTCCATCAGTTTAGCTTGTATTTTGTTAGTATCATAGGACTTATCCAGCTTGCCAAGGAAAACTCCAAACAAAGGTCGCGAAGAGTTTGCATGTTGCTTTAAAAATTGCTCACAATAATTGTCAATAAAATTGGAATTTATGCAATCTTGATTGGTTTTTGGGTTCAAAATAGATGAGGCATAAAAATCAACTGGCTGTTCAAGAAATCCCAACTTATCCAAGTTAAACATTGAATTACCTAATAAGTCATCGGCATAAGCTGTGATATAACCTTTCTTTTTAAAGCGTTTCCATATCAGTGGCAGTGATTTAAGGCAACCAATTCTGGTGGAATTGCATTTTAAATTTGACCAATTATGTGGACTGTAGCCTGTTAGTAATGCCATTAAATTAGGAAGAGTTTTCTCACCCACTTTTGTATATCCATTCATTTTGAACCAACTCTTCGTCTTTAGATGATTAAATACTTTTGGCATATCACGCCTAAATGTGGGTTGGGAAATTCCACCAACTCCAATCATTATAACATTCGGTCTGCGATGCCAGGAATTAAGTGGAGGATATGTTCTCTGAGGTTGCACAAAAGCAAAACTATTCGATTGAAGATCTTCTGCCAGTTCATTTCTGCAGGATGCTTGAATTCCCTCGAAGTTTTTGGGAACAACATCGCCATCAACGAAACCGATTTCTTCACCCAAACTATATAAAAAGAGGTTTGTATTGATAAATATATTTTTTAAGTAAATGAAATACCTACAAGACAGGTGCTTCGGCTGTATAATTGTTATTAGCTCTTTTGATTTCTTGATAGCTGCAATTGTAACCCAGTAAAGTTGGGAATTCCTCCTGCATTTCTTTTAATTCCAATTGCGCCAAAGAATCGTTGACATGCAAAATATATTGCTGAGTTTTTTCTTCAAAGCGAACACTGATTAAATTATTGCTCTTGGAACAAATTTTGTACTTTTGAGCTTTCTTGTTTAATTTTTTTTCCAGTTTTGGAATATACGGAATATGGCACTCAGATGTTTTTATATAGTGCTCATGTTTAATTTGAGTAGATGGCATATTTCGCCAGTTTCGAATAACTTTTCCCCATTTTGGTGCTTTAGCCAAATGGCTCAAGGAAAGTATATTAAATATCAACAGCCATATCCTACGTGGTTCCATATTAACTTTTAACTTATCTCAATATAAGTTGTTTCAAGGAGGTAAGTTAGTTCTAAATAATAATACATTTCATGGTAAATTGTTTTGGTTGTACTCCAATTAAATGGAAAATTATATTTAGTGCTTTAGTTACTCTTTCAAAATTCAATTAGAACCAATAGTTTTGTTAAAACCTCAGATATGTTTATTGTAGGTCTTACAAAAATTAATTTAATCTTATATATTTAAAGTTACTTATATCGAATGCATAGTTTTGCAACCGTGTAAAAACTAATGAGAGAAAAGCTCTTATTGTCAAACTTAAATATTTGTTTACTTCAACTTCGCAATGCTTAATAAAGTCAGTTGATACTTAACAGCCATTCGATTCACAACCAAAAATTGAACTATATTAAAAAAATATAGTTTAAGTCTTATATTTTAAATGAAAAGAAACAATTTTTTTAAATATAATGTAATGTTCGTGAAGAGAGCTTAAAATCAGCGTGAAATTAATTTTACTTCCGTAGTTTCGCCAGAAGCATAAAATACTAATAATATTAGTTGGCAGTCGTATTCAAAATGGTGCGGGCTGTGGCGATCTCTTTTATTAGACTTATCGGGTGTTTTCTGTTTTTATCAGTTATCTTGACGTGGTATACTTTATTCTCGAAACCCAGTAAAAAGATTTTCTTCAAAGTTGATGAAGTGGAGAAGGGTTTCTACGTGAAGTCTCGCAAGTGTAAAATGCCATACGTGGATCCCTTCAATGCGGAGTTCCTACAAGTGAAAAAGGATGTTAAATTTGTACCTTGCACCAATGAAAGTGACCTCATCACTGTGCACTACGATACCATTTTCAATCAGTATATGCTGCACATTAACGTGGAAGTTATTCACAAGTTATCACAGTCGAACCAAAGTGACTTTGCCTGCTCTTACCAGAAAATTATCTACGGTGAATCGGTGGATCACTACGATAGGTAATGGTGTTTACATATATTCATATATATATTTATATATTTATAATCACAGAAAAGGGAATAAAACCTACTTCAGTCAGGACTATTTGGTGCCCTTGGATATTGAAGGAATGTTGGTGGATTGCAGGACAGCGGATGAGAAGAGAGTCCTGCAAAAGGACGCTTTTATGTTCGTACAGCATAAGGAACCTCCTCAGAATTCACCGCCAAAAAGAAAGCCCAGTGTTATAATGTACGGCATAGATACTGTTTCTCGAACCAATTTGCGTCGGATGATGCCTATGGTTTACGAGTTCCTCAAATCACCAGGATGGTTCGAAATGATGGGATATAATAAGGTAAGGATATTGTTTCCTTTCCTATCAAGCTTTCTCAATCTCCTGATTTTAGGTGGCTGACAATTCTTTTCCCAACATATTTGCCATGTTAACTGGATACTCCCCGGAGTCAGCAGAATCCCAAGTTTGCAACACTGATGATGAAGGTTGTTTGGATGAAATACCCTTCATTTGGAAGGAGTATAAGAAAGAAGGCTACTTGACCGCCTATGCTGAAGATGAGGAGACTTCGAATACCTTCAATTACATGAAGCCAGGCTTCAAGGTGAAGCCCACAGATTACTATTTTCGACCATTTATAACCGCTCTGGAAAGGGAAACTCTGGTCCAATATTGCCCAGGATGTTTGATGAAATACTGCCTGGGTCGCCGATTGGCTAACAGCTATATCTTCGACTACTGTCGCCAGTTTATGCAGAGATTCGTGGCCGATCGTCCCATTTGGGGAATGTTCTGGACGAATCACTTCAGCCACGACGACTTCTTCATGCTCTCCGCCATGGAGCACAAAATCCTGAATGATCTCATGAATTTCGAGAAGGACGGATCCTTCGAGCACACCATAATGATATTCTTCTCGGATCATGGAGCACGCTTCGGTCCGCTGATGCGAATGAAGGAGTTCTTCCTGGAGGAGAGACTTCCTATAATGTTTATCTACCTGCCTCCTTGGTTCCGCCAGAAATATCCTCAATACGTCGAGGCTCTAAAGCAAAATCAGCATCGTCTGAGTTCGAATTTTGATGTCTACAATACTTTAAAGCACATTCTTAGGATTGAAGCAGGTTTGGAAGACACTAAGTGGTCCTACGACTGCCCGCAATGTCAGTCGCTCCTTTATCCACTCCCCGAGAATCGCAGCTGCGCGGAGGCCGCCATACCGGAGACCTACTGTACCTGCCACGAGTACGAGAAAGTGAAGGAGGAACCGTGGACCTGGCGAATGGCGGATCTCGTGGTGAATCGGATCAACCAGTACCTCCAGCTAAAAAACATTCAAAACCTTTGCAGCAATTTGACTCTGAGAGCAGTAAACCTAACCGAACAGGACGTGAATCCATCGAAGGGAATGCGCTTTTATCACACAAAGTTCCAGGTTCATCAGAATATGGGAGAGTTCTTCGCCACCGTTCTCTACGATAAGGAAACCGAGAAACTGGACATAAATGTTGAGCTAATCAGTCGCATTAACATGTATGGCAACGATTCGGTGTGCATACATAACAAGATCCAAAAGCTATATTGTATATGCCTATCGGAGCTGAGACCATTAATAAAATGAAACTATAATGCTTGCAAAGAGTGTATGAAAATTCTGGTTAGAATGAGAAAAGTGGAAGAAGTTCACCTACACAAACAAATTTGTTTGCGAATTCGAGTTTTGTTGATCGAAGTCATTGTAACTTTACACAAGTAACTAGAACTAGTAAACATCATCATCGCTATAGCTTCCATATGCATTCCATTTGATTAACCTTATTTTGTTTATAGCAATTGCTAGAGATAGACATTAAAGTTAGTTGATAGTAAAAGCTCAACCCAGTCGCATCGACGAATCTTTAATTAATATATTTTAAACCCTTGTAATCATTTAATATGATTTAAGTTGCTGAAATCCAATAAAGTGTTTATTGCCAAAAGTTAAAGGCTTGCTTGCATATATATAATTAAATTTTATAATGAATGGAAATATTGCTGCTACATCAAAAAGTTATCTTTGGTGCATTCCCATTTTCTGCCTTTTGATACTGTGGAACACAATCCCCTCCGAAGTTAACGAAGAGTTTATAATTTGTAAAAAGGAAATCGAAAAACGTTTTTACGTCAACAATGCAAAGTGCAAAATTCCCTACGTGGAGCCCTTCAGTTCAGAGTTCATGAAACTCTACAAACCAAAGAAGTTCACTCCATGCTCCAACCAAAGTGACCTCATTTCGGTGCAGTTCGACAAAATGTTTAATCAATATGTGCTCCACGTCAATGAGGAAGTCCTTCACAAGCTGTCTCAGTCGAAATCTAATGAATTCGCCTGCTTTTATCAGAAAATTATTTACGGTCATTCAGCGGATTCAATCTATAAGTAAAGTTAAGCAATATGTTAGGCCGAATCGTTTATAAAATATATTTTTTGGGCACAGAAAGGGTAACAAAATAGAAATCACTCAGGACTATTTGGTGCCCTTAGATGTGGAAGGAATGCTGGTGGATTGCAGGACAGCGGACGAGAAGAGAACCCTCCAAAAGGATACTCTAATATTTGTCCAAAATAGGAAACCTCCTCCCAAATTACAGGAAGAAAGAAAGCCCAGTGTTATAATGTACGGCATAGATACTGTTTCCCGAACCAATTTGCGTCGGATGATGCCCTTGGTTTACGAGTTCCTTAAATCACCAGGATGGTTCGAAATGATGGGCTACAATAAGGTAAGATAAAGAAAAACTTTACTTTTAAGTTCTTAAGAAGAACCATTTCTCATATCAATATTGTGTTTGCCTGATTACAAAAGTGTCTAGACTTTACTATCTCTTTACAAGTCAAGTTATTTCAGCCGACTAGATTTGTTTTAAAAAGAAACACATTTATTTGATTTCTAAAAAAGATTCTGTTAGAGTAGCAAGCCTTTAATTTGAAGCATACATTTTTGTAGATAGATGTGGTGATGTTTGTTTCCAATTAAACTAGTTTCTGAGTTTTTACGTTATCTAACTGAATTCTTTTTTAACAATTTACCAGCAATTCATGTTTTAATTCGCGGAATGGAGACACAACCTGTGTTTTCATTAGATGCTTCTAGTTTAAATTGTAAAATGTAAAATTTCCATCATAAGAGGGTATTATAACTTTAACTAATTGAAAATTTTGTATTTTTATTTAAGGTGGCTGACAATTCCTTTCCCAATATATTCGCCTTGCTAACTGGCTTTTCCCCGAAATCGGCAGCCGATAGGGTTTGCAATACGAGTTTAGAAGGATGTCTGGACAAAATTCCCTTTATATGGAAGGACATGAAGAGGGGCGGCTATCTAACAGCCTATGCTGAAGATTCGCTTTCCATAAACACCTTTAATTACATGAAACCAGGCTTCTCTTACCTTCCCACAGACTTCTACTTCCGCCCATTCCTCAATGCTCTTGAAAAGGAGACTATAATCCAATATTGCCCAAGTTGCAAAAGGAAATATTGTCTGGGTCGCCGATTGGCCAATAGCTATATCTACGATTACTGTCGCCAATTTATGCAGAGATTTGTGGCCGATCGTCCCATTTGGGGAATGTTCTGGTCAAACCACTTTAGCCACGAGGACTTGTTTTTGCTTTCCGCCATGGAACACAAAGTCTTGAATGATCTGCTGAACTTCGAGAAGGACGGAGCTTTCGAGCACACAATTATGATATTCTTCTCGGATCATGGAGTTCGGTTTGGTCCACTGATGCATTTGAAAGAAGCGTTTTTGGACGGAAGACTTCCCATGATGTTTATTTACTTGCCACCTTGGTTTCGGGAGAAGTACCCTGAATACGTCGAGGCTTTAAACCAAAATCAGCATCGTTTAAGTTCGAATTATGATTTGTACAACACCCTGAAGCACATTCTTAGCATTGAAGAGAAAGTAGAGGGCACAAAGTGGTCATATGAGTGTCCCCAATGTCAATCGCTCTTTTATCCGCTTCCCGAGAATCGCAGTTGCTTAGAGGCTGCCATACCGGAGGCTTACTGTACCTGCCACGACTACGAGGAAGTCAAAGAGGAACCGTGGACCTGGCGAATGGCCAATCTGGTTGTGGATCGCATAAACCATTACCTACAGCTAAAAAACCTACAAAATCTGTGCAGCAATCTGACTTTAAGAGCAGTTAACTTAACCGAGCAGAGAATGATTAATGAGGATGGAATTCTAGAAAACGGAATGCAGAACTATCACACAAAGTTCCAGGTTAACCAGAATTTGGCCGAATTCTTCGCCACCACTCTCTACAACAAAGAAACTGAGGAGCTGAAGATCGATGTGGAACGATCAGTCGCATTAATATGTATGGACCGATCGACTGCGTACATAAATTAGGGGAACGGATCAGTCGCATTAATATGTATGGACCGATGCGACTGCGTTGACGATAAATTTCAAAAGTTATATTGCATTTGCCAATCGAACTTAAGGATAAATAAGCCCACTATACCTATTGGTTCTTTAAATTAGAATGATCTTATAAATTTACCACATAAATAAAAGCCTTATCATGCAAGCTAGCTTTACCTAACTAAAAAAGTATGTTTACCCGTCAAATTTAATTATTTTAAGTTTCAATGCCCTGTTATTTATTTTTATGTTTCATGAGATTGTAAATTAACTTTAACTAATGAACTTCTAAAGACCACATTTTCAGCCGCAAAAGCTCACAACCATAAATCCAAAAACGGCAGTCTTCCAGTTTGCACCCGCGAAAGATAAGAAGTTGGATTGAACAAATCGGTTTGAGGTTCGAACGTTGCTATGCGGAGTTCCCCGAAAACCTATGTTCCCGACCTTCCCCAAAAATCAGTGCTCGTGCCATTCGACATTCTATTTTAATTAACGCACGCTCCATATTGAAAGGCAAGAGATAGAAGACTGGAGGTTGGAGGTGTAGGCCCATATTGAAAATGACTCGAGCACGCTGCTCACTAAACATTTGAAGATAACAGAAGCGTGTCGACTTGAAAGGGTTATTTCTCGTTGGGGAACCGTGATTTTGGGTTCAGTTGGGTCGTTTTCGTGGTCGAGGGCACAACATGGAGTCGCGATTTCGGGCCAACCACCCGCTCTACAAGTTCTTTGCCCTGTGCTGCTTTTTACTAGTCGTGGTCTTCCTAATGCAGCGATCAAATGTTTCCATGGATGAGGAACTTAACCAGTTACCGAAGGTTACGAGATCCGAAATACTCTCGAAGCCGAAACCCCAACAATACTATGTGAAAACCTCCAAGTGCCAGATCCCCTATGTGGATCCTTTCAACTCCGAAGTGATGGAATTCTACAAGCCGGAGTCCCTGGTCACCTGCTCCAATCAAAGCGATCTCATTTGGACGGATTACAATGAACGGCTGAAGAGTCATGTTTTACACATCGACGAGGAGGTTGCCCTGCAGCTTCTCAACTTTACGGATGCAGAGTTTAATTGTTTTTACAGGGAAATCTCCTATGGGAGTAAAGCGGATACCTACGACAAGTAAGACAAGGTTGTTTTCTAATTATATACAGAATCCTTATCCGATCACCCCAATGTTTAGACTCAGAGCAAATAAGTACTTTACCGACGGATATTTGGTACCGCGACATGTCGAGGGAATTATTGTTGAGTGCCAGACGGCTGAGGAACCCAAATTGGTTCTCCAGAAGGACGCCTTCGTGTTCATTCAATATCAGCAGCTGCCCAAGGACCTCGTAAAGCCAAAAGGAGTTCGTAAACCGAGTGTCATTATGTACGGCATCGATTCGCTTTCCCGGATAAATCTTCGCCGCACCATGCCAAAGGTTTTCAACTTCCTCAAGGGTCCAGGGTGGTTCGAGATGCAGGGATACAACAAGGTGAGAAATTACCATACTTCTATAACTCATTTTTACGATAGAAGGATAGATGCAACAAAAAAACAGCTTCCATTGCTACTTCCTCTATTACTAATTAGTAATAACATTTTCCGATGTTCCCCTATGACATGCTAAATTAAATTAAAATAACCGCACGTGGATTAATGTTTGCTTTGAGTTAACGATCTGTAAATATTGGGAGCTGTTAAAAAAAGAAATACGTACATATGTGACAAGTGTGAAACTACCAAGTAGTGAACATTTAAAAGTTTCTTCTTGCTACAGAAGTAATTACTCAAGTGTTTGTTACTCGAAACATGTTTTCTCTTTTATCTCTGTTAAAGTGATTTTTAAAGGATTGTGTAAACTGTTTCAGCCAATCACTAAACCTTTTTTTTTGAAGAAGAACAGTTAATAAACATAAAAATTTCATAAACTTCATGGCATGTTTGTCAGGGTAAAGATTTTTTTCTATTTTATCATTGCTATTTAAGTTAATTGGTTAAGAAACATGAACTAAACATTCAAATTGGGTACATTGGGTTTTCAAAGTGAATGTTATCTACTTTCAGGTGGCCGACAACTCGTTCCCCAACATTCTGGCCATTCTGAGTGGATATTCGGAGAGAACGGCCAAGGAAAACGTTTGCGATACCAACGAACCTGGTTGCCTGGACAAAATGCCGATGATGTGGAAGTTCTACGAGAATGCCAGCTACTTGACGGGTTACGCGGAGGACGAGAGCAACTCGAACCACTTCAACTACTTGAAGCCAGGCTTCGAGAGGAAGCCCATGGACTACTACTTCCGACCATTACTGAGAGCTCTCGAAGAGGAAATGGATGTCTACCGGCTGCCGGAACACGACTACATGAGATACTGCCTCGGTCGCCGGATGGCCAATCGCTATATCTACGATTATGGCAGGCAGTTCACCCACCGATTTGTCCACGAAAGACCCATTTGGGGAATGTTCTGGTCGAATCACTTCAGCCACGACGATCCCTTTATGCCATCGGCGATGCAGGACAAGGTTCTTGGGGATCTGCTGGAGTTCCAGGGGAACAAAGATTTCGAGGAGATGATCATGATATTCTTCGCCGATCATGGCACTAGATTTGGTCGGTTGACCCAACTGAAGGAGGGTTTCCTCGAGGAGCGACTGCCAATGATGTTTATTTACCTGCCTCCCTGGTTCCGGGAAACATATCCAACCTATGCAAAGGCACTTGAACTGAATCAACACAGGTTAAGTTCCAACTTTGATCTGCACAACACTCTAAAACACATTGTGGAGATTGGAGGCACCCCAGATGGTCCCCAGTTGCCCAAGTCCTTTGACTGTCCCACCTGTCAGTCGCTGTTTTATCCTCTGCCCGAGGATCGAACCTGTTCGCAGGCGGGAATCGAGGAGCACTGGTGCACCTGCGAACCCTACAAGGTGATTCATGGACGGGGGAGTGGACCGAACCCATCGCCGACTCCGTGATCGATCGGATGAACGAGTACCTCGTGCACAAGAATCTCAGTCAGCTGTGCAGCAACCTGACCCTCAACTATATCCACAAGACTGAGATCAAGACGGGTCTGAATGCCAGTTGGCACGACGAACTCAAGGAGGTGGAGACCGCCGTCTACAGGATCAAGTTCAAGGTGGAGCAGAACAGCGCCGACTTCCAGGCCACTGTGGTCTACAACAGTGTCACCAAGAACGCCGAGGTGGATGTGGAGAAGATCAGCAGGACGAACACGTACAAGGAGGACTCCACCTGCATAGACGATAAGCTCGCCAAACTGTATTGTATTTGCTTCAGTGACCTCAAACCAGAGCGATGAGTTCAGGGGATTATAAGTATAAAATAAATCCTTAGCTTTTGCTATTTCTTTTTGATAACAGGTTTGCTTACTTAGGAATATAACCTAGAAATACCTTTAATCATTAGGTGACATAATAAAAAAGTGTATATAATATTCGATTGATTAAAATACTTTTCTTAATGATTAGGAAATGGTTTTGTACCATTAATTTATAAATTTATAGTAAGCGTTCAATAATGTTTTTACAGCCTTTGTGAAACCATTATTCGATTGTAATAAATTACTAATTACTAATAAATAAATTACTAATTACTTACTAATACTAATTATTTTTCAAAATTAAAAAAGTTTTTTGTTTTCAATTTTAAAACCAACGTGACTTTTGCTCTATCCAGCAAAATTGATTCACAAAATTATACAAAATACTATAATGTTTCGGTATAATCGCAAACTTTGTTTATGCATCGGACTGCTTTTGGTTTTAATACTCGCCAATCAAAAGTGGAAACATTCGACAGAAATTACAATAGATAAAACCTGGCAAATAGATATAGAGACCATAACCCGTATCACTTGTAATAATAAAGAACAAACTGCTGACTTTCCTTCGAAAAAGTTTGATGAAAGGTTCTATGTATTCGGTCCGAAATGCAAGATGCCAAAGGTAAATCCTTATAAAGAGGGATTTCCCGAGTGGAAACCCCTCAAGTTCAAAGCCTGTACAGATGAGCCAAGTTTGATCAGTGTAAAATACGATCGGGATAAGAAGCACTATATGCTGCACTTGAACATGGAAGTTTCTTTGAAACACCTTGCAAATTATTCCGATTTTGGATGCACATATATTGAGGTTGTTTCTGGAGGACCGAATACTTCTGTTTAGTAAGTAATATTTTTCTGTTATCTGTAGAAAAGTGCAGACGTTTTTTCAGGCATCATTAATAAGTAAATTCTTAGAAATGATAAGATAAAAATAGATATTAAACTTCTTTGAAGATAAATATTCCTATTTCGGGGGTTTTTTTTAAAATGTGGCAGACATATCTAAATGTTGACATAATCGAAATACTTTAATTTGGTGGATATGGCTTAGATAAAAAATCTTTTTAATATTTATTTATCCAGCGTTGAATCTCCGAAATACTTCCACCAGGATTGGATTGTACCCAACCATTTTCTCGGGGTAATAGTCGAGTGTCATGAGTTGGCGAACAAGTCGCGAGTTCTGCAAAAAGACGCCTTTGCATTTGTCCAGCATCCAAAGAATCGCAACGAGGTGAATGACGCCAGAAGAGGAATCAAGTATCCCAGTGTCTTTCTCTTCGGGATCGATAGTATGTCCCGCATGAATTTCCATAAAAGCATGCCACTCACCTCGAAATTTGTTCGTCAGAAAGGATGGTTCGAAATGGAAGGATACAACAAAGTGGGTGACAATACCCTTCCCAATTTATTGGCGGTACTTACGGGAAGAACTCCTTCACAATGGCGATCGTATTGTGATGTTAGAAAATCTGGCTGTTTGGACAGTCTCATATTTTTATGGAACCACTTTCACCACGCGGGTTACTTGACAGCCTACGCTGAGGATTTGTCTTCGATTTCCACATTTAACTATCTAAAAATGGGGTTCAAACGCCCCCCAGTGGATTTCTATTTGCGACCCTTTCTCATGGTAATTGAACAGGTTCTTCAATCAGTTGAGTACTTCGGTTGCAAATATTGCGTTGGCAGGAAGCACAGTTTTACCTACGTTTTCGATTTCGCTAAGCAACTTATAGAGCGTTTTGTTTTCGAGCAGCAAAAACCTCTTTTTGGATTATTTTGGACGAGTAGTTTTACACGTGATGATTTTCGGGGAGGTGCTAATTTGGATGGAATGTTTTTAAACTACATGAAGCAGTTTAAAGAGTATGGATTATTTGATAGATCTATTGTGATACTCCTCAGTGATCATGGTTCAAGATATGGTCCATTAGCGGAGCACTATTCTGGATTTCTGGAGGAACGACAGCCCATGCTGCACATTTACTTGCCACCTTGGTATCGAAAGCGTTATCCTTCGGTGGTAAATGCCCTGCATTTGAACAGAAACCGTTTGAGTTCCAATTTTGATCTACATCTCGGCATTAGACAGCTAATCGAGCAAATTCATCCTAGGAAGAGATTTATCCGAGTTGTTAAATGCGAAATCTGCCAATCTATTCTAGAAGTTCTACCCGAAAATCGAAGTTGCTCAGATGCCGGAATTCCCGATCACTGGTGCACTTGTAGACCATTCGTATCTGTTCGCATTACTGATTTTATCAGAAGACTCACCAAGTTCACTGTCAGTCGGATGAATAGGTATCTGAAACTGTTGAATGTCGATGGGGATTGTCATAGATTAAAGTTAAATAAGGTAATAAAGGCTGATCAACAGCTGCACTTCGATGAGTTGGGAAATGAAGTGGATGCTTCAGATCAAGTGGAAACATATCGAATTGTCTTCACAACCAAGCCAAATAACGCAAAATTTCGCTCAACGGTTTTTAGTGACGATAACAATGATATTGTGACCACGAATATGGATAGGATAAGTCGGCTGAATTCCTATCAGAACGAATCTTATTGTGTGGATGATGCTACGGCTAAGAAGTTTTGCATGTGCATTAAACCTGAAGAATTACGGATTCGAAAAAGAAGACCTTCAAAAAAAAAAAAATGAAATATAAATATCTGGAGGAGAACTAGAACGATTATTACGATTAAGCTAAAATTTAGTTCTCTGATTTTGTAATTTTATTGAGTTCGTTCAAGTTAATGTCTACCTCTTAACTAAATTGCTGCCAGCAATAAAGGCACTCTTATGCTAATTCGATACTCGACTAGTGAAATAAAATGTTGAATTGAATTCTTCTAACTCTTAATCTAGCCGGACTAATTTATGCATTGGTCCCATGAACCGCCTTTGAAAATTCAACAAACCAGCATTAACAATACGCTTATCCTCTACTTCCATTAGAAAACTATAAAACTTTGAGATATGACTGCACTATTCCATTGATCCTTTGATCCTTTGACCCATCTACATGTACGAATCAACTGGATATCTTTCGGCCTCCTCGAGCATGTGCCGGAAATCGACGGGAACAGTTTGGCCAACGTTTCCGGTTCCGGGTCTTCCGGGAATATGTCCGTTCATCATTTGACCCTGGTGCTTGCCACTCCCCAAAGCACTTCCCCGGTTCTTCAGATGTCCGTTCATCATGCTCACATGGTGACTAATTGTGGGCACGGCTCCTGGGACATTAGTCTCCAGATCATGCAGAATGGCATCCGTTTGCTCATTGCGCATCATTTGGTTGTTGAGAGCAGAAGGATCATCTGCATCATCACTTTTATTTAAAAGCCTTTGAATGTGACTCCGGATGAGGCGCTCGAACTCACGCTGCACAGACGGACTATCCGTGTCTCCATCGACCTGGGAATTGAACACAGCATAAATATTATATTTATTTTAAAGATATTCTAGCAACTTACAATCTGCAAGCGATTGCTGGTATCCAGGATCTTGAGCATTGGGAGGGTCTGCTCACGAAAGAGCTCCAAACGGCGGCGGAACGAGGATACCGTGTCGTCTATACGTCCTCTTCCTAACTGAAGCTTGGAGCAGTCGAGGAGGATAATAGGAGGTGCTTGCTTGTACTGAAAAAAATAAAGAAATTCAAATACATAAAAGTAAAAAAAATATTATATGGAAAGTCCATAACTTTTCTACTTTTAATCAAATTTTGAAGTGGAATACCCTTAAAAGTTTGTATTTTAATTATCTTACCAACTGCATCATTAGTTAATATTTTATTTTTTGCCCGATTTTTTTTTCAATTTTTATGATACTACCCCTTTCCAAATTTCTAAAAAAAGGGTTTGCTGAAAATTGACCAAAATTCTCTAATTCTCAGTCCATAACTTTTCCAATTTTAATCAGTTATTTTTTAATTTGTTGGTCGATTTTTTTTAATTGTTATAATACAACCCCCATATAAGTTTCGAATTGCCGAAGCTAGCTTGCTTTTCTGTTTCCTATTACTTTTCATGTCATTGTAAAAATCTTACCTTGTTCTCGAAGTACTTGACTTGCTGCAGGTTTCTGGGATAGCCATCTATGATAATACCAGTTCTATCTCGTAACTGGCGCAGATTGGTTTCCAGAAGCTGATTCAGCGATTTTTCCGGGGCCATATCCCCAGCGGCCAAAGCTTCCTTCACGGCGAAGCTTTCCGTATTGGCACGTGGTGCAGAGTCCGTGATATTTCGCAAAAGCCGACCGACACTTAGAAGAAAAATATATTTCAGTTAAGTAATTATTTGAAATATCCTACTTAAGCTTACCTGATGTGAGCCCAGCCAGGATTGAGTCCCACTGCTTTTAAGCAGAGTGTGGCCTTATTGCTTCCCGGACCGCCGATCACCCAAATGATGGGTGGCAAATCCGACTCATCTCCTCCGACTTCCGGTCGCAACTTTGGCTGCTGGGTGACCACAACACCGCTATCGTCATCGGCACTGGTGGTGCCCGTTTTCAAGGCACTAACGGCCCCATTCGGACCACCTTCTATCCGCTCGATGGCCAAGTCTCTGGCCAAAACGGTGCCCGTGGTTTCGGCGCTGTTCGCGGCGGTGTCTTCTGCAATTTGAGTCGCTTGTTGGGCTTGACTTGGTGCGGTGTCTACGCTAACTATACTGCCGGGTATATCATGTATCCCTCTGCCCATACCTGTAACTCCGTTCATCACGGCCTCTTGGTTCTCGAGGGTGCTCAGTATGTCGAGCACTGCGGTTCGAAAGTCCTTGTACACCTCTGTGGGAGCACGCTCGCCATTAACCTGTTTATAAAATAAAAAGCAACAAAATTAATTCAAGGATCAAGGTTTTCAATTATAATTTTATTTATAATTTGTTCTATATTGTAAAAGAAACAAAAATCCAATAAAATATATCATCTGGTACGATTTTGCAAGATAAAAATAACAATTACTTTTTAAGTTCGCGATGCAATAATTGGTTTGATTTTAATAGAATAAATATATATATCAAAATAATAATAAATATATGATCTAAACATTTTGTTTAGAAAGTTTTTTTTTTTTTTCGCAGTTTGAAACAATCATTAAATACTCACGGCCAACAACATGTCGCTCTGATCAAAATAATCGGCGACTGGCATCACATTTTTAAAGAAATTTTCCAATTCCATTTTGGCTAAGGAGAGTACTACATGACCTAATTTGGCTCCATAATCGATTTGCTTCTGTAAAACCGACTGACGCCAGGATATTAGTATCACGCCATTCACGACTTGAATCTGAAAGTAAATGAAAAAAATTAATTTAATCAAACAAGATTGCTTTTTATTTATGGCCTTTAATTGTGTGGTAGAGACTTTAGCTAATCAAATTTGTGCCACTTATGCAATGATAGGACTTTACATATAGTTAACGCCATGTGTACGTGATTGGGCGTTCGGAACTCCCTAAGTGCCGCTTGTTCCAAGTCCGTCCAATTAGCACTTGCATATATAATACGACGACGGATGTGAGCCTCACTGTAAATCCATGGGAATTATGGCCGAATAAACATACTGTCGGCGACCCATTTGCCAGTTAATTAGTTCAAATAGTTCAGCGGCAATTTACCGGGCAAATAAAGTGTGTCGCAACAGAAATGGCTTCATAACCAATATAGACGAGTATATAGTATATGGTGGCTAGTTTGGAAAATTACCTTCTCAGAATACTCGACTACGTCGCGCATTGAACGTGGATATCCCGATATTAGGTATGCTTTGGCAGCTGGAGCCATTTTCATTTCCAACATCAGCACTTCGGTGACTGTTTTCGACGATAGTTGCGAAAAGTCCTGCATGTCTGCAATAGAAAATTGGTTGAATATTTAATACCAATCATTAAATAAGTACATAGTAATATGGATTTTTTTGGATTATTTTTTTATATATATATTTTACCATTGCCCATTGCATATTGCTGCAGCAGATCCATCATATTGATGTGCGTTACTCCGCGTCGCTCCTGCATGAAGGTGTCGCAATGGGTGACCTTGCCACTACCGGGGCCGCCTAAAACAAATATCACTGGCACTTTGGGCGGATCGAATTTGATTTTTCCAGCATTTTGCATATCGATAGCGCCGACATTGGTAGAACCCAAGCCTCCTGCCGCCGCAGCTGTGTCCAAATCGCCAGCATTTTGGCCATTTCGATTCCGCGTAAGACTCCAATCGTTGCCTTGTTCGCCGGTATCTTGTGCCGCGCTGGCATCTAAAAAATGTTTAAATTTATTTAATAAGTATATGTGATCATATTTTATTACTATTTATAAACAACAATTTATTTCCTTTTTATTTCAGAATATTTATCATTCAGCAAGTGGCATAAATATTCTTATCTTTGGCAATCGAGAACAATGAGAAATGCATATCTGCACGAATTTTATAATTTTTAAAAAGCAAATTAACTTCTATTTAATTAAGAGAATGGAACTTTGAGCAAGGAGATCTCCTATAAATACAAAAGAGATAATTTTTTACATTAAAAACCACTTCAGAATATGTAAGGAAAAAACCTAATTTGCATTCAGTGGCGAACTCCATTTTTTATTTGCGTGTGGGAGCAACAGTTGACCCTCGGTTAAAGCGCAGTAATTTTTCAGCCGGAAACCGGATGTGTTGGCAAGTTAGCGAACGGAGGGGAAATGCGGAACGGCTTGGGGCAAGGGCGTTGGTAACGTGCCAAGTTGGCATTAGCCATTAGCCAGCCTTCGTCGGGGCCGGAAGCAATTTGCCAGGAGTAGGGAATTAGTGACAGAGGCCCACGCACTCAACGAGGAACGAGGAAGGCAAAGGATCGAAACAAATCGCGAACCACATCATTAAAACATGTTTAACAATTATTTAATTGTATGGCAACCGTATTGAGTACAGAATGGCGTCACCGCTGAATTCATTCATGGAAAATCAGCTGTGGCATGGCGATTCTATATAGCGATTTTATACCCTTAGATATAGTGGCCACCCACTTTTACCATTTACCCCTGGATTGGTCAAACCGGAAAACCAGTTCGGTCTTGTTCATTTTTATTGATTTTCCTGCAGTTTTATTTAATTGACATGTTTTGTTATTGTTGCTATCCCTTTTCCACGCGGGGTTTCCCTTTTCAGTTCTGTGTTTTTTTTGTGTTTCCTTTTTGTTTTTGGGGCGACGGATTTATGTGTATTAGCTTTGGTGGTCAACGAACATGTCCAAGGACCTGGCAGCCATGGAGGCCAAAGGATCCGAGTTCCGATACAAATTACAGCGTTGGGCAAGGTCTCGATTTTGATGTAACGTTCTGTACAAATAATATATATATTCGTGTATGGCGATTGGCAAACCGTTTTGTCACAGATAATGGTTTTTGAAATTAATTTCAAAGCAACTGATTGCAGTAATTTCAATTGAAACTGCCCTTTGAATTGTGGTCAATTGAATGTGTCACCGGGATTTTAAATTCCGCTAGGGAGCTCTAGGTAAGTAATAGCTGATATTTGCAGAATGCTAACTAAAGAAAATATTTTATAATATTTTGCTACTATAGGAAAATCAATGATCAAAATGGTGGGTTCAATGAGTTAATCTTAGGATACTTGTTACTAACAATATTTTTGTAATTATCTGCGAAATCTGTATTCTGGAAAATAAAATGTGTTTTTGATGATATGAAGTACCTATGAAACTTTTGTTCCTAAAAGTATGCATTAAAAATTTCTCTTACTTTCAGCGATCAGCTAAAAGATATTCTTCAACTTTAGGAGCAACTCTCGAGATTCGTAACGAAACATTCTGTATTGTAATCCCCTGGCGTGTCCAACCCACGCGACTCATTAGGGTTCTTTTTATTATCTTTTTGGCCGTGGAGAGGCAGTGCTAATCTTTGATTACGAATCTCCTGCATGCGGGGCATTACTCACCTGTGTCTAAACAAATACCCATTATCCATTCGGTGGCCAGTATAGCTGAATTTTCGCAATTGTGTTTTCCCTACTGCACCCACACACACGTACACACACACACACACACCAACGAGCCCACTCAGTCACTCAACTTTCGAATGGAAAAAAATGTATAAAACGAGCTCTTCAAAAGGAGTTTTCTGCGGTTAAAATTGGTAAAATTCCACAAATGTTTTGCACTCTGAAACTGCGTCTGTCCATGGCTACCAGTTAATGGAATTCGGCCAATGTGTACGGGTATATTATAAAAATGTGTACGTTTATTATTGGTATCTCTGGGATACTTGTTCTCGCGTTTTATCGTCGGCAACACGCACCACCACGAACTACATGACGTTGCCGGTTTTGGTGTTTTGATTCCTGCATTAGTCGCGAGTGCCGACGATTTGGCCAGGATTTCCGAAGGGTTCAACAAACCAAACCAATGCAAACCGAGCACGTACGTCTCGACGAGCGTCCGAAGCGAAACTGAGTCTCAAAATTGACAACTGACTCGGTTTTTACCTCTACGAGCGCCCGATTCCCCTGGTCACTTTTCCAATTAATGAATACTTTATGAGTTCCAGCCGGATTCGTACCAGCTATGTTAGCTACTAACTGCACTTCCAGTTGAGCGTGGGCGGCCCTTTTGTTCTATGGCGGCGGTCGGGATTTCCTTGCCCGCTGGAAGTTTCACGCACGACCTTAGAACACCTCAATCCACCCACCCACAATCCTCTAACCCACCCACAATCCTCTAACCCACCCAGAGGCCACCTCACATGTCCGTGTCATTCATGGGCCGCCATTTGTTTATGCGCTCCAAACAAAGTGTCCTGTGTCCTGGAGCCAGCGGTGCGTTTCTCATACATCCTTCGTGTATGTGTGTGTGTGTGTGTTAGCCAACTCTAACGTGTGTGTGAGCCCAGTCTCGCGTATGTGAATTGGTTTTTAAAACGCTTTCCCGGTTTTCGTTGTCAGTGCTGGCGTGCTGGTGTCCTGTCGTCCATGTTGTTTGTTGTTGTCAGCCTGGTTTCAGTCTTCATAGGTGTAAATAAATCCTCTGACTTGCAGCTGTTCAGGTTAAGAGGGCACACATTGAGCTGTGAGGCCTCAAAAAATAGTTACCAAGTTATGAAAAAAGAAAAAAACATTTATATGAAAATAAAATTTAAAAAGAAAATAATAAATAACATTTATATATAACTAAATTTATTTGAATTATAAATAGTCAGACAAAAATCGCTAAAAAAAAAAAATGTTAAAAAATTTAAAATAAAAAATGAGAAGAATTTTGAATGTCTATGTAATTATCATACATTAATTATTCGATTTATTTATGAACTAAATATCCATGTTTTTAATCCTAAACTTCAATATATTTTATCAAATGAAGTATTTTATTTCTAACGAATTTTAATCTGATCCTAGTCTAATACCCCTTGTTACGTTGCAAAGTGTTCACCTATCATGAGTCTGGCATAAGGTATGTGTTCATTCTAAATCACTTTCGTGAGCCTGATGGCGGAGAAATTGCGCAATCATGCCGCCACACAATGACAATGACAAGGAGTCCAAATTGATAAATCCGGAGAGGGTTGGATTTTCCGAGCAATAGATGGGAATTGGAACACTGGGCTGTCTGATGTGCAGTGGGCGAGCATTCAATTAATATTTCACACTATTAATTGGAGTTAATTATTCAGTTCGCTTCTAGTTGCAGTTCAATGATACGGACGAGACGCCAAGCGTGGACAGCTGTCAAAATTTTCAAAATGTGTTTGATTAATATTCAATTCAATGCCATTGGGTTTTTTGAAGTTGTCACCGGTTTGAGAAAGGTGGGGAGATGGGGTTACAGGTTGAATAGGCTGGCCAAGGACATGTAAAGAAGTTCAAAGCTCAAGGAAACTTCATATCGATCAAATTGGTCTCATATCGATCCATGGACAAGCACAGATGCGACGCCTAATTTGTTGGAATTTGTGACATGTCATGTGCCGTCGACACAAGGACGGCAACAACAAAGATAACAACACGGCGCACAACAACGTACAACCAAAATGACCAGAAACAGAACCCAACTGGTTGACATTGACACCCACACCTGACCAGGAAAATGGGACCCACTGGGTTTGGGCCACAAACTTATGCGTGAAGTCAATCCTTCGCAACCAAAACAATGGTAGAAAAAAAGAAAAAAAAAGGAAGGAACAGCTCGTGTCTCGTGCTCGTCCTTGGACCCTCTGGGCGGGTCCTTTGGTTATTAAATCCCCTTTTCAAGCTTAATTAAGGCTACGCGTTTTGGCCAACCTGTGTATACAATTGCGGACGGGCGCGGCCAACTTAGGGTTAAGCAACTCGAATCGAACATCTGTGATTAAGGACACTGGCTAAGGAGCCTCTTTGTCGGCGTTAAATGGGCTCCAGGATGGGAAAACATGAAATTGCCTCGCCGTAGAATTATATATGCCTCCAAATAAGTGTTGTAAATACTTTATTTAAGGTGAGGACAAAGATAAATATAGTGCAATAAACTGAATAAAAGAAAATTGCCAGTGAAAGACAATTATAATTCATAAATTGAAAAAAGTTGATTACTTAAGCCTCTGAATTCAAATTAATTTAATAAATATATTATTATTAATTTCTTTTTTTAATTATCTACTTTGTAATATTTAAAGGAACCTACAAAATTTTAAAACAAGCTTAAGATTGCAGTAAGAACCACAGAGAAACCATTCCTTTAATTGATTGATGCATTTACTAAATTATTTTTTAAAATAAACCTTTCATAGTGTTATTTTATTCTCAGTTCCTTATTACAAATAAAGTAATCTAGTTTATATACTTGGATGTAACTCACACTGTAAATCTCTTGACATTCGCCAGCATTTATAAATAGCTGTACCACTATTAGAATTAAACCTGCCCTTGCGGGTTTATTGGCCCAAAAGCACTGGCCTTCTGGGCCTATTTGGGCTAATGTGGTCATTCAAAGGCGATTAGGGGCTTGAGTAAAATATTTACACATCTCGCACCCAGCCAGAATAAAAATGTTAATTGGCCTTCCGTTTTTTTAAGTGCATCTGTACTTCTACATTACATCCTTCTATGGGCGGTTATAAATTCTTTATTGTCAACTGTAAAGTTCCCAAAGGCAGGCGTGTCAATCGAATCGAAAAAACCCGAAGGCTATTGGGCACTTTCATGTTTTTCTCTTCTTACTTTTAACTATTTGAATTTTTAATCAGAATTCTTAAGCTTGTTTTTTTGTTTGAGTATCAATATTGATTCCCTTGAAGGACACTCGCAATTCTGATGATGATGATTAGACCGGGAATTATTTTCAAGGAGCCGTTCACCAACAACTCTACACAGAACGAATTTATTTACTTAACACAAAACAATAAAATATAATATCACTGGTTGTAAATTCTACAAATTAATTTCTCTAAATGCTAAATAGTCTAAATAGTTCGAAGTATTAGCTTTTATTCGGGAGTTCACCAGTGGGCGAAAAAGCCTGATTTTCATAGCCTGTAAAGTTGCCCAAAACCATTGAAATGCGAGAGGGCGAGTGTTGAATTCCATTTCCGGACTTGTCATCCAGTCCATTGGTTTGACCATTCGATTTCGAACTGGTGGGCAGAACAAAGTTTGCATTTTTACAGCGTCGATAAAGGAATGATCGGAGTTTGAAGAACACAAAAAGCAGGACGTAGATGCAACAGGATAGGAGTAGTACGCCAACAACCGTGACAAAGGCATTTTCTGGCTTGCTCCAGTCAATCACATGATAGATGTAGGGCTTCCCTTTCCTATTAAAACAATCACGGGATATTTATTGCTGATTCATTACAGTAATCAATTTGTAACTTACTTGTTAATGCCGCCGCACAGGTGGTAGATATATGAAAATACAGCGAACACAACTCCGAATAAAACTGGCAGAAATATATGCAGCAACCTCATCGGATGTGCCACAATCCACAGATCGATGAACATGCAAATCGAGTTGAATGCATGAGTGAGTACATTCGTGGCGTCCAAAGCGCTTTCGTTGGCTAAAGGAAATGCAAACCAGTCATTGATATTCAGGTGATTATTACCAAAAACGAACCCACCATCGTAAAGAATTGACCAATAGATGATTGTGATTACAATTGATAGAACCAGTGTTATGATGTGCATTCCCCAATACAACCGAAAATAGCTGAAGGAACTCTTTATATTAAGGAGTTTATCTAGAAAATAATAATACGTTTTAGCTTTCTAATTGGTACTTATTACATTTTCACGTAAGACTTACCCGCATATTCTGGATGATAATGCCAAATAGTGACTAGAATTGCACCCAACACGTTCGTTAGCATGCACATCCATATTCCCCAGTTGGTCATGTAGATAAAGTACAACCAATAACTCGACTCATCATCCGATTCTGGCCACATCGAGATAATTACCACGATTACAAAAAACAGAGCCATGAACCAGCGATAAAACAAATACGCCATACTCTTCGTACACGACTGCCACTAAAATAAATTTATATAATTAAAATATTAATATTTTAATAAACAAAAGTAGGTAGATAACTTTTATTTCTAACAATGGATTTGATGTAACCAGTAGGTCATTGTTATTCGTAATATTCATTTGAATTTATAATAGGTTGTTTGAATTTTAAATTTATTTGTAACAACTGTTTGAGAACTATAATAAGTATTTCGCTTTTATAATAACGTGTTAACTGCAGCTTGTTAGATCATATTTTCCATAAGGCAGTTGTGCAGCGAAGCTTTACCAAATTTTACCCTAGAAAGGTTAAAGGGCACGATAACCCTGAGGGCCAGTTTATTGGACCTGTCGCATGTTTAAAGTATTGCTTTCTTGACTGGTCGTCCAGTTTGTAACGGCTTGCTGCTTATGAATATTTCAATACAGTAATTTACAATGCAAGAGCAATCGGTGTACACAAGTCGGACTATACTGTCATATATATCAGTTTGTGCATATATATTTGTATCCAAACATGCCCCCTATCTATTGATACTGTGAATAAAAGAAGTCATTAAATATGCTCAAGGTAAGACCATTACAAAGTGGTAAAACGCCCAATGTCTTTTACTGCTGGCAAAGAGATTCGATTCGGTTAGGGCTTATGAACAAATTGGCAGGTTTTTTGGGTGAATAAAAAAAGTAAGAAATTAAATACAACCTAAATAAGATATTAGCTAAGTGGAGTGAAAAGTAAATTACCGCTTTAACTCCACTTTTTACTTTAAAGAAATTGGGTTGTAAAAGTAAGTAAAGCTGTCACTTTATTGTTCTCAAGTTTTAATATGTCTTTAAGTATGAGTTTTTATTTCTAAGACCTTTACCCACATTTATCTCTAGAATTCCCCTATAGCCAAACCTAATGACTAGCCTACAGTTTAAAGTGCCCACCATGTACATTGACCCGCCGCCCAAGTGCAAAATAAATACAAACACACCTGCTCAGGTGCGTGTCGAACGGAGGCGTTTTCATCGTGGGCCCAAGGACGCGGCTATTTGTCGTCGATGTTTCGTTGAACTATTTAAACTGACCCATCCTCACGTTTAATTCCTTACCTGTGACTTGACAAAATCATCGGGCGTATCATGGTCGAATCCGCAGCTTTTCCGCTGGAACTCCTTCTTCACGGGATGCACAATCACATGTAACTTGCTCATCTCGTTGTTTTATTTTTCCGATCCGATAAGAATCTGGTTGTTACTTAATAGGTTGTTCTACGTAAGCAGTCGATTCACGCAACTGGGATTCACAACACGACTAGGCAATCGAAATTCGAATTTGTGTTGCCATTCTCTGCGCAGTTGTTTTAAGCTGTTTGCTGGTTTGCTGTAATTGAAAAGAAAAATGGTTTATTTAGTAAAGTTAAAAGAAGTAAATTTAATTTTCATGAAAAATCTATACAAGTACAATTTGGTTTTCAGTGTTTTGATTTTGGAAAGAACAACCTTCGCAAACAAAGAATCTTTTCATTTCCAAACCTTAGTAAACATTTATATCTAACTCATTGGCATTGTTTGTGGGTTTAGGTTACTCATTGTTCAGTCTCAGTGTCGTCGACATCAAGTTTACAAATAGTTTATATTTCAACATCTATTATTTGTAAAAAGTCTTTTCAATGGAGATTGCTGGAAAATTTCTAAAGCCCGTCTGGCGACCAATGATGCAGAGTGAGTGGATTGCCAATTAACGAATTGTTAAACCTATTTTGCAATGCATATTTTTCGGGCTAGTGGCTAGACTCTATTGCGATAAGCCGATGCGGAGTTTGGTGGCTTTTCCTGTTGCCAAAGTGGAAAGTGGAAAGTCCAAGTACATGATGGCCCACGTTTACATTCACGGGGAAATGGGCAGTGCCAAGCAAGTGATTCGCAGTCATTCCAAGGCCAAGTACCATCGTACGTTTAAAGTTAATTCTTATAACAAGGATATACTCATTTATTTCTTTTAACTCCTCAGTTGATGTCTATGATGAGTTGAAAAAGGAGGCCGAGGCGATGGGCCTGTGCACCCAGGGATTGGGTGGTGGCTACCTGGTCCACGACAAGGAGAAGAAGTACATCAAGCTCTATGGAAGATCGCAGGCTCTGGGAAAAGCTGATCACGAGGCTGCCCGCGAATTGTTGCAACCCATTTACAATGATCACAAGATCGACGCTGAATCTGGCGGCATGGAACCCTAAATTGACGTTTTCTTTTAGTGATTGATTCGGTCCGGCCAACATTTCGGTTTTGACAATCCACATTGTCTTGAATTATTGTTTTTAAATTTTAGTCCAAGGACTATGTGAATACTTAACATTCATTAAAATTAAATTACCTGAAACAAATCTGAAGAAGGTATTTAACATTTGACCCTTAACCTCGGGTTTGCTTGAGTTTTATCTTTTAAGTTTCTCCACATCACCATAACCATAAAGCTGTGTTAAGTTTCCCTAGTTTTTCAGATTGAGCATGCGCAACCCGTTGAGTCTGACCCAAAAAGGTTAGCAACTAATGTGCAAAGTGCGAAACACAAGTTGCAATGGCTTTGGGCCTAGTAGACAGCTTAATCGTGCTAATAATGGGTCCATTGTATGGCAGACTATTCATATAATTATACGAAGTGGTTAGTGGGGGAAGCATCATTTATGGATCAATTTACCACACAGTTCATTCGCTTCGTCGAGCGCACTATTATTGTATAGTCAGTGAATAATTATTCGCTTCACCAGGGTAACAAACAGAGACCCTCGGCGGTTTATTGTATTGCCTGTCATTCGCGACCGTTAATTGCGAAAATAAAAATATAAAGTTATGCAATAACTATATTAATTAGCCCACAAAGGTCGAACATTGAAGGAGAATGAAAAACAGAATCGCAGCTTGAGCTATAGAACTTAATCTCTGATGCAAATTTACAACAATCTGCAGTAGTGTGTTATGACTAGATAAAACATCATTGTTTTTCTTCCGATTACCTTGAAACCCCCGGCATTCCTGATAAGATATTACGTGCTGCTTGAGTAGAGTATCTCTTAAAAGATATAATGAGGCAATAACACATAAATAAGCTTGTTGTGGTTAAACATTCAGGCAAATAACAATAGAACCTTTGCTTCAGCAATCATTAAAGCGTTTTATGTTTAGTCTACCGGCTGAAGCTCTAAAGTTGTATTCACTTATATTTTTCACGGCAATTGCGTCGGCTTAAACAAACATCGCGCCATAACCGTCTAAGTTTTAATTACTTCTTCAGAGTAATACTCTGAAATAAACATTTTTCGAGTGCGATGTTCATTGTCCCTGAACTTGCACGAATGGCACGCTAATGAAACTTTTCAACAGCAAAAAACGAGGCAAGAAGGGCGGCTAATTCAGTTAACAAACTCCTAACCATCCACCTTGGTGGCCAAGACACTTTGGAGTCTTTTTAGTGTGCATTTTATTTACACGCTTTTTCGGCTGTCGCTTGTGCTACATTTTCGTCAACAAAAGACGCCAAAAACTACCTTCAACATAATTATGTTTACAGTGCGTGTCGAAACAATAAGGCTACTGAACACATTTTGTGAAACCTCACTAAAGTCTTTTTTTTATTATCAATGAAATGTGTTTATTTTTCTTCTTCACTCTTAATTTAATTATTACTAAGAGTATTTAAGGAAATTGACGCATACTAAACGGATATATCAAAACTGATGACGACTTAAGTAGAAATCATCCCATTTTTTGAGTCATAACCGGCTTAAGCCCTTCAACTACGAAACGCACTGTAGACGAATGATATATAGGTTTATGGCTCTTGACGTTGTACCACATTGAACCTTAAAATAAAACTCGTTGACCTTTACAAGCTGTGTAAATAATTTTAAGTCTCGAATGCCGTCAAACCACTCGAGTGAATGGCAAGTTGAAGACTTTAGATTCGGACATTAACTACTCCCTCATCAAGATCCACTTGTCGATTAGATAAGACACGTCGTCTATTCAGCGGCCAAAATCTTTTCAATTTTTTTAATAGAAAGTGAAATCAAAAGAGTTCAACGCCATTGAAAGCATCTCTTATGTTAATGTCAAAAGCATAGCCGAAAAACTTTCAAATGACTTCAAGTGGATGTCCAAAGTTTGAACCGAAAACCAATCGAAAATTGTCATTAAAATTCTTAAGTTTTTTATCAACCACTTTAAGACGCTAATTAGCCAATTGGTAGTACTTGATTGGCGAATGAAGCGAATTATATTATTAGTCTGCGGTTGTTAACTGTAGAGTGTGTCAAATCGCAAACAATAAAAATGTGTTTTTGCTCATTTTTGTAGCTTATGATTAAAAAGGTAAATAACGTTTTATCTTTAGAACGCTTGGAATTGGTTGAACCTTTTAGTTCTTATATTCTAATATTTTACGTAACTGCAATTAGACACCTTTCAGCTGTGAAACGAAGTCAGTTTGCGAACTAATTTCCATAATCGAATTGAACGAGGTCAGTTTTTCAACAGAAGGTGTAAAAAACTAATTAGCGTTTTCAATTTCCAAGCGGAAGCAAAAAATTATTTATGTGCTAATAAATGAATAATCGATGTGGGAATATAAATATAAGCAAATCTAAACTGGCCTATATTTTCTACTTATCGTAACTGCAGCTAAGTAAGCCACAGAAAAAATGCCTACAAACTAGTTTGCTAATAAACACGAGTCAATTAGCCAACATTAAAGATGTGTATTTAAACCGCTTTTTGCAGATTTTACATAGCTGAACTCACCTTAAACTAATTGCAAGCGCATTAGAGTATGAAAAGCGTTAAATCCAAACTTGATTTGCCGCTCCTTGGGATCGTTGCTATTTGGTAAACAGGAAACTTATAATCGTTCACTTAGTTGGATTTTTCATTAACGTTTTTTTGGGGACGTGCCTAAAATTTCAAGCGTACCGTAAAATCCAATGAGCCAATATGTATGCGAAACTTAAGTCACAAAAGTAGAATCTCTGCCAGAATATATGTACATTTAAGAACCGAAATTTACATGAACCACATCGAACAAGAACTATAAACACACTCTTGAAATTTGGCAGGGCCTTGAACCAAAAGAGACCTCTAAAAGATTTTATTTTACTTTCACATCACACCAAAATAATAAAAAAAGCTTAAACTTTTATAGAACTTTTTGGCGTTACACTTGAAACCTATTTATTTAGTTAACATGGAAACATTTTTCGAGGAATATTTCTTATTTCAGATAATTTTTGTTTGTGTGTAAACATTTTGCTTGCGAAATAATTAATAAAACATCTTTGCGAGGAATTAGGCATTTGCGAAACAACATTAATAAACTAGGCACACACTATTATTTTTTTTGTTTTGTAGGAAACCTGTTTCTCTTTTTTTTGTGTTTGAGTTTGGCTTTAAGAATTCCTCAATGAAATATGAACAGTTTTTGTGGTTTTGTTTTTTCAAGTTTTGTTTGACCAAGAAAAACACTTTACGTATTTCATCAATTTGTTTTTCGCTATGTAGTTTGCGGATTAAAACGCGAATTGGCTGTCTGAATTGTCTTTTATTTTTTGGCCCGGTTGGTAATTTCTATTTGGGTCACCACAGCAACAGCAACAGCAACAACAACTTTGCATAACGGTATCAAGCCATTTCGAGTTTGTTTGTTTATTGTGCCATGCATTTGTAGTCTGTTCGAGTATTACACCAACCGATCACTTCACATTCACGCACCGATGCGCCAGAACCAAAGAAAGAGCACTACAAATAAAAATAATAATAGTAAGTAACGCACCAAACAAATAAATCGGAGAGCGGAGCGCAAATCACGACTGTTCACATCGAGGAAAAGAATTAAAATCAAAACTACAAATGATCGTAGCTTTATTTTCGGTTTACTGGAGCCATGGTAGAATAGGTATAAGGCATCTCGTCGGTCAGTCAGTCCGTTAACAATACCTTCATGAGAAAGAAACAGCAACAGAGTGAGTTGTCTAACCCTTATGCGGTGCATGCTGCTTGAAATAGCCTATCGTATTACAAGAAGTGAGTTTTGTTTTCTAATTTATGATTTTTGGCCAAGTGGTTGGCTTAGAGAATTTCTTAAAAGAAATAAGCTTAACATAATATCGACTCTGTTTTACAGAACTTCCCCCGTCTCGCCCATAAACTAGGCCTCTGTCGCTGGGCTGCAAATGTAAGAAAAAAATGTTTCCAAACTCTGTTAAAAACCGAACGTTAACGGACTCAACACGAAGAATAACAAATGATCGTAGCTTGCTTTTCGGTTTGCTAGAGTCGCAGCACTTCGGCACGAATACGTAATATCGTAAGCGCAGACGCGGCTGCTGCGACGCCGAAGTCGACGTCGACGCAGCCAGGTGTGTTTGCACATGTGTTTTATAGTTGAGAAGTGAGAGAGCAATTGCACAGCGAAAAATAACCAGGTGTTACCTTATGTATTTTTTAATGAAAGTAGGTAGGGGAGCATGGGGCATTGTCGACACTTTTTTTCAAAGTCGTTTTTTCATAGTGAAAATATATTTTTTGATAATGTAATGCATATCGTTGTATTCGAAAAAGATCTGGCTAATAACATTCAAAAAGTTTTTTGGTCTATTGTCAAGGGGGTGAGTGTGGTAACCAAAAATCTGAAGTGTTGTCAAATTCAGAAATTGAAAAATCGTGGGGTAAAGTCGACACCCCCCTGGGGCAAAGTCGACACATACCTGAAACTCGAAGAAAATGAACACAAAATCATAAGGTATCAATATTTATTCGTCAATAAGTAAAATGTTTACAAAATACAGCCATCTACCCATCACTTCCTTTTCAGCCAATCAATTAATGTTCCTCGGGGAATGTTTTACTTTTCAGCTGCCTTTTTTGCAGCTAAGCCTTCCGATCGTACTGCGTGGATGGCCGTTTTGATATTTTCCACGCTTACGGGAACCGTTTTCCTTTTATAATTGCGTACCATTGGGTGGCAAACATGGCAAAGTTGATCAAAATTCTTCAACGCATTCAATTTTGTTCAGTACACAAAGGCAAACCCGCTTTAATGTCGGTGTCGACTTTACCCCACATACATAGTGTCGACAATGCCCCACACGACATTTTTGCAAACAAGTTACATAAAAATCATGATAACTTAACAAAATTTTATGACGAGTGTCATTTATATCTTCTGTGAACTCTACTGAATAAAGCCAACATACCTTGATAACTCTTCGCAATGCACAATTCTCAAAAAACCAAACTTCACACGATCGGAAAATTTTACTTTTGTGTGCCAAAAACACATGTGGCGTAATAACAAATTTTCCATAACTCAGAATGCCACCAAACTTCGTTGGTAATGTGGGGCTCTTAGGATCTACATTCGGTAAAAAAATTACGTCGATATGATTTATAGTTTTTTTTTAAGAACGGGTGTCGACTTTACCCCACTGTCGACAATGCCCCATGCTCCCCTACTTTTGAAAAGTCATTATATTATGAAAACAGACCTAAATACAAAGAAAGTGTTTTTTTGCACGAGCACTGAAAAAACATAATATTGCCTAGTATGAATAATGAGATTATGCTCTAAAATTGTGTTTTCCCAAAAATCGACTTAGTCATCAACGACGTCCCATTTTTTGGTTATCAGCATCCAACAATTTTTGTTGTTTTTTGATTTCATTGAAAAATTATTTTAAACATACGTAATTTGGAACTAGTAAACATTGATGAGCTAAAAACATGCATTTCATTGTTTTTAAAATTCACAAGACTTTAAAATAAGTTCTTGGTATACCATGAATGAGATCCCTTAGTAAGTACCGAACAAATACAAATTGTTTTTGGCAGAGCAATATCTTTTCTCAGTGCTTGGATATTGGCAGAACCATAAGGCACATAAAGAAACGATGGATGCTTTTAGCTGTGTTTTCTGCCCTCCTCTTTTATCGACTTTGTGCTTAATTACCCGCTCACCTCATTCTGCGTTTGTGTGTGTGTTTTTTTGGCAAATGTTTGTGGGCAAACAAAAGTAGAAGACTTTACCTGCGGGTACAGTTGGTAAAAAGAAAAGAGAACTTCGCTCTTGCTAAAGTCTTAATGATTCGACAAAATTTCATAATTAAAGCGAGAACTTAGCACGGTTTTTTTGTAGAAACTGGATTTGTAATCTAATTGCAACGTTTCAAAGAAAAGTATTCAGTCACCGTTTTGTTGAGAAAGAATAAAAGTTTTGGAATTGGGTTAAAAAGGTAAAGGAAAAACGAAGTACTCTGGTTACCCAATTTCTCGTGTATTTGAAGTTGTTCCACTTTACGGCAAGATTTTGATTCTGCTCAAAAATGTTAAAGAATACGTGCAAAAAGATAAAATAAAATTAAAAAAGAACATTTTTAACATTTCGAGTGTTTAAAACTTAACCACACTAAAACGTTTATAAAATCAAATAACTTTGTTATATACATTTTCATTTATTTCGATTCTTGTTTTATAAGCTCTCTATATATTTTTATACAGCGTTTATTTACTTCCATAATTCTCGTGATAATAAAATTAACTAAAGTATTTCAACAATTCTCATATTTATGGTATTTAATCCATAAATGTAGTAACAACGTTAACGCTTAATTGTTAACTTAATTAAACCAATTGAAAGTTAAGGAACCAGGCGATTAAAACTTACAATACAAAATACTAGATATAAATAAATGCATGCGAATGTGTGTGGACCTGTGTGACTCCCCTAATTGTCAACTTTTGTGATTCAGTTTTGAATGGAAGTGGGGCTTACTTAATGCTGGTGATGCTTATAGAACTGGGAATATGTGCGGGTGATAATGAGGTGATATTATATATCTGTGGTGTCTTTGACTAAACGTTTAATTCCCTCATATCAGACCCACAGCATGGGGAGTCCAGACCACACTGAAGGCCCTATTAAACATCCTCTTCAGCTTGTAGACTCCGAAGAGCAGCAGCCAGTAGCAAATAATAAGCACAAAGATGCCCACAAAGGTCACCAGACAGCGCTTCGGATTGTTCCAGTCCAGAATGGGATACACATAGGGATTGTCGAATCTGCAGGATCATTATAAAGGTGATCGTTACTAAATTGCGAATCATGCTGGTATTATTCTGTACTTACTCGTCTGTACCCCCGCATAAGTGGTAAATCAGGGTGAAGCAGAAGAAAAAGATCGCCAAACTCATTCCGTAAACCATGTGAAGGATCCTGAGAGGAAATGCCACAACCAGGAAATCAATCAGCATCATCACGGAATTTAGACCGTGGGTAATTATGCTAATAGCAGGATATCGCATGGGCTTATCTGCAACAAAAAGGTATTCATTAATTAAAATCTAATTTAAATTTAAAATAAACTTATTTCTAGACTCACTCATTTTTCCATGGAGAAACACCCAGTAAACTGTTGATATAATCAAAGCCAGCGAAAGTGTCATATTGTAGAGCCACCAGTATATTTTCAGACCCCTTGAGGTTTCGGCTTTGTGGGCGGATTCCTGTACCAGACTCCGTGTATTCCTCCAATCGAAGTGCCAACAGGTGACTTGTACGGCGGAGATCAACAAGGTGAGAGTGCAGAGGCCAAATCCCCAGTTGGTCATGTAGATGAAGAACTTTCCACCGCAAAACTGAACAATCATGCACATAATGTAGGTGCCCAGGAAAAATAGGGCCCATATCCAACGATATAGTAAGTATGTTGTGTTGATTTCATCCTTTTGCCACTGCAAAAAAAGAAAATTAAATTAAAATAGTGAAATAAAATATTGTGGTACTACAACTTAAATTATATTCATTTATATACATTGTTGTTTTTACTGCATTTTATTGAAAATTTTCCATTAATCCTTATCGATGTCGCCTGTCTGACCCTTTTACAACGATCTATAGCTTATGTAATTTTTCAATTAAATCATTCCACACCTCTGGCCGCAAAAATTAACGAAAACGAAAATACTATATGCTAATGACAGCAGAAATCACGATTCAGTGCTTATCACTCCCAATGACGTAGTCAGAATTAGGGCCTGTCTAAATAATATTGCCTTCGTATCAAATTCTTTATTTTCGCGTGCATTTAAATTTGTTTGTTTTGAACTTAACTATCGCGGAAATAAAACAGTTTTGATAGATTTGATAGATGATGCGGTCCTCCATGGATTTTTAAGGGCATGTTTGACGTGTGATAAGGTCTCGCTAACAAATTTATGGCATGCGCCAAAACTAAATTCCAGTTCCTGTTTTGATTTGATTACTAATGTGAAATAGTTCCAATAAATTTCCAGGTTTCCAAGAACTTTTCAATGCTTAGTTGGCCAATTTTTGGGGGCGAAATGCTTTCGTTTATTTTTGAAATGACTCATGTTGATATGCTGCCGATGATTTGAAATTAGTTGTTTAATTTGCTGGTTTATACGCAGAATGAAACGTAAAAAGAGGGTTGTTAACTAAGACTTTCTTATCAAAGTTGTTATCTTCATGGCGTCCCCCAAAATATTTTTATCCACATAAAGTAAGAGGTGTGTATTAACTCTGGTAAACAACCATTTTTTACAACTTTAATTCACAAATAATACTTCTTTATGTGTACATATGTACATATGTTAGTTTCTATTGTTATGCTTTCCGTGTGATATTTGTTTAGAATAGTAAAACTTTGAATAGAGAGCAGCTTTTAGTTTGGCTGTGCTAATTAAATTGGAATTAATTAACATTGCTCGCATGTAAGCAGGGCTCCCACCAAACATTTAATGTTCTTCGTGTACTTCGCTTTTTTGTTGAGAACATTCTAATTAGCTTTCAGTATATAATCCACTTTCCCCTCTTTTTTTTGTGTTGTATTCCTAATGGACGGCAGACGACAGACGTTGCGTTGAATGACCTGTAGAGCTCAGCTTTAATTTGGCTTTCAGGTTTCTGGATTGCGTTGAGTTATATTGTAATTATGGAATTTTTAACAGTTCACTCCTTAAAACGCACTTCTACTGCTGTCTTTCTTATCAAATTATTTTTAATTGCACTTATCTACTTAGATTGTTGGCCACAAAGGTGTGCGATGTTGTCCACAGAAAACCATAACTTTCCGAAACTATTCCAAAGCTTTTAGCAGTTAAATACTACCCCAAATGTTCTTAGTTCACACAGTTATGGCTTCGCTAACCCCTCGGATTTTCGTACATAAGAAACACGTGCCCCATATGATCTCACACGAAGGCCTAAAGTTTGCAGCAAACACTAATGACAGTCACTACAATGTTTCCACTTATTTTCGCTACTGCTGTTTGCACTTCTCGTATGACACAACCTGAGCTGTTACAGCACCGATAAAGTCTGCTGTATTTAGACAATAATTACGGGGAAAACTGCCCTCACCTGAGATCTGTAGAACAAATGGACGCGATTGTAGGCGAAACCGAAATTCGCCCGTTGCAATTCCTTGTTGAAGCTTTTGCAAAAGTCGTCGAAAAGTTGCATTTCATATGGTTTTTTTTGCACTCCCTCCTTAACTTATTTAACTTGTTTTATTTGAAAGGTTGTGCACACCCTTATCGCGAATTTTTTTTGTGGGGGAAGGGGTGAGGAATTAATGATTGTCAGCGGTGGAGACTTCCGAACCGAGTCGCGTGTAGCCGGCTACTGACTTCGCCAGCGCTTTTGAGTTATGTTTACGACTCACACGAAACCCGCCAGAGAGATAGAGATAGAGATAGTGACAGAGATAGAGAGAGAGAGAGTTGAAGCGATTGAAAACGAGTCAGGAGCGTTGGGGATCTCCACGCTGATCTTGAAAAGCGATCTCGAAGGGGTTTTCGGAGGGTCTGGATCGAAATTGGTTTGGGGGGTTACTTTCGCAAGCGATTCAAGTTGGCACGCGCACTCAAGCACTTCAAACGGCAGACTGACTGCCAGATCGGAATAGAATCGTAATGGAATCGTAGTGGAATCGTAACCCGATCGGAATTAGTGGATCGCTCGATTGCAGTCGGCAGACGATCGCCAGACTCATTCGGTGCTTGCCTAACGGGAATTGGATCCACTGACCACTGGCGTATCATGCTTTATAGCTTTATAGCTTTATAGCCTTACAGCGAGACATCGCCACCAAATTCAATTTAAAATAATGTGGAGCACTCACACCCGCCTCCCAAAAGAGTGTCGAATAACAAGTGCCGCCCTCCCGGCGATGGGAACCGTTTAGCCACCGACACTTTATCGCTGATATTGACAGCCGTATCGCCAGATCACAACGCCATCTGTCCCCATTGACCAGCACTGAACTTGGAGCCACGGAGGTCGGCCAATTAAGAGATCCATTAGCAAGTGCCACCCAAAAGCTCCGAAATTCACGCAGAACTGGATTCCCGAAATTCCAGCTGACCTACATTATTGGGGCCAGAATTGCCAGCAGAGCGATAAGCAAAGTGGGTTCGGTCCCGGTTTTATCTAATCCAATGGTGAGAGCGATTATGCACTCTAAACAGCTAATTGTTATTTAATTATGTCTGCCTGAGAATGCTTCTCAACTGAGATTAGAAATAGGTGTTTAAGCAATAATCGTACTGAAACAGATCGTTTTTAATGCCTAAATCCGGCTTGTAATGAAACTTTTTATATACTATACAAACTAAAAAATCTCCTATTAAAAATTTAATGAATATATAAGTAGTAAAGTAAGATATAACATTACTCATTTGGGTAATAAGCAATAACTATAAATGACGGTAACTATAAACTACGGTATACTTTAAAAAGGGATAAACAATACTTTACACCCTATTGACATTGACTAAACAATTGACTCTCTAAAAACTAAATTTTCGCTACTAAAATGGGATCAATTTGTGCGCCTAATAAACGCCCAGTATCGATTACAAACGTACATTCCGCTGCAATTTGCATAGCCATCCCATTTAATTCATCACACCCCAATCTTAAATAATAAAAAAAGAGTGTTTGGTTCGTTACCCCTTTATTGACCTTGCCATTGGCCGGTAACAAGAACCCGAAAGTGTCGTCGGCATTTATTGTAAACAGCTTCCTCTTTGCCGTGTAAATTAAATTTGCCCCCTTATTGAAAGTCAATTTCAGACGGAACATTCTTAAATTGACCTTTAGATTGATTTTGTGAGAATTGCCTGACAAGTAGGAACGATTTTTTTTCGCGATAAAATTGGCCATTGATCGGTAGTTTGCGTGTTTTCTGATTACTTTAAAACGAAATCAAAGAAAATTGTTTACAAAAAGGTTGCGTTTTTCAATTGAATACCTCGTAGTGGATATACCAGACCTTCTTGTGGAATGCAATGAAAATTTAGCAAACAATAAGCAGAAGGAAATTAGAGCCTTACTCGAAGAATCGGATTCTCACTACTGAAAATCAAAACCGTCAAGTTGCTGTTATGTAAAACTTAAACTATCTCAAAAGGTTTCCAAACAAGCTGATGTTAAGCTATTGAATAAACTATTGAATACTGTTAAAATGAAACTTAAAAACCATCCTGTTTTGGAAAAAGCTTTATCACAACAATTCACTATTTCACTTATCAGAGAATGTGATTCATACCATTTACTACTTCAAAATTGTCGTCATTAATTGTGATTTTTTCCAAATGTTTAAACTTTACCTGGAACTTTGCAAAATATTTACTTGGGGTCCACAAATTGCTAAGTTCCACATATTGTCAACGCCTCGTATCAGAAAAGGAAACAACGTCAATCGATAAATTAGCTAAATGAGTTTAATAATAATTACTGTTTTACTCTGCAAAAGAAATATTCCCTATTGCTAAAAACTTGGAAAATTTGTTGTAAATTAAAAGCAAAACCTCAATATATTTAAATAGGGTTGGTTAGTAAAATGTATTACATTTTAAAAATGTTTATCTACTTTGTATTATTTATAGAGAAATAAAGATTGAATGAAATTCACCTGGAAATTTCTGGTTCATTACATCAGTGGATTAATAAGTGATTAGAAAAATCATACATGCTTACCAAGATAATAGGCTGGATGGATTTTTTGGTATTTGATAAAGCAGTCGATTGGAAACACGAGTTTTTATTGAGAATCGGCAAGAGTATTTAAAGGGCTTTCAATCAAAATTTGGTTTCGTTTGAAATGTTTTTTGTTTTTGTTATTTTTTTTTTGGCGGGATCTTATCGCGTCTAAAGTCTAGGGAAGTACGACTGGCGTTTTTATTATTTGGCTTGTCATGGAGGGAAAACCGTGAGCACTTGAGGAACACGAGTATTTATCGACGTGTTTATGACCCAACTTGCAAATGCTAAAATTCCCAAAAAAATGTTTAAAAATTCAGGGCCATCGATTGGCGTGGCTTTCCACCCCAACTGGATATTAATGGTGTGGGAGAATCCCATTTGGGCCCCGTTGACTGGGCTCAAATCAGTCTATGGCTCTGACCGCACTTGTCCACATCCACGTTCAAGTTGTTGGCCTTATCGAAGGCGTACGCTTTCGCCAAATTAGACATAAACGGTACTCGTTCGGGTGATAAGGATTCAGATAGCCGGAGCAGTTGCCGCTGCTATCATAGCCGATTACCACGATTCAAATAGTCCATTCGGACTACTTCACAAATGGGCGGCATTATTCCGTCAGTCTGCGATCTACCGGCGGGGAAGTCACCTGCTCTGGACCCTCCTGACCCTCCTAGTCCAGCGGAACCGACGACGAGTCCATCCAGCTAGCAGGATGCGTGACAAAAGCCAGGAACCCTGCTGTCTGCCTCTCAAGGAGGAGTTCCAGCGCTCCAAGTTCTCGCTGCACCACGAGGATCCTTCTGCATTCTGTCGATCGCAGTGGCAGAAGGGGGACCGCAGCTTCATCTGGCTGCTCTACCGATGGCTCCTGGCCGCTTTCTTTGCCGCCGGAGTCATCGGCAGCATGATCGAGACTTTCAACGGTGGTCGCTGGTTTATTTACCTGACTGATTGGGGATTTTCCCTGTGCTTCTATTGCTGTACCTACGGCGCTGTAATCGCCACCATTTACTTCATAAAGCCCTCATATTTCGGTGAGTACCGCGTACGATTCCATTATTTGGATAGAATTTTCCATTGAGTTTCGGTTTAATTTTCCAACCGTGGTGGTTGAGTCATGTTGTGATTCATAATGAGAGTTGTCTAAATATTTATTATGAATGATATTTAAATAGTAAACTTTATTCTTTTCGCAAATTTTAGCTCCTGGCAGTTGGGCTTTGAAGATCTACTGGATTTCCCACTATACAACTGTGGTTTTGGCCATGATGATCACCCTGGTCTTCTGGGCCGCTCTTTATCCATGTAAGTTGATAATTAATTACTAACTAAATACAAATAATTACATATATGACTTTATTTAATAGCCATGCCAGGAATGGGAGCTGATCTGTACAACTTGTGGGCGCACGCTTTTAATTCAATTTGCTTGATCTTCGATTGTTTTATGGTCGCTTTTCCCACACGAATCATGCATTTTGTTTATCCCTTCATTGCTGGAATCACTTATGGTATATTCTCCTTGATTTACTTCTGGACTGGCGGCGTAGATCCGTAAGTAAAGCTTAGAGGAGTAAATAACTATACAGACATATACAATATATTTTTTTTACAGAATGGGAAATCGTTTCATCTACTTCATCTTGGACTGGGAGCGACCTGGTCTGGCAATTGGAACTGTTTGTGGATGCATTGTTTTGGTCAGCTGCTTCTGTATATTGGTCTTTGGGTTCTATAGATTACGTATTTCGATTTACGAGAGCTGTTGTAAAAAGCCTGAGGAAATTCCAGCTACCACTACTCCTGCCAATCCTCCAGATACTATTGCTCCTCCAAAAGAACCAAGACAAGTTGTTTGATTTACCATTTGATTTAAACCAATTTTAATGGCTTTCCTACTAAACATAAGTTGGATTTCCTAAGGTAACTAAATTTACATACACCACACTACTTTCAAAAGAACAAACGAAATCAAAATTAGACTTGTTGGAGAGTTATCAACTTTAGTTCAAGTTATATATCCTACAATTCATATTGAAATTGTATAAGGGATCAAAGACCTATAGCAAAAAAATTAAAATAAAATATTATTTTACTAAAAAAGAATTCAGGTTTCATTGAAACCAATTTGTGTAGTTACTTGAAATCACTATTTCGATTGTAGCATAATTCCACAATGTGCTTGTATATCGATCACGCGAGCAAACAAAATATTTTTTTTTTTATCAAGATTATGTATTAGTTCCATTGATCGTTTTATATAAATACCTGTGTACGATTTGTTTGCCGGTATCAATGGCAATAATATAAGGTAAGGGTATTTGTCATATCTGGGCATTATTTAGTAGACAGGTCGATAGTGACCAATACTTGATTGCTTGTACTTAGCTTTTATTCATAATCTTAAAAGTTGCTGCTGCTGATAAAGAGTTTCGTGATTCGCAAGGGGGTACAGATCGTGTCTATAATGAACTCTTATCAAGATTTCCAAATAACACCGAATTTACTATTCGTAAATCATACGACACTTGAAGCTGTAAAGGAGTTTTTATAAATTGTTTTATGCTCCACTCATAAGGGAATTCCGAAAAATGAGTTCAGAAAATCCAATAGTTGCCAATGCGGCTGCGCCAGATGGAAGATAAATGGTATGTTCCTCGTCCCGAAGTTCGATTTAGCCGACCGCTCGGGACGACCTCGTCCACGTTGGGGGTCTTATCGGTTGCGTGGACGGCTGCCGAATCAGACATAAAAAGTACTCACTGGGATGATAAGGATCGTGATAATTCACATGCCGGGTATCAGACGATTACCTCGACTCAAGCTAAAACTATGTGCGGTAATATGCCCCTATTTAGACTATGGAACACCTGCACCTCCATTAGTCTGTTCTTTACCGTCGAACCATAAACTAGCTTGCTACTTTGGTGTCCTTTTAGAGGCTATTCAAATAAAAAAAAACATGGGTGATAAAAAGTCCTGCTGTTTGCCCTTAAAGGAGGAGTTCCAGCGTTCAAAGTTATCGCTGGATTACGAAGATCCTGGAGTGTTTTGTAAATCGCAATGGCAAAAAGGAGATCGGAATTTAATCTGGGTCCTTTATCGATGGGCCCTGGCTGCTTTCTTTGCCGCCGGAGTAATAGGAAGTATGAGACAGGACTTCAATGGCGGTCGATGGTTCATATTCCTCACCGATTGGGGATTTACACTGTGTTTATTTACCTGCACGTACGGTGCTGTAATCGCCACTATTTATTATTTTAATCAGTCATATTTTTGTAAGTATTAGTAGCGTGAAATCTTTGAAGCTCTCTCAAAATATTTATCTATCTACATTCAGCTCCTGGTAATCGATCACTAAAGATTTTCTGGATCTCACACTACACCACTTCGGTTCTTTCAATGTTAATTACCACGGTCTTCTGGGCTGCACTATCCTCAAGTGAGTTACATTTTAAAATTATTTTATTTTAAATAACCTATTTCCTTTCTTTTAGCCATGCCTGAAATTGCTGGAGAGCTCTACAACTTGTGGTGCCACGCCTTCAACTCCATTTGTATGGTATTTGACTGCTTTATGGTGGCCTATCCCAACCGCCTCATGCACTTTATCTACCCCTTCTCCGTGGTGCTCATCTTTCTCGTACACTCTTTGATTTACTATTGGGCCGGCGGTACTGACATGTAAGCATAACTAAACAATGTTATGCAACCTAACTTAATTTATGATTACTTTCCCAGGGACGGCAATCGTTTTATCTATTACGCTCTTGATTGGGCACGTCCTGGTTTGGCAATTGGATTTGTTTGCGCCGCGTTGGTCCTAATTTGCTGCTTCTCCCTTGTGGCCTTTGGAATTTACCGATTACGGATCTCCATGTACAACTGTTGTAACAAAAAGGAACATTCGGAATTGCCAGCTCGTCCCAAAGAATCATCTCCAACAGTTTAATTTAAATTCCATAATATTTAATCGGTTTCAAATCTGTAGTTTAAGATACAGCTGAACTTAGGCCATTTTCTGGACCACGGCGAACTGCAGCGATTGGATTTGGTTGGACCATTTCTCCAGGGCATTGTATCGCGAGGCGCTGCTGTTGATCTTGTCGAGCTGTAGCACCTGATTTACCTGATCAATGCGTCCTTTAATGGTGCTGGAAGTGCAATAAATGTTAGTCACATTTTTAGCATCTACACACACATTGTACTTACTCATCCAGGATGCAGGAAACCAGCAGACTTTCCACTTCGGCAGGCTCAATGTTGAGTGCGTTAGCGATAAAAGGTATAGCAATGTTTTTATAGGGCCTAATCAGTTTTATAAGCACCTGTGTGCGAATGTTCCTCAACAAATCCTCAATGTGTTCCCTTATAAATTGATCGGCCATGATGTTGCTGCGGTGCTGACGCAAAATGGTCTCAAACTCATTAATATCGTTGTTCTGATAGGAGTTGACCAGGTTGGTCATGGCCAGGATTTCAGGATCGTTTTTGTACGGCTTTGCTTCTTGTGAGTCGAAGGGATTTATGCCTGATTTCATCAGCCTACAAATGAATTTGATTATTTATTTACACAGAGGTTTTATGTTTTTTAGGTAAACCTACATGTTAGCCAACACCAAATACTTCAAGCAAGTGGTTCTCCGTGGCGATCCGCTTTCGTCGTAGTTCTTAAACGCCTCAAAGAAGTCCGTGTGCGCCTTTTCAAACTCTCCCTCCCGCAGATGCATTTTACCGCCGCATTCGCGAATGACTCCCATGATCAGAGGATGTGGAATGGCCGACTTGATGTGGAGCGACTGTTCATAGAGGGCCTTAAGCTTCTTGTTGTTCTTCTGAACCGTGTACATCTGAATCTCGAGGGCGTAAATCTCCAGCAGCTGGGTGCCCTTCTTCAAATCGTCCTCGCCATCATCAGTTTGGCAGCTTTGATGCAGCTGCTTGAGTATCTTTTGCAATTTGGTGAAGTCGCTGCGGTCGAAGTAGAGCTTGCCCAGTTTGGTATTGGTTTTAAACCAAAGACGATCGTTTTTAGCATCGCGCAGGGCGTCCAATGTGGTTTCGTAGAAGTTTTGCAGTAGGGCCATCTATAATTAGATAATTAAGATAAAATGTGAGTCAGATTTTGCATAAAATAAATGATTGGAAGGAAGGAAGAAGGTGACCCTTTTTTTTGAAATGGAATGCTCACATTTTTGGAAGTGGAAATATAATCCAGAATCGAATTGATGCTCTTTTCCGAATGATTCCTGGTCACGGCGCTCTTGATGTAAGTAAGTAGTTGCTTGTAGCGCACCATCATCTCGTCGTAGTTGCACTAAAAAGATATACCATTAGCCAGACTAATTAATCAACTGATTCTGTACTTCCTTACCAATCTAAAATTGATCTTAATCATTTGCTTCAGCGCCTTGAATCCCCACTCGCCCTTTTCGCCATTTTCCAGGTCGAGCACCTTTTGGAAACTGGCCAGAGCAGCCTTGGGTTCCTCCTCCTTTAAAGCCTTGCTGTTGTAGTACTGATTCTCCAGATCCACATCGGGTTCCGAGTTACTATCCTCGGAGTATTCCTTAAATGTTTACAAAAAAATGAAATCAACAAATGCCGGCTTTATCTGCAGATCTGAAAATTCCGTATATGTCGCCATTTCTTACCAATCCATAATCCTCATCGTCGTCGCACATGAAATCATCATCGTTGTCAGACATTTTGCGGTTTTGGCTTTGTAAATTACAATTTAATAGCAACAATTGCGAATAACGCGAAATTTCGTGTAAGAAAACACAAAGCAGAAAAAAGTATGACCGTGTTGGCGGTAGCTAAATAATGCCATCAAGTGAAGTAATCAGCTGTTAGGAACCGTTAGTGAAATTAGAGTTGTGATAACACAAAAGTCACATTAAATGAACAGAAATTTTTTAATTCAAGAAAGTACATTTGTTTTTCACATTAGAAGAACATACCTTTAGTATAATAAATCACTTTAAAATCATTTAAGTAACGGTTCCAAAAGTATTGTCCATCCCTGACTGTGACCAGTGCTGCCCATCATTCATACCGGCTTTTGTTTTATCCTTTTTGCAACTGAAAATGAGGTAAACAATCTTCGTATCTGTACTTCTTATCTAATCCCCAACAAACACAGCCTGACCAAGCGACTCCTCCACATTTATCCTCGTTGCAGTTTCGCCAAGAGGTCGCATCCCTCGGCGGATCGCAATTCGCAACCTATTTCGGAAGCCATACTTTCCCAAATAGACAGGAGCACCCCGAATTTGCAACTTTTAGAAATCGCTTCTGGTTCAGGACAACATGCTGGATTCCTGGCACCCCTGCTGCCCAACATAACCTTCCAGCCGACGGAGTACGAAAGGGATCAGTTTGGGTCGATTTCAGCCTATGCGAAAGATTGTCCCACCGGGAATATTAGAAGCCCCTTTCATGTGGATATCACCCAAGATCCAAAGGACTGGGAGGCTCCTCCATCGCCTGCCAGCTACGACTACATGTTTAATTCCAACATGATGCACATCAGTCCGTGGGCCTGCTCCATAGGACTTTTCCGAACTGCCGGACAGCTGCTAAAGAAAGGAGGAAGGTTGTTCACTTATGGTCCATATGCCCAGGATGGAGTCCTCGCTCCCCAGAGTAATGTGGACTTCGACAGAAGCTTGCGTCAGCGGGACGCCTCCTGGGGCGTTCGCGACATTAAGGATCTGAAGGTCTTGGCGACCGAAAACGGACTGCAGCTGGAGAAACTCTTGGAGATGCCGTCAAACAATAAGTTTCTGACCTGGCTCAAGCTATAAAATAGTGCACTAGACTAAGGCTATTAGACGAGATTACCCCTCTTAGATAACGTCTTTTATTTGGCGACAATAAAATTTATTGCCCATGGAGTGGCTGCTCATCGAACTAGGCCAAGTGGACAGAACGAGGTGAGACGAGTAGTGCAGGAATTGACCCTGAAAGCGCAATCGCTTGATTGATTGGCGAACACTATATAAGCACGGATCTGCTTGCACCTGCGGCACACAAGCGATCGATCACCGGAGTTACAGACATGGCTCGAACGATTCTTCAGCTGCTTCTGGGCGTGATTCTCCTGGCGAATCTTAGTCTTGCGGGCACAGCGAGGCGACCGCGATTGGATGGACGCATTGTGGGCGGTCAGGTGGCGAGTATTAAGGACATTGCCTACCAGGTTTCCCTTCAACGCAGCTATCACTTCTGTGGTGGTTCCCTGATTGCTCAGGGTTGGGTTTTAACAGCCGCCCACTGCACTGAAGGATCGGCCATCCTCATCTCTAAGGTTCGCATTGGATCCTCGCGCACTTCTGATGGCGGTCAGTTGGTGGGAATCAAGCGGGTCCATCGACATCCCAAATTCGATGCCTACACCATCGACTATGACTTCTCGCTCCTCGAGTTGGAGGACTACAATGCGGAGAACGTAACGCAGGCATTTGTTAAGCTTCCCGAACAGGATGCGGACATTGCCGATGGAACTCCCGTTCTGGTTTCTGGTTGGGGCAACACCCAGAGCAGCCTGGAGCCCACAACCGTTCTTCGGGCCGTTGTCGTACCCAAAGTCAGTCAGACACAGTGCACCGAGGCCTATGGCAATTTTGGAAGCATCACGGATCGCATGTTGTGCGCAGGATTGCCGGAGGGCGGCAAGGATGCCTGCCAGGGCGACTCGGGTGGTCCACTTGCCGCCGAAGGCGTCCTTTGGGGAGTTGTCTCCTGGGGATACGGATGTGCCAGGCCAAACTATCCCGGCGTTTACTCGAGGGTGGCTGCAGTTCGCAACTGGATCGCTTCTACTAGTGGCATTTAATTTCTTGAATCAGTAAAACTTTTTATCAGATAAAACTAGCTTTCAAAAATACACATTAACAGATAAATAAACAACAGGAAGTATTCCTTTATTTGTTTTTGATTTTTTTAAATTATGTTTTATACGGGTATGTTACTTTTGATTTGGAAATATTACGTTAAGATTTGTAAACTTTACAATGTTAAAGATATCAAATGTTAGAATGTAGAAGTATAGCAGCAAATAATGACATATTCAAACAATCAATTTTTAGCAAGATAGTTTTAGCAAAACAGCTTCAAAAATGAGATATTTTTGAGATATAGAGTTTTCTATTGACTCTTGAATTTCGGATTAATTTTCATAAAACTCGGCCTACTATTTCGCACAGCAGTCATAGGAACAATCGGTGAAATTATATAACTAAATATAAATATAAATAGCTTGTCATAGCTTCGATATTAATTAGCATTTATGCATTTTTAAGCAGGAAATTATTAATAAAAAATTAAATAAGCTTTGTCTCGCCGAAGCTGCATTATTTTCTTAATTGCAAACTGAATTCGTTGCAGATTATCACATTTATCACGTTAAGATCTGTAACAAACCGAAAAACAGTTAGTTGCGAAGATTGGGTCTCACAGGACGTACACGCTAGATATGCTGACTTACTTCTATTTTGTATGGTTCTTCACTGTTTGCGGGCTATGGGGAACCCAAGCTCAAAAGCCGGAGGTAAGCTTACTTCATCAGATTGCCACGAGCCAACGCCAGGTAAAAATAGATAGACCAAATGAAGAAATATGAGGCCACGTATAGACATCGCAAATAATAAGAAAAATCCAACATCAGTCGTTTCAGGGTTTCGAAAGGATTGGCTCGAGGTACTTTTATATTGAAAAGCTGAATCGAGTAAATTGGTTTGCTGCATTTAACATATGTCGCCGAATCGGTGGTCACCTGGCTACAATCACCGATGAGCAGGAACTAGAGGCACTGGTCCAGAGAGTCATTCCAGGTGCCTATTGGTTGGACATCAACGCATTGGCGGAAAGAGGAACCTTTCTTTCCACTCTCAGTGGCGAGCGTCCTCCCTACTTCAAATGGGCAGAAGGTCGGCCGACCAACAAAGAAAATGAATGTGTAGACTTGTACGCCGGGAAAATGTATAGTCCAAATTGTTTGGATAAATACTTTTTCATTTGCCAAAGTGAGCAATCAAACTAAGTACTTAAATGATTGCGATACGAACTATTTTTTAATTCTGACCTTTATTTCTTGATTACGTTTGAAAATGACCCAACGTAACAATAAAGAGGATAATGTCCAATTAATCAAATAATGAACAATGTGTTTTGGTGTTGATGTTATATTTTATTTCCGTTATATTTATATAGATTTTTCGATCTTTCCTTTGGCTGCTATATAAAATTTAATCCGAAATTCAATAGTAGTTACTGCGTTGTCACTACGTTGCAAATTTATGACTGAGATTATAATACGCTTTTTATTTTTTTAATATTTTTTTTTTATATTTAAAGATTCAATCAAGGAATTTATTACACTTGTCTTGCAGCAGCTGCACTTCTATTGGCCCATTCATCATCGCAAACTAAAGCAATTGACCCAGAAAAGTCCTAAGAACAAATATTGACAGTCTGGGAAAGAGTAGAAATGTAGAATGGCCGACCACATCATATCAATAACAGACAGTCAGAGACGAAGAGCAAATTTACTTAATGATTGGTCCAAAGGCAAATAAAACCATTCAGGAAGCAGAAAAAATTGCGAAGTTGGCGTAGGCAAAGTGAATTGATTGGAGAGAGTGGCACAAGTTTTCATTTCGAGTGCTCACCCTTAGGTTTTCATCTTCGATTGCGGTTGTCTGTGTGCCAATGCCTTTTCCTTCTAGTTTTCGCAGCCCTTTTCCATTTTGCAGGTCTCACTAATTGTTGATTAAATGCTGCAAATTGCTGCGAGTGTTTTCCATTGTTGCCTTTCTTCTGGCTTTTCCGTTGACGTTTTCGGTCACCTTTCACCAGCTACGGTTGTCAAAGCAGTTGGCACTGCGACCACAGGTGCTAAAGTGGGAGGTTAGGGTGGAAAATGTCCCCTGGGTCATTGCAATTTTGCACGTGAACTTGTTAACAGCAAGGAGCTGCACAAAAAAACAGGGCGAAGTGCAGGGAGCCAAGACATGAACTGCAAATTGAACGGTTATGTCGAGCGAATGGGTTACAAGGTAAACTTCGAGTTGCAATTTCCAACTTTCTAATAAACTCAAGTGGGTCACTGTGAAGCTTACTTTTTAGGGGTATGTACTCTTGGATAGAAAATAACTAGTTTGTCACAAAGATCCTTGACACAAAGGTAGATGCATTATGAACGAAATAGTATAAGTATAATAGTTATGATATTTCACAAATTAAGCCATAATTCTATAGTATAGAAATAATTTAAATTTAAATTCTCATAATAATCGTTTTGTAAAATTTGCTTTATATTTACAACCAACAGATTTGAATAGATCAATTTCTAAAGCTATAACTAATTTAACATTCCAATTGAGTTCGATTTAGTTTAAAATTTGATGAGCTTTACTTAACACCCCATCCTGCTTTTCATATTAGTAATTCACGAATTTCTCTTGGACATTTTGGCCTTCAAAACGCAATTAGGATGCTTCAGATTATCCTTTAAAGTTGTACAGCCCCCTTTTCTGGAGTGGCGACCTCGACTAACGACTTGTGGCAGTACTTAAGCTGCCTTTGTTATTGTTTTTCTTGTTGAATTTCCCCCTTTTTGCTTGCTTTTACTTTTTTTCGCTTCCCCTTTTTGTTGTTCATTGGAGCCAGCGAGACATAGAAAATGTAAAATTTGTTTGTTTCCTTTCATTGATGTTGAAAGTTTTTGCAGCTGCTGCAGACAATGCAATGAGTCGGCTCCTATATTCTCCGCCCATTTCTCGGGGCTCTCCTCGGTCCCTAATTTTATCTGTTGGCATGCCAGGGGACTGTCTTATTATTATAGTTCGTCGATTTGTTTGCATTGTAGTCCACATTGTTGTTCTCTTAGCCGGTCCAAAATCAAGCAAACTGTGTGTGTGTGTGCGTCCAGATGGTTCAACAACAATCGATTGTTATAAATTATTTTGCAGCTTTTGTAATTTGTTATGTGAACAACAAATATTGTCGTGAGCATAAAAAAATCTATTGAATCCTTGTTTTCGAAAAGCAGACTGCATATTGATGAGGGGACGGAATTAAGTTTTTAAAGAAAAATATTTGTTATTAATTTCCTACTTTAAGGGCTGTCAAGAAAAAAGGGTTTCTTTTAGAGCAAATCTGATTTTTAATTAAAAAATGCAAACAATGGATAACACATGTTTTGATAATTTAATGGAACAAAAAAGGAAATATGTTCTTAGAGAATATTTTTGCTTTTAAAGTGTTAGTAAATTTCCACCTATTTAAATTCTAAGAAATATATTCCAGAAGTGGAGTGGTATGGAAATATACATATATTCGAATGATTAAATACATCTGCTTCAGGGCCATTGCGACTTGTCTATGACTCAGTTAGGTGGCCTACGCGGCGTATGCTTGATCTGCCGGGATGCTGCCACAACTCGCTTTTGCTGCGAGTGTGTGTGTTTTTTATGGAAATAATATTCTTGTCAGGATTAAAAAGGATACGTGACCAGAATACGAGTGCAATGTGCATGCGGAAATGTGGCCAGGACCTGCGAGAAGCGGAACAAAAAAGGGCGGCAACGAAAAGCGGAAAAAGTAGACAAACAGGAGCCGCAACAGGACTAAAATGTATCTGTCAGACTCGTCGACTTTTGCTATCGTTGTCGCCTGTCGCATATCTGTATCTATGTTTTTGCTTGTATTTCCCTTGCCAGCTCTTAGCCACTTTCTTTTGCTCCCAACCCCAACCCCAACCCCCACTACTACCATCATCATCATCATTTCGATGCTTATCCTTGCTTATTGTCCTGTCAGAAAAAGCCCGCTGCCGCTGCTGCTGCTGCTGCTTGTTGTCTGCTCCTTTTTTCCTTTTTAATTTTTAAGAAAGCATATTGTAATTCTGTTGTTTACCTGTTTGGACACTCGGATACACGTATTTTTTAAATCTCAACCGCAGGCGATCCCCTGTTTTTATTTTGCTTTCCGGATTGGAGTGCCGTCGTCCTTTGGCCCGCTTCTTACCAATGCATTCAGTCATTTGTCCTGTCATTTGTAATATCCCCCTACGCATCCTTGACAGCGGCTTAGCATTTCTGTTGTTATAGCTGCTTAGCTATTCCGGTCGTGTCCTGGGCAATGGCCACGATTGTGATGTATGATTTTCAATTCCACCTACGGCAGTCCTCTTCTAATTTTGTTAAAATTATTCCATGGCTTAGCAAAAAAACAAACAAATGGAAAACATTTTTGTGGGGTTTATCTTGAGTTTATTTGGCGGCTGAGCTACGTGGTTTCCAAACATTAATTCTGTATCCTTTTCCCATGCAAATATTTGTCGATTTTCTACGAAATTTTTCATCAGAGTGAAATGATGAATGTTAATGATACGTAGGTATAATTATAAAAAATTGATACCTTCATGTTTTTCTTTTCCTAAAATCATAAATATATTTTGTACAAAAAAATTTTTATCTGTCATAAATCCCATTACTCATTCTTAATATATTTTTGGCAAGCCCTTAAAATATTTCAATTATAATAAAGTAATAAATGTGACTCAACGTAAGGCACGAATTGTTTTATATAGGAACTAAATGTCTGAAACTAATAGGTTTTATGATATTTTCCTAAATAGTAAATTATCTCTCACATGATTAAGTCTATATGATGCATATCTAGACTTTATCTGTTGATAATATCAGCTGGTTATGTTCGACATCGGTTTTACTATTTTTATTTCCGTGTAAAAATGATATCGATGATATGATGATATCGATCAATTGGCAATAAGCTATAATGATGTCACTCTTAAAGCGGAAAAGTTATTAAATCAACCATTAGTTCTATTGCCTATTTTGTTTGAGTTATCGCTTTGAAATTTTGTTGAGAAAGTATAGGCCAAATATTCCGAGACTCTATATAATATAAGTACGCACTTGACTGCATCCCACCGACAGAAACCCCCGTATTGATGTTTAGTCAACAATTCCAATACAATCCCCTGAGTCAAAGTGGGCTAAGGTATACTGATAACAGAATCTAATCTTTATAGCTGGCATAAAATCCACTTTTATCGTAGTTCAATATTCGACTACAAAATGAGCAACCACCGGCTGCATTTAATTCAGTTTCGCTTTAGACAGCTTTGTGCAGACTTGTGTTCATTAATATAAAAACGATCCTTCAATCAAAATGTGGAAGAAAGTGATTTTCTGTGTGGTCCTTGTGGCCTTTGTGGGCGTGCAGTTTGGTGAGAACAATTTGTGTACTCAAAACGTATCCTAGCTAACAAAATGCTTGTGCTTATTAGCCAACTCGCTGACCTGCTCCAAGTGCACCTCCCCATCTGCCTGCAAAAATCCTTCCTCTGAAGTCTGCTCGAATTCTACGGCCAATGCCAACAAAGGTTTCCTGGAATCGTACCACAGCAATGTTCCCAATGTGAACGGCAGTCTGAATTTCTCCTGTGCCAATCTCACCTACCACACAGCCAGTAAGTTTTTTCTTCGGATATTTTTGGTTTTAATTGGTGTATTAATCCATATTTTCTATCTCCTTCAGACCTCACTCACACCTCAGAGTTTCTCGGCTGCGTTTTCAACGAAACCAATGTCTGCGGTCTTTCCTTGACCAACACGTCGACTGGTTGGACCAGGAAGTGCTACACCTGTGGAACCGACTACTGCAATCCCGCAGGAACTTTCAGTGGCAGTGCCTATACCATCGTGGGTTCGGTTCTGACCCTACTTTTGGCCAAGTTTTTGAGCTAAACTGAATTCCTTTCGCCTAATATTTATTTTCGATATGTTTTATTTTAAAATGTTTAGTATTTGAAAAAAAGTTTATGAATGAAAGCCTCTTAATAAAATAATTATCAATAATTAAAATGGCCTTTAGAGGGTTTTACAAACTTTTATTCTTGATTTTCTTAGTTAAAATCGCTATAATATAATATTTGTATATTTTTCAGGGTCTAGAATATATATATTATACTTGGATACATATGTACATGGTGTCGGTGATTCAGACTCACACTCCGTAGCCCAAGCTTTTATAACTTGGTTCCACGAATGTTTGTACAATTGCTTTACTGTGTCACAATATTTATTAGCTTGTAAAGTTTATTTCAGGACATCCTTTTGCTATAAAGTGTACATAAAATAAAAACATTAAAAAAGTGATCTCTCTGGAAAATAACTATTGAAATAAGTTTTGGCTTTGTGAAAATAAAACAGCTATAAAATAATTTAATATGCACCTCTTTATGTGGAGTGGCTGCCGGCTGAGTTTATTTCTAAAAACTTCCCCTTTCTTGGAATGCTACCAATTGTACGCAACTTTTGTTTTATTAATTTATTGCTCTATTGGCGTCTATACTGATTATGAACGGACTTAGATAAGCGATATTAAATGTTCTGGCTGTGAGTAATTATTTTTTTTGTTGTGGGCTAGGTCTAAGTAAAGCACCAGATAACACTACAATTGCAAATAAAGACAGTTAAAGCTAGAATAACGATTGATGAATAAATGTATGGATAAAACAGTTCACCATGGTAAATAGTCCTTTTAAATATTATAAGACACAAGCATAAAAAAATAATTTATATATCTGAAAAAAAAAATGAAAAGAAATTGTGTAATGTTAATATTGCTTATAAAATATTGTGCTTATTAAAAATTTTACAGATATCTTCTAAAAAATAGCTTCAGGTAAACTGAATCGTTTTTATACCCTTGCAGAGCAAAAGGGTATTATAATTTCAGTCAGAAGTTTGCAACGCAGTGAAGGAGACACCTCAGACCCCATAAAGTATATATATTCTTGATCAGCATCACCATCTGAATCGAAATATGTATGTACGTCTGTCCGTCTGTCCGTCTGTCCGTCTGTCCGTCTGTCCATCTGTCCGTCTGTCCGTTTCCGCGCAAACTAGTCTCTCAGTTTTAAAGCTATCTTGCTGAAACTTTCCCAAAAGGTGTGTAGTTATTGCACGCAGTATATAAGTCGGAACGGGCCGGATCGGCCGACTATATCGGATAGCGCCTATACGAGAGATTGAAATAAAAAATTCTCACGCCGTTGTTTTTGATCAGATCGACCTGAATTCTTCAAGATGGCGTTTTCTAACTGTTTTTGAATTTCGGATTAAATTTGAACAAAATCGGATAACTCTATCATATAGCTGCCATAGGAGAGATCGAAAAATATATATAGAATTAATTGAAATAAATTGATAGCATTGTTGTTTTTTATCCCACGAGCATGATTTTTTGAGTATCAAGTTTTTTAACTAGCCTTGGTTTTTTAAAAAAAATTTCATAAAAATCGGACAACTATATCATATAGCTGCCATAGGAAAGATCGAAAAATCTATACAGAATTAACGGAAATAAAATGATAACATCGTTATTTCTCATCAGAAAATCATGATTTTTGGAATATAGAGTTTTCTAACGACTCTTGAATAGCAAATAAAATTTCATCAAAATCGGACATCTATATCATATAGCGGCCATATGAACAATAGTCAAAAATATGGAAAACTAATAGAAAAGTCGTCGTAGCTTTGATGTTCTTTAGCCTTTCTGTATTCTGTTCCAAATATTTGATGACTGCAAGGGTATATAAGCTTCGGCTTGCCGAAGCTAGCTTCCTTTCTTGTTTTATTTAAGTATATAAAGTTTCGTTTCAAAATTTCCCCACGCCAGTTGAATGAACACTCTGGTAAGGGGAAACCCTTTCTACTCTCCCATTGAAACTCGTGTGATAAGCTTTCTAGGCTATAAACTTTGTGATAAGCTAATCTTTGTACGCTCGCTCATGCTTATCTGGCTAAAATTGAGTAAAGTGAGAAAACTGTTAAAAGCGCTATAAAAAGAGTTGCTAAAAATTAAACAGACTTTAGTTGAATACAAAAAGGTGACTAAAAACGTTGTTTTACCGTGTTAAGAAATTAATATAAGCCAAAATGAATACAAAAGTTTTAATAGCCAGTTTGCTGGTTGCCTTTGTCTGTGTGCAATTCGGTGAGTCATTAGCCAAGAATAATGGATTATGAGTTAAACTGACGATTAAATACGATTAATAGTTGATTCTCTGGTGTGTTACACCTGTGTCACCCCAAATGATTGCAAGAAGCCCAAGAAGGTTACATGCACCAATGCTGCTGCCAATGAGACGAGTAACTATTTAAGGGTTTACCACCAGAATGTCCAGAATTTTACCAGCACGCGATTCGACTGCCTGGCTCTTCAGTACAAATACAGTGAGTACAAAATTGGAATAAAAACTATCGTAGATATACAATTAATATACATTTTTGCCTTTCTAGACAACAATGTGGTCAGTCAACTGCATGGCTGCGTTCATCCAAATGTTTATCCCTGCAGCTTGTCCCTCCAGCCGGCTTTTAGCCATTTTAATAAGACACGTTGCCTAACCTGTTCCGGTGATAAGTGCAACAAAAGTCCTGCTGGGAAAATGAGCAGCAGCACCTTCACCATTGCTGCAAGTGTTTTGGGTCTCTTGCTGGTCAAGATCTTGGCCTAAAATAAGACTATTTATAAAGATGAGCTCAACACCACAGTGGAAAATATTTCGTAATAAATTATTTTTTTTGTTAAATGTCTCTTTTTTAATTTCGGTTCTTATCAAATATGATTAGATTGTCTTTTCGGACTCTCCAACCGTTCACGTTTTCTCAATATTTCACAAGGGTTTAATCACTAGGTGATTAAATTTTATTACTCTTTTTTGTTGTTTTTAGCTTAGCTAAGCTTTTCAAGTTAATTACATTTGACTAGACTAATTGAATTATATAGAAAAGCTGATAGGACCAGGTGTTGCATTTTTTTATGATTTATTATGTGTAATTAGGTACACATAATATTTTTTTTCGGTTTAAAGTGTTTTTGTTTTGAGGCCAATTCAATTTTCATACCATGAAAAAACAACTCTAGCAATTTAATATTTTATGTGATCAGTTATACAGAAAACGTTTCCACACACACATAAAGTGAAAATAAAAGTGTGTTTTTAGATACCCAAGCTCTTTAAAAATTAGACCAATTACCAAGCTTGGAAACATGTAAAAGTCCTGTTTTACCTTCGGCAATTTAAAACATATTCAGAATTTTTGGTGAATATCAACCAAAAGCAGGTTGCTTCCCACATACCTTGCTGCAAAAAAATTCCTTTGCTGCATCAGTCATCCAGGGAACTCGAAAAATTTCAGGCTGTCACTTTAATTGGCCAACTATCTCAGAGAAAGACGGAGTTGGAACGAGTCGAGAAACATGAATAAATCTTTAATAGTGTTGCTGGCTGCCTAAAAGGCAGTCTCACTTTTGCATGCCGAACATTATCCATTGGGTCATGTTATGGGTGTTGTGGTGTGGTTGTTCTTGTTGTTGTTTTGGTTTTCCATGTTGTTGTTGTTGGTGTTCGGTTTGTTTGGAGCTGCAGTCAGGCATTTAATTGATTGATTGTTGCTCGTCTATGTCTGCATCGATTTGGCCGTGTTCACACCGTCCTGCAACCCGCTCCTAAAATCCTGTCACAGCCCTTCGTTTCGGATGTTTCATAACCGAAAAAGGGGCGGGGCTCCCAGCCGCCCATCGCATCCTGTACGGTTATCAAATCGACTTCCTGGCTATATATGTGCTATATATGCACCACGCTGCACTATGGGGCATTTGCCCACATTTGGTGGCCGAAACCCATTTTTTAAAAGTCGTTAAAAATTTTTTTTTTAATCGCAATGAGTTAAGAAAACATTGAGGTAAAATGTTACGTACTTAAAATTTTAACAGACCGCACCACTGTTAAGATATCAGCTGTCAAAGTCAGCTGTTTTTTAACAGAAGCACATGCTGTAAAATCGTTTGTATTTGTTCAAACTTTAAAAGGTTTAAAAAGCGCATTTAAAACCAATTTATGTAAAATGTGTGAATGGAAGTCGATTCAGAATGGTTTGTAATATGTGTTTTTGAGCTTGAATTATAAAAATTGATTGTGGCGTCCCTATAATCTTGTGTAAGTTCTAACCTCAAAAATTTGAAACGTAATCATAAATTTTTGTTTTTAAATAGAGCAACAAAGTGAGTCCAGCGGAGTCCAGCTCTAAAACTTGTTTTATGTTGTAGATTAATCAATTCTTCGTATACTCAGTTAATATAAAAGTGCACTTTTGCGCACTTTCTTCAAAATTTAACTTTTAAGGTGCTAACCTAGCAATAGAAATTTAACACAGTTTGAGAGAAGACATGGCATTTGGCCAAGCTCGCAAACATTTTTTACTATAAAAAACGCTAAGAACCAGGTGGACCATGAAAAATAAGTCTGAAAAACATAAACATATTAACTAAAAGTAAAGTTTTATACTTTTTTGTAACAGGGTCTAAAAAAGTGTTCCGCAAAATACAAAAAAAATCGATATAATCATTTAAAAAAAGTTAGAACAACGAATTTTTTTTTAAATTGTTTTGTTTAAAAATTCTTGTCAGAAAATAAAAAAAAAAATTTTTTTTTTTAATATTAGTAATTTAAAAAAATTTTTTTAATCTAAAAAATGGGCGAAGCCACGCCTATTTTTCTTAAAAACATGCCTTATTTTTTTATTAACTCGAATCAAAAAACAGATCACAAAAAGGTTGATTAGTTTTCAATTTATTAATAAATGCCACAAAAACTGGTCGTTTGCCCCATAGTGCGCTGTTCCTGCTGCCAATTAGTGTTGGTGCGTCATCTGTGTGTGAGTGGAGGCTCTGTTTGCATCTGTGTGTGTGCCCGTCATCAATTAATTTTTGTATTGTAACTTTGTTTTTTGGTTGGTTTTTTGTTTGTTATTTTTGCTGCACTCTGTGGGGTTTTTGTGAGGGAACCCTCCCAGTTGACTGATTGGTTTCCTTTCGATTCAATTGTTTCATGTGTGCGTGGGAATGCGAATGGATGTGTTCGCTAAACAAAGTTATGGTTATGAGTTTGACATCTGGAATGGGATGAGCAATGCCAAGCCAAGTGTGTTTTGGCATGGAAAAAATCATAGACTAGTCCCTTTTATCACTTAAAAGTCACACACAAACTATTTGTACCAATAAATAGATTAAAGTACCAAGGCACTAAATAACAAAATCCACCATCCCCATTTAGAATTTTCCGATTTCCCTCTCTAATCCCCAGCACACCCACGATTTACGAAACTTGCTCGAAACTCCCGGAAACTAAATTAAGTTTAACTTCCACTACAATATGTACATTTGATTTATGCATTGAGAGACCATACAGCCACCTCCTCGAAGTCGGGGAAATTCTCCCCTGCAAAAACGAAGACGGGAACCCTCTGATAACTAAGCCAAACCTATTCAACTTTCACGTTCGCATTGTTTGCACGAGCACGAAAAGTTATTAAGATGCATAGACGTGATTTTGCATGTTTTAAAAAAGAATACATAATGCCACTGATGAAACGGGGGAACAGGGGACGATATTAAGAGAGGGAAACTGGGATCTTGACTTGCACTTTAAGTACTTTTAATTTACTAAACAAATTTCCATTCTTCCTGACTACCGAAAATGTTGCATTCAAGAGGCCAAAAGAGGCCTGAAACTTGGCTCCTTCCACGAAGACAAACTCATTGACATGCCCGAGACAGGAATTGAATTAAAAGTTTCAGTCTTTTCCGCGGAAATAGAATAACGAGAAGTTTCATTGTTTGGCTTCTGGAAAAAAAGTTTGGCGCATTTAAATTGATTTGTAATTCGCGGTTAATTTGGTTTTTCTCTCCTTTTTCTGGTCACTTTTATTCAATTTCACATTGTTAGTTTTTGTTCTTTTTTTTTGCATTTTTATTATTATTATTATTGTAATTTGACACGGAATGCCTGACAGTTATTTCAATTTGCCCTTTGTTTGCAGCCTTACCGGGAATAAATGTTGCAAATTAAATATGTATTAAAATTAAAAATTGTCGCAAAATGTCTGCGGTAAGGCTTGATGCTTTGTGAATTTTCGGAATGTAAATCAAAGAAAGGCAATTTGAATAATGATGCTAAAATCAGAATTAAATAGAAAATTTGACATGCGGACTTAAAGCGAAAATAAACAATTCAATATTTTGCATAAATTCCTACATTTATACTTTATTGAATAAATGAGCATAAATGTATACATGAATACATGTATACATTATTCACAATTCTCATTAATTTTTCCATGCAAATGTTTTATGAAGATTTTGATATGCTTTAATATTTCATTTGCATAAGCATTTCAAATATAATAAATTTAACAATTTTAAGGCTTTTGATCATTTTGTTAAATTCAATTCCGTTTTTACGAAATAATTAAGCACTGGAATCAAAAAATCATACAGAGAGATTTTTGCCCACCAAATTCCATACAATAAAATCCTTCATAATTTTCAGAGAAAGTGTTACCAAAAATCGGCTCAAGGACAAAATACAGTGCTAAGCCATAAATCTAAAAATTTTAATATCCAACAAATAAATCAGGAGCAAATATAAATTCATGTTACACATTTGTTTACTGTTTTTAGAATTCTCTACACATACTATATCAATTGTTTATGGAATCCGTACACATTTAGAGAATTCATAATTTATGAGATGCAGCCAAAGTGTAAACACCAAGAATTTGTAAATGAAAAGTGAAAATCCCAGCAAAGAAGTGAAGGGAAATCTAGTTTAATGTGGCTTAAAATTTCTTGGTCTGAAAGTGGTGGAAAATTATTATTGTTACATTTGCCTAAAACGTTTATCACATTGTCGCAAAATTCGGTCTAACGAGCCGAGAAAGGGTCGGTTTTTGGGTTTTGTCGAGAGATTAGTAAATCTATTTGGTTTGCTGGTGCCAATAGAGATTTAGCCGAGTTTGTTTCTGGTTTCAGTTTAGGTTTGGGATTTGTTTGCAAGTAATTAGAAAGATATTTGCCTCACTTGTTGGTAATTTTCTGTCGACCCAACAGCTTTATTATTATGATAATGATGATGTCGACGAAGGCAAATGATTCCAAGATTTAGGTTTTTCGAGTATGTAGCATGTGCGCCACACAAATGAAATGAATCTTTTATTTTACTTACTTAAACATGTACGAAGCTTACCAGTGTTTTAAAATAGTAAAGAAGTTTATGTTAAACCCATAGACTTTACACAATAAATAAATACTATTTGCAGACAAAGTTAATTTTAATTTACATAAAATCTTGAACTGAGTTTATGGTTTTCCCCTTAACATTATTTTGTTTGAGCGCCACATTTTTTTAATCCATCCGACTGTATTAAATTCAAAACCATTACTCACAAAACTCCGGTCCTTTCCCCTCCCCCGTTGCACAACTTGCAGAATTTATGCATGACAGCAGCATGACTTAATCCTTGCCGAGGCGCCAACGTGAGCTTTCAGATCCTGGGCGAAAGTGCGAGAGATTTTGCAGGGACAGGGAATTAGGATGTGTCGTGTTTGTTATTAGGAAACAATCGCTGAAGCAAAACAAGGCAGCAGCCTTCAACTGCTTCTATTATTATTAACACCAAAATCTAAAGCGATAAACAAAAACAGAATGCTGCAGAATTTAATTCAAAGGTGCAGTAGGTTGCATTTTAA